TTTTTCCCAGATATTATTACCAAAATTACGAGCACTTGTCTTATATGGATATGCCCTAATAATATCTGATTTTAATTTCAGAATTTGACAATTTGTGGCTAAAAAATATGAGAGAGGAGAAAGGGATAGAGTATGCTCGTTGCCTTATTTAAATTCATAACATTAGTAATAGAACCCTATTTTCCAACCATACTAATTGTCTTATACAAATTCATAAAACTAGAAAGAAAGACGCCACTAAACTAAAAGTTAAATGATTTAAACATCTTAGTAATGCACTTGAAAATGAAGGACGTTGTGACAATTACTACTCCGCTTTTAAACTACTCACTCTCATCCAGTATCTGTATTACTCATATCCATATAGAAAAATACTTTGCAGCTAACATGTTCGGTAACCTAGGGCCCACCTCTACAATTATAAAAGTTAAGAGATGAGATTTTTTGTTCAATCAAGCACACTAACAACATCAAATAATCTAATTAATATTCTTAAAATAAATGTTGCCTTAATAACTTTAGCATTTCATAAGTCACTTATATTCATACGAAAGCCTCCACACATTTCCTTTAGTGCCACACTGGAGGGAGGTGTTCTCTGCCTCTCTTCCCCCCACCCTCTCCCCTTCATTTCCCTTATCTCCTACTCATCTCTCTTTCTTCTAAACCCCACGATTACGAGTTTATTTGTTTTTCCTTCCATGGCTTCCCATCCCCTTCCGCCCCCCTTCTCGCCATCCCATCCCTTAGTTTTTTTCCTTCGAATTCCTTTTTTGCTTTGATTTTTGTAAGGTTCTTTTGTTTTTGCATGTGTTTTGGTTTGGTTTCGGTTTAGTTTTTTTGCAGATTCAAGAGTTCCTATATAAGTCTATTCTAGATCTATACTTTTCCTGAGGATTGACAATTAATTTTGGTCGACTTGGGTGATTTTGCTGGAACTTTTGTGTATCTTGGAGGTTGTTGAAGTAGCCACCGTGCAACAACATTGTGGCCATGGTTTAGTGTCACATCCCGGGATCGGCTCCGCCGTAACATGATATTGTTCGCTTTGGACCCCCTCTCTGTCCTTACGGTTTTGTTTTTAGGAACTCACGAGCAACTTCTCAATGGGTCACCCATCCTGGGATTGCTCTAGCCCTAACTCGCTTAACTTCGGAGTTCCCATGACTCCGAAGCCAGTGAGCTTCCGAAAGGCCTCGTGCTAAATGGAGGTGGGCATGTACATATAAGGCACATCATCTCATCTTCGTTGATCAGTGTGAGATGTTACAATTAGTTCCCGTTTTTGGCCCACATACATAGGGTTTTGGCTTCTGTACAGAGTATGGAGTTACAATAATGGAAATTGCCGGTTTGTGTGGGTTTGGGTTTGGCCAATATGGCGCTTTGGATCTCTTTGGGTATCAAAGAGGATGTGGAGCAGTGGTTTTGTTTTTCTTTATTTGTTTTAGTTTATTACTCATTAGGAATTTCTTGGTTTGTATTTTGCTTTCAGCTGCGATATGGATCTACTGTTTATATGCCGTTGCGCAGTGGATATATATTGTTAGTCTGAGTACAAATGCTTCTGGGTTGCTGAATCAGGGGTTTGAATATTTGTTGGTTTATGCGTAATTCTCTCTAGATCAATTCATTTGGTCACTGAAGATGTTGTAACCATTTCGGCACTTTTGTGGATTTGTACTATGTTCTATTTCTTCAATAAATACTATCGATTTGTTTCAAAATATTCATACGAAACTGGTAATGAGAGCTTCATTAAAAGCGGTCGAGAAAATTCTAATTTCATTAATGCATTTTCAGAGGATCTATATCTTCTATTTACCCAAACATTATTTACCAAAATGATATCGTCCAGTAGTTTTTACAGACATGATCTTTCGGGGATCGGAAGATACTTTATCAGTGGTAGGGTTCCTTCTCCCGTTTGCTTATTCTCTTATGAATAAAATACTATTGTTATTCTCTCAAAAACATGATACCGTCCAAATGACTAAGTCTAGATTGTTTATTGGGTTTCAACCATAACTTACAAAGAAAAATCATGTATGATCCAGTTTGTAACAATGAGACTCCCTAGAATATTGTAAGAGATGTTATATAGAACAAATCATATAATAACTTGACAATATGGGATTCTTTGTTTGATTAACTCAAGCACACACTAACAACATTCAAAATTATAATTAATTTATTCAAGTAACTATTATTTTAATAACTTTGTCATTTAAAAAAGTCACTAATATTTATATGAAAATGGTATTGTGAGCTTCATTAACTGTCGATTAAGTTGATTTACAATCAAATAAGAATGGTCGAGAAAGTAATACTTCATATCGCTAATGCGTTTTCAGAATCTGAATATTTTATTTGGCCAATCATTATTCAATTTGATATAGTTTTATATCATCAAATGATACTTAATGGTTTTCATGAAAAATCAATGACATTTTAACCAATTTATACCTTTTTTTAAAGTCAATATATATATATATATAAGTGGTATTTAGCCAAACTAAAGAGTCTCAAAAGTGGTATTTAGCAACCAATGAATATTTGTGTAAAATCCTCTCCTCCAATCGCTTATACTAATAAAAAAAAATCATAAATAAATATGCATATATGTCAAATTCAAGTTAGTGAATTATGAAATGAAAAATTTCGTAAGAAAGTAAATGCAATCGCGAGGTATCCACGTGTATACAAACGGTTGCGTCAAATCATAGATTGATATAGATTCTATAGTGAATCACGTTTTAATATATGGTTAGAAATCTTGAAAGCATGCGAACTAACGGAAACAAAACTCTATTAAGAAACCCCTTGATTAGAGGAGATTAATTACATATTTGGATGCTTGCAGAGAACATATGATTGGCGTTCAAGCTTGTAAAGTCCTCTTTGAAGTCATTGTCCAACCCATGAAGTTACAAAAAAAGTAATAAATATTTCCTCTTAGAAATAATATCAAAATTGTTATAGCCATTTTCTATTGTCTCTTAAAATATGACAAAACATCAGTTACTTGTATTGCAATATTTTCTTATACCCACATTGTCATAATCAATATTAACTATTCTTTCCTGAAGTGAATATTAACTATTCTTTCAGTTGGAACCTAATGTATATAAATATGATTAAGTTTGTAGCTAAACATAAAAAAGAAAGAGAAATAGATGAAGATTTTTTATATTTTATAATTCTTTTGGAAACAGAAAATGAAGGGAAGAGAGAGGAAATAGAAAAGAAACACATGATTCCATAAATGAAAGTAGAAACTGTTTTTTGGACCTTTCCACCTGTTCTTTTCTTTTTATTTCGTAGGAAAAAAAAGACACACATTTTGTTAAACTTTTCTCAAGACCTCACTTTCACTATCTGTCTTCCTTTCTCTCTCTCTCTCTCTTCAAGATGGCCTTGAAAGCCTACCCATAATTTTTTCTTTCTCTCTCTCTCTCTACCAAGAAACTTGAGCTTTTCTCTTTCTCTATCCAGTACAAGATATAAATACATGCATAAAATATATAGCTTTTGTGGCTTTCTTTAAACTCCTCTGAGATCTACTGCTTGTGTAGGACTTTAGATTAGAAGATAGAGATTGGCAGAGAAACTGAAACAAACAATATAAGTGAAAGGGAAAGCTCAGAGGAAGGTAAGGTAAGTTAGCATTTCGAAAACCCTAAAACTCGTACCCCCCTAGACTAACTTTTTGTGCTTTTGACTTGTTGATTAATTGATTTAACCCAATATTTATCATCTTCCTCGGTATTTGTATAAACGGGCTTTTGGGTTTTGCTTGTCTGGGTGCCTCAGATCCATGGCGATGTATTCTGATATTCTTCTCATCGTACTGGGATTCTAGGGTTTTGGGCTGTTTTTCAACTGTAGAGTTATTGTAATTTTAAAATTTTATGTGCTTGTTGCTTCTGTTTAGGATTGTTTTTCTTTTTTAGTGTTGGCAAAGATCTGAAATGGGTTTGCAGCTTGGTTTTTGCATTTCTGCTGGAAGATAAAGTTTGGAATTTGCTATTAGATTCTTGTCATGGTAATTTTAATTATTCCGTGTGCTAGTTTTGCTCTTGCTCAAATTTTGGGAAAAGCATTTTTTTCTGGAGGGATTAAGTCATGGTTAATTTTCTTACTTAATGGTGTAAATGATACTGTTGGGTCACTCTTATTGCTCTCATAAAATTTTGACTTGGTCATAAAAATAGGTTGTCAAGATGTATTGATGTTGATATTTACCCTTTTTTTTTTGGGTGCATCAAGCTAATGTGATTTTCTGAATCAGGATTGGACGTCAAAGGCAGGGTAGCAAGTGATTGAAGTGGTTGAAGTTTGTTTCATGGATGGAGTTGAGAGTCTCTGTTAGTTGTGCTCTGTAATTTTAGTAATTGGCTCGAAGTTTTACAATGATTGGATGGACCAATCTACTTATGTTCAGGAGATAAATATTAAATTTAGGGTAAATAGTTTACCCTACAATGACATCCAATTGGATATGATTGGAAGCATCAGATTACTATCAGTTAGTGCTTGAAGTTGGATCATGTAGTAGTCATGTTGAGAAGTTAGGTTGATCTGCGCAAGTGTTGGAATAGCCTGCGCGACTCACCTTATCAGGACCTTCATTGGATGTACTTTCGTTTACCTATTTATGTTCTCCAAAGACGGTAAACTAGGTTCATGTACCTATTAGGACACTGATGCGCTGGAAACATATTTACCTGGCCTCCTGCTCTAGTTCTTTATGCCTTTGTTTTCTTTTATTGCCCCCTAAGTTCTAGGTCATTTCTCCTGTTGTGAACTTGTCTCTCTTTTTTCTCTCCCGTCTTTGAAGTACCCATATTTCCTTTCCTTCTGAAGCGGTGGTTCGCTCAGTTCGTGAGTCTAGTTTTGTTAAATAGTTCAGGAAGGCCCTCCATAATTGTTATTAGTAAGACAGATCCATTGTATCCAAAAAAATCATTGCACTGGAAATTTCGTTTGTCCGAGAGTCAATGGCTAATTCGGAATCTGTTAATCCTAGTGCTAACAATATGTTGGCTGTTCTACATCGGTTGCTACCTGTTGTTGGACCGGCGCTTCTGATTTCAGTTGGATATCTTGACCCTGGAAAGTGGGCGGCAACTGCTGAAGCAGGTGCCCGTTTTGGCTCTGACCTGGCAGCATTGATGCTTATTTTCAATTTTGCAGCTATTTTATGTCACTATCTGTCAGCTCGGATTGGTGTAGTCACCGGAAGAGATCTTGCGCAGGTATTAATTCTCTCATGCAGGGTTTTATTAATGCATGGTTAGTTGTGGAGGTGCTGTGTGCTTACTCTGTTCACATTCATGCTTTTGAGCTGCGTCCTAACCAGGATACCCCTTTTCTTCACATGTTGTTATTTGATTTACTATGTAGTTGGCTGTTTGATCTCTCTCTCTCTCTCTCTCTCTCTCTCTCTGCTTGTACAGAGACAGTTGCATGCACGCATGCTTCTTGTTAAGCTGCCAAGTGTTAACACTTTTTTCTTTTCTTAAATTTTGTTTATGTCAAAAGATATGCAGCGAGGAGTATGACAAAGGCACGTGCATATTCTTAGGAGTTCAAACAGAGGTTTCTGTGATTCTGTCGGACCTTACCATGGTGATTTCTCTATCCTCATCGACTTATTCATTTGCCCCCATTTTGTCTAAACTATGTTGTGCTATGGCATAACTGATGATCTGCAGTATCATTGTTGAAACTAGATTTGTTATATGCGTGACATATGATTGCACTTATTTTACTAGATCCTCGGTATCGCACATGGACTTAATCTTCTGTTTGGGTGGGACTTGTTCACTTGCGTGTTTTTGACTGCTGTTAATGCTGTTTTGTACCCTCTTTTTTCCACCCTCCTGGTAAGTTCTGTTACTTGCACTATTCCTTTATAGTCTTGCATTTGCAATATTTATTACTAAAATACTGAGTATCCATATCAGGAGACTTGCAAGGCGAAGGTCCTGTGCGTATGCATTGCAGGATTTATACAGCTTTCCTTCGTTCTTGGAGTAATTATCAGTCAACCAGAAATGTCATTTTCCATGAATGGGATGCTAACAAAGCTGAGTGGGGAGAGTGCCTTTGCATTGATGAGTCTTCTTGGAGCAAGTATAATGCCTCACAGTCTCTATCTTCATTCTTCGATTGTGCAGGTATCTGTGCTTCTCACGCTCCCTGTTTTCTGCCTCTGCAATTACGTTTCACATCCATGCGTATATTGTTGAACATGAGCTTATGCATGTATGCGTATCTTTGTTGTATATATATTATATATGTTGATTCTTTTACAGGTGGTCAACTATTGGCAGCATCTGCTATTTGTTGTATTATATATGTCTGCCTGTGCATCTTTGGTTTACACAGTTGCTTATTGCATCTTGAGTTCATATGGGAGATTTTGTTTTAACATAAATCCTTGTGAACGCTTCTTCTGTCGGATGCATCATGAATCTCAACAGTTAGACGTATTTAGATATACATTCAATGCATGTGTTTACAGTGTCTAGCTCTTTTCTTGTTTCTCAATCTGACATTCCTTTTAGGACATGTTGCTGAGTCATCTCTAGTTTAAAAGAACCTTTTAACATACTAATTTGATTAAGAAGGTTAGATGGTTTCCTTTTCAATGGTCACTGCAGTTCGATAAGAGACCACTGAGGTCGCACTCAAATTTCTACTTCCTTTCTAAATAGAAAAAAAGATTTTCATTAACGGGAGCATTGAGATTTTCTTGTTGGAGTAGGGAGTCCAATAATAATCATTTTAATTTGTACATCAACCAATGTGCTTGTATCACTAAGTTCTGTCCCCTCCTGTCCATCCTGTTTGTAAACCTCTTGAATAATGTTTTGATTTGTGTGAACGGTCAATTCTCTGAAACTCAATTGTCCTAATTTTGCAGCAGTATCAGTGTCAGCCAACTGCTTCCAGGGATGCTTTGTGTCATCACCATTTAGTTGCCATCTTGTGCATCTTTAGTGGTATTTATCTGGTGAATTATGCCCTTATGACCTCAGCGGAGAATGAATACTCAGGCCTTGGTTTGCTTACATTTCAGGATGTAATGTCACTAATCGGACAGGTTACAATTTCTTCCCATGATTAGTTTGTGATGAATTCTATTTTTTTGACAACCGTTGAATATTTTGCAGCATACTGAGCCAAGTTGATTTTCTTTTCAAATTATACAGGTCTTTTGGGGTCCAATAGTATCTGGTGCCTTCCTGCTGGTTCTCTTTGTTTCAAATCAAATCACAACATTAAGCTGGAGTCTGGGTGGACAAGTAGTTTTGAATGATTTTTTGAAATTAGACCTTCCTGGTTGGCTTCATTGTGCCACAATCAGAATCATTGCTATTGTTCCAGCCCTTTATTTTGTTTGGAGTTCAGGAGCTGAAGGGATGTATCAACTTCTTATATTCACACAAGTGTTGGCAGCTCTGCTACTGCCATCTTCTGTGATCCCTCTTTTCGAATTGCTGCTTCAAGACCAATAATGGGTGTCCATAAAGTTTCTCAATTTGTTGAATTTTTATCCCTGATTACACTAATTGGGATGCTTGGATTGAAAATCATATTTGTAGTAGAAGTGATTGTTGGGAATAGTGATTGGGTTAATAATTTGAGGTCGAATGCCGGGAGTAGTATGTCTCTTCCTTGTGTACTTCTACTCACTTCTTGTGCAACATTTTGTTTAATGATTTGGCTGGCAGCTACCCCATTAAAATCTGCAAGTGCACGATTAGAGGCTCAGGTGTGCAACTGGGGTCTGCCTGTGGGTTCACCTGATTCAATAACAAAGAAAGAGGAGATCACTGAACCTAAATATCATAGAGAGGTAAGTGTCCAGAAGCATGAACCATCACCATCATTTGGGAGGGCTTTGGATAGTGATTCAGAAGTAGCGAGGTTTGATCTTGATCTGCCTGAAACTATCACAGAGCCTGATCAGGAGCTTCACCTAACTACTGTAGTGGAAAATGGTTCTCATATTACCTTTCCTCGCTCCCCTAAATGCCATATGGAGGGATCCACATCTACAGTGGAGTCAACTCCAGTCTCAAATGTGGTTAATGAGGTTTCTGATGTTACAATGGAGGGCATCAGTGCACTGAAGATTGAATCGACAGAGCAAATTGAAAAGACTGTTGGAGTTGAAGGAGACTTGCCAAATGAAAAAGATGATGATGAGGGAGATACCTGGGAGCCTGAAGATTCATTGAAAGGGGTTTCTGAGAGCACTGCTCCATTGACATCTGAGGGTCCAGGATCATTTAGGAGTCTAAGTGGAAAAGGTGATGAAGGGGGGAGTAGTGCTGGTAGCCTTTCAAGATTAGCAGGGTTGGGGCGTGCTGCGAGACGTCAACTAGCTGCAGTACTTGATGAATTTTGGGGACAATTGTATGATTTCCATGGGAATGTAATTCAAGAAGCAAAGGCTAAGAAACTGGATCTTTTGTTGGGGTTAGATTCAAAGGCTGCAACCTCGTTGAAAGTTGATACTAGTGCAAACGAACTTTCCGGATATTTTCCATCTGCAGGAGGCAGAGGATCTGATCCTATTATCAACTCAAGTTATATGACTCTCCGAAGCAGCAGAGGGTGCAAAGCAGTTTAGAGTCATATGGGGTCCAAAGGGGATCTTCCTCATTGTTGCCCAGCCGCATGCAGTTGTTGGATGCCTATTTACAAAATTCAAGCCGCAGTGTTATTGAGTCGGGTGAGAAGCGCTATTCAAGTGTGCGCAGTCTCCCCTCTTCTGAGAGTTGGGACTCCCAGCCAGCCACAATACACGGTTATCAGCTCTCATATCTCAATCGAATTGCAAAGGACAGAGGTTTTGATAATTTGAACGGTCAAATGGAGTCACCAGCCCTAACATCCGCTTCTTCATTGGGTGCTGCAAACTACAGAGATTCACTTGCATTTACCATGGGGCAGAAGTTACAAAATGGGTTAGGCTCTGGTCAGGCCTCCAGTTTCCAAAATCTTACAGTATCTAGAAATAGTCCGTTGCAATCTGAAAGACCGTATTATGATCTGCGCCCTTCTGGAATTGCTGAGAATGTGGTAAGTCCAGCAAATGCAAAGAAATACCATAGTTTACCAGACATTCACCGGGATCTTTACATGCCGGAGAAAATTGCCAACTGGGAAAGTCCTGTGGGGTATGGATCATCTACTGGGATAACAAATTATGAATCATCCTTGTATTCAAATTCTGGAGCACGAACAGGAGCTCCTTTGGCATTCGATCAACTCTCTCCATCACAAGTCTACAGAGATGCTTTTTCATCACAGCAAAATTCTAGTTTTAACACTGGATCCCTCTGGTCTAGACAGCCTTTTGAGCAATTTGGTGTAGCTGATAATAATCGTACTATTGGGAGTGGAGGATTTGGTTATCGGGCAGGTTCTGTAAGTCAAGAAGCTACTTCAGTTGCAGATTCAGAGGCCAAGCTTCTTCAGTCTTTCAGGCATTGCATTGTGAAACTTTTGAAATTGGAAGGATCTGACTGGTTGTTTACGCAGAATGATGGCGTTGATGAGGATCTAATTGATCGCGTGGCTGCAAGGGAGAAATTTCTTTATGAAGCTGAAACTAGAGAGATGAATCGAACAGTTCACATGGGTGAGCCTCAGTACCATTCTTCTGATAGGAAGTCTGTTTCTGCAATGAAGAATAATGATGCAAATTGCACCTCTTTTATGGTTCCTACTTGTGGAGAGGGTTGTATTTGGAGATCAGATTTGATAGTAAGCTTTGGGGTCTGGTGTATCCATCGTATTCTTGATTTGTCACTCATGGAAAGCCGGCCAGAGCTATGGGGGAAATATACCTACGTCCTCAACCGACTTCAGGTAAACACTGAAAAACTTCTGTTTATTAAGATACATTTCTGTGACTCCAATTTTTGCAAGGAAATTATGGTCTTTTCTGTAAGATTGTCATCTTGGTTACCATATGTCAACCAAGCAGAAAATAGTTATGCTTCACCATGGGTTTGACTAGGCAGTATATCTACCTTGGGACTTGATCAAACTGCTAGAAGGTTTTGATTGTTTATTTTACTGTTGGCATTTTTGCTCCATTTGTTGCATTAAATGAGTTTCTGCACTTTATTGGCTTTCATGATTACCCTGGGAACTCAAATTTGTTGAAAGAAACAAAGTAGATGAAAAGAGAAGAGAAAGATGAACAGGGGAGAGGAGGAAGTTGGCTAGGCTTTTCTATTTTACATTATTGAATATCTAAATCTTAATTAAAGTGTTTCTTTAAGGCCTATTTATAGAGGCCAGTCCAAGTCAAACAAGAAACAAAACCAAATCAAACCACAGCATGAATAGAATCCTAGAATAGTCCAAAGTTCCTAAGCCAATTAAGTAAACATCAAATAGACTAAATTGACTCTAACACTCCCCTGAAGCTGGGTCAAACATGCCTTGGACACAACACAGAAAAACAACCTTTGTTACATGAAAACTGAATGCTCTGTCAAGTACTTCAATTCTTTCTTAGCACACCAAAAGATTTTGATAATATGAGCCCAATTTTCTTGAAAAAAGAACAAGGAAACTGGCACTTATCTTCAACACCCAAAGATGAAACACCACCATCAGCGAGGGTGGCTATAATTTGGACCCTCTAGAGCTCCACTATAAATTGAAACCCAACACACTTGCCTAAACTGGAACTTGGGTAGAAGACACTGCAATTTCCTGCCACCAAACCACTTCACCACACACCACTGCTGGATTCACATCTAGGATCACACTAACTCAACAGTACTTCCCTTTATAGGAATTATGACAACAGTTGTTTATACTCTTGACACTCATCTTCACGTAGGGCTTCACCATCACTGGATACTTTTTGATTCTGTGGAAAAGAAATAAAGTAGATGGAAAGAGAAGAAAGAAAGAAAGAAGGGAGAAGATGAGAAATAAGACCTTTTTATAGGGTTTTCTAGTCTACATTTAACTTGGGGCTTGTGCTCAAATAGCCCTTTTTCACAACTTTTATTCTATAATTGCCCGTACAGTGTCTCTTTCTCGTCCCTATAGTTCCCTCTTTGTTGTACCTATAGTGTCTCTTTAATGAAAGGGGGGCTATTTTAGAATAGAACTTGTAAAAAAGGGCTATTTTAGCCAATTTCACTTTATTTCTTTAATTATTTTGTCAGGCTAGTCTACCTTATCCGGTAGCAAAATCCTAATGAAAGATTGCATCAAGGGGTATTTATAGAGGCCAATCCAAGTCAAACAAGGAAACTAACATCAAATCAAATCACACGATAAATAGAATCTTAGGGTAATGGAAAACTCCCAAAATAATATAGGAAAGTGAATAAAACTGACTATATTAACTCAAAACAAAATTATTCATCAATAGTTCTGTTACTTTCCTTAATTTACAGGACAACATTTTTTGGTCATGAATAGGCAATTTTTTTGTATTGAAAAGAAGGTAATTGTTTTCTTTGTTAGTGTGTAGGATGATTCTTCTGGCAGTAATATTTGTTACTGCTTTTGCACTTATGGGCCTTCACTTTAGGCAACTAAAATATTAGTTAACTTATAAGTTTGTCCTCCACTGTTCAGTCTCAAAAACATTCATTTTGGTAACCTACTATCTTTTCATGTATGTTGAACCTTGAGTGCTTTGTATTCTACACAGAATGCTTTCTACATGAGCACTGTTTATTGCTGCCTAGTGCGAGATGAGAATTATGCATGATAAGCTTTTATCATTCCCGTGACTCTCGGAAGAACTTTGGCCAAGTTATATGTGAAATATAGTGTTTTTCTATTGGTGAATTTAGAAGAAATTTTCTCCTGCATTGCAGTAATGCTACTTCTGTATACAAGTAGATTATCTTCTCATATATATATTTATTTATTTCCAAAGCTTCTAAATCAGTGATGTTAATGGCTCTGTATCCTGTTAATGTCAGGGGATTATTGATTCAGCATTTTCAAAGCCTCGCACTCCAATGTCGCCATGCTTCTGCCTTCAAATTCCTGCAGTACACCAGCTGAAGTCGAGTCCATCTTTTTCAAATGGAATACCCCCTGCTGCAAAACCAGCCAGGGGAAAATGCACAACGGCAGTAACGCTTCTAGACATAATCAAGGATGTGGAGATTGCAATATCTTGTCGTAAGGGCCGAACGGGGACAGCAGCTGGCGATGTAGCTTTCCCGAAGGGAAAAGAAAATCTGGCGTCTGTACTCAAACGCTACAAGCGTCGATTAACCAACAAAACTGCTGGCACTCACGAGGGTACTGGTTCACGCAAGGTTCAGGCATCTGCTCCTTATGGGTCATAGCTTTCACAGACAAACACAGTATGTCTCAACTGGGTTATTGAGCTGTTTGATTTTGGAAAACGGCTCATCTTCTGGATCAAAACCCTCAGTTAAGGCATAATTTCTCTCAGTGTATCAAAGCCATTGCTGCAATTTGTATTTCCTTGTATGTTAACATATACATAGGTAAGAATTGCTGGATCTGTAATTGCAGCATTATCAAAGAAAATGGGTAGAAGGATGAAAATTGGTTATTTTGCAATTCTTGTGTTGCTTGCTTGCTTGCTTCTGTTACTTGTTCTAATAAGATGGAAAGTTGAAAAATGCCAGGTGTGGTTGCCTCTATCCAAAGCTGTATGCTCCTTTTGGAGATTTTTGAGTCCCAAGTGTTTTGGATAATCTTTTTCCATTGCACATTGTTCCCAACCCAATGCTGTGGTCCTGGGCCATCGTGAGGAGAAAGACTTTTATGAAACTGGAATGATACTATTTTGCTATCTCGTATCAATAACATTATGACATGCGTGATAACACATCTACATGTTATAGTATTATTGGTTGGGGATAGCAAAACAGTGCTATCCCTGTTGCAACTAAATTTTTTCCCATGGTGAGGGTGGTGTTTGACATCAAAGAAATGAACAATATCTATCAAATATTTGAGAATGAAAGTTAATTGGGAATTTGAAGCAGGTTGTCTGTCTCTATCAGCAACATACAACCAAGAAAACCAAAAGTTGGTTTAAATTCCACCTCTAAACAAAATACCCACCTATATGTATGTGTATATATATATATATATATATATATATATAGTATTGCAAGTGGATGGAACCCAAATTTGTCAGAAAATAAATTCAGTGGACAAATTAAGAGTGACCATAAAGTTGAGTGAAAAGGCCATATATATATATATAATATTTGTATATTGTATAACCTCAACTTAATGAGTGGATTACATGTTTCTTAGTTTGTTTCCTCTAACGTGACGTGGCCCCAAATTTCCCCACCTATTATGCTAAGTTGCTGACAACTGTCCCGTATCCACGGTCAGATTTATGACACGTGGAGGGCTCAACCGAGTGACTGGTTGGACAATACATGTCATGGTCTAACAATTCCTCATCATCTCTCTCTCAGTCTCTCTCTCTCTGGTCTTTTGTGGTATTTTCCAGAGTTCACAGGCTCCAGGCAGGTATATTTGCTTGCTTTTGCTTTGTTTGGAAAACCAAGGCACACCCAACACCACCACCAAGACACCCAAGAGGTAAGTCCCTGTGGTTTTGCTTCTTAGGTCTACACAAGTATTAACAGACAGTGAGACAGAGATAGTGGATGTTTGATGAGGTTTAATTTATGGTCCATAACTTGTACACCCAAAAACAATTTAAGGGCTCATATTTAAGGTCCTGTTAGTACTTGGTCTGGAAATAAACAGTTCAAAATAATGACTGTACAAGTGGTTAAAAGCAGTTACGCGCTTTCATCTAGGTCCTGTGTTCGAATCCCTCCTCAATATCTTTGTATAAAAGAAAGTGAATTGCATCACACTGAAAGTAAAATGGGATTTTAGACTGAAAATGGAAGAAAGAAAGGGTTTAAATTTTATTTATTTTCATTGACTTTGAATCTATCTCTGGGTTTGTGATGTCGCAGTGCAGACATTTCTTTGGCTGAAAATCAAAATGGGATATGTCGTGGTGGTATCAGTTCCTGTGATATTGTTCATCGTGATTATAGCCCTTGCTTTTTACCTCATTGGTAGGGCAACCGGCCGAAGGGAAGCTTTCTCTGCTCCACAGCATTTTGGGCCTCCAGTGCCTCCTCCACCACAGGCCCAGGAAAAGTCCGACCAGGTCTGAAAAATCCTGAGAGTAAAAATTGTGTGCCTGCTGTTGTAAGAAAAGAAACCGTCAAATGTATAAATAATTACTTGTATGCATAAAACAGAAATTTTACTTACAATGATACAGTTCAATAGTTTCAGTTTATTGGCATGTGGGTCTTACCTTCCATTGCAACGAATTAAACAACATCATTACAAGTGAGATTTTACAGTTTTAGTTCAATTTCATGTTGATGATAACCATTACAAATGCTTTAAGAAAAGAAAAAAAAACGTGATCTTAGTTTGGAGGAAAGGCCCCTTATGTTGCATGGTGAATTGATGATTTAGTAGTACCTCTTTCTGCAAACTAATGAAACTCTCTTCTAATAATGCATTGAATTTCTTTCTTTTATCAATTAATTGAGAATGGGAAGATTCGAGTCTGGGATCTCTTTTAACGTTGGGAAAATAAGTACTACTAAATTGAGAGCTAGTTGATAACAATATTACGTTAATTAAACGTGCAAGTTTCATAATAGTATGTTATGAAGGTCAAAAATGATAATTAATTGGGTCCATGGAGATTTCTATTTGCAACAAAGAACCAAGCAAGCCATATACTGTCTTAAATAGCCCCTTATTTTAGAGAAACCAAAGTAGCAAACAATTTCCATATAAACAATATACAATGCAGATGGAGCAAGTAAAGGCAGATGACAGCATAGTGTGAGTAATGAGATTTCTTCCACTTTCTTAGTTTGCAAGTCTCCAGTATCCACCGTCGGATCGATGACACGTGTTGATATCAGCTCACCAGGGACCAAGTTTATCAATTTTGTTTCTACTCAAACTCATTACAAAGCTTGGTCTAGAAAATCAAGGCTCATTACAAATAGAAAGAGGTAACAGGTAGCTAGCTGCATATGATTTACACCATTTTATTTGAGTTTTCTGGTAATACATTGATCCAATTGGTGCTTATCCTCAAACCAAAGACACGTTCATCTTTAGTTGTATCACAAAGTCAACAAATTTATGAAACCGGATTTTATTCTTTATTAAATTTCCTTAATTCAAGTAGCATGGCTTTGACCTCATCAAAATTCTAAAATGGGATATTGCGTTGTGATGGTATCAGTTCCAGTGGTATAGCGTTGCTCTTGATCCTGGCTCGGGCTTATTACATGTGGGGTTGGGCCATGCTGAATTATGGGCCTCCAGCACCTTAAGCCCAGCCACCCGCTCAGGTTTATTATTCTATTCTTTGTTTTTTCTTTTTCTTTTTGGTGTGGATATGTTAATAATACCCTTTCAAATAAAAAAGTTTAGTAGCAGACATAGATTTATTTACGATCTATAGTATTATTTATAAATTTTTATATTTTTAATGTTTACTTAATTTAATTAAATTTTTTTAAAAACTGTTATTAGCACTCCAAAAAAGTCTTCCGGTTTTTTATTATTACAAATGTTTATTAAGGTGTTTGGTGAGAAGGCTCAATTTGACCACCGTTGAGATCTGCTGAGGCGGCACCAACCCAAAAGGTTAGATAAGAAAAATAAAAAGAATAATATTTTTTAAAAAAAAACACACCAATTCATTCTTTTTATTTACCAAAAAAATTATAAAAAATCATATCCAATCAAATTAGGAACAAAATGGGTTGGATGAATTCTAATTATGGGCAGTGACCACCTGTTTAAGGTTGCCTGAACACATGGAGCATAGCGAAGCTCTGGTAGACAAGAAGATCATGGCATTTAAATACATATGAAACATTTAGGTGAAAAATTTCCAAATCGAACTGAACCAGACGACGATACAAAAACATGTGCATGGACAACCTTAAACAGAAGTTAGGTATATATATATATTTATTAAGTGCATGATGAACAAACAAACCAGTAGTCCAACACTATATATATAGTCACGTGCTGTCATCTAGTTTCTCCCTTTGGTTTCAAAGTGTAGAAGGGGAGAGAGTGGAGAGTGTTAGGCCAAGTCACGTGACGCATCATGAGTCGGCATTTCTCTTTTCTCTGGGAGTTTGGTAGGCACTAGGAGTTATGTATTTTTCGTGAAAATTCCGTCATCCTCACATCAACCCTAACGCGTTGCATACCTTGATTCCATTAAAAAAATGTGTGGTGGAAAGTGGGAGGGGAACCTCTGGTATGATGCATGCTTTGCTATGGGGTTTGGTTTTGGTTTTGGTAGGTGGGGATGTATGGCGTGGAATCCAGCTTTTAGGGTTTTGTTTTTCTCTTTCCTATTTATTTTCTTGCACGAACAATTCATATAACTCTTGAGAGAGATCTGAAATGATGAGGATAAAAATAGTACTTGCAATGATGTGATCCTGAAAGTTAATTCTAATTCAAAATTCGGTGTACTCCGTTACAAAATGTATGTATAACTTAATTTTTCGCGGTTACGTATTTTATAATCGGAATTGATAATTACTTTGATCGTCATGTCTACAAAGATACCTCACATTTGAACTTGTCGGAAGTTACTTACTCATGAATAATAATTGACAAATTGGAGAGCCTATGGCCTACGCACATAAAAATTCTAAAGTTAATTTAGTTACATCATTGTGGCATATTCATGGGGAAAGCTCCAAAAAGCATAAAAGTGAAGAATAATGTTCATGGCGGTTGATACAAAATGATCCCCAAAAGATTAGGCCTTGGGGATGTTCTCTTACATTTGTGTATATATAACCAGGGATTTATATATATATAAACAAAATTGTGGGTGCCCAAGATTATCAAGTAAAACAAAAACTCATATAGTTTTTTTCTTTTTTCTTGAAAGCATATATTTAAAACATGTTCCATTTAAAATAAGACAAAACCATGTAGCTTATATTATTTTTATTATTATACAAGAAGGTTTTTATAAAAAAAATGGAAAAAGTATTTTTACTGCGAATTTTATATGGCTCATGCTTGAATTGGATCGGATCTGGTTGAAGAATTATCCCAAGTCAAACACACAGCACATGATCCCATCCTGTGAAAGTGGTCCGCGGCTTTCAGTTGCATCGCAGCCTCAATTTTATATTCGTGTTTCTTCTTCTTCACCTACGTAGCTATGAAATCAAAGGAAAGGAAAAGAAAATCAAAGTGGAGGTTGGTGGTGGCATGCAGCAAGACTTGTTAGCTCAAAAAGCCCCTAGCTTTCAAAAGGTCAAACCTCAAAAGATCTCTCTCTCTCTCTCTCTCTCTCTCTCATCTTTATCCACAACAACCCAATCAAGATTATGATTTGATAATCTATGTCTTAATCAATGAATGTGATACAAATAGTTTTTCTAATTATAATCTTTATTCCGGAGTGCTAAAGAAAATCGATATGTGAATTAATTATATGTTTTCTTTTTGCGTATGCAGCTGCCTAGTCTTTGTACATAATTAGTCTAGTATTAGGTGAAGTTAACTTTATTTTTCCTTTGTTTGGTGGTCATTAGCTTGATCGGCTTCGTACCCACTAGCAAGGGAAAAGTTTTGCTAATTATGTTCAGAAAAAGTTTGGTGGGTCTTAAAGTCGAATCACCTAATTGCATCATTTTTTTTAAAGTTCAAAAAAGTAGTGCTTCTTTATAGTTAGAGTGAAGAAGTTATTTTGTTCAATTTCGTATCAACATATATATCAAACCTACAATTAATCTCTGCACATGTTTTGCCCAAATTAAGCACTAACATATATGGAATGAAGGCTTGACCATATTGGACCTCTATTGTCGCTGATTTCCGGATTCTTTTATTAGTTTGAACACATATAATGTTTTTGTTGTCCAATAGAACGACACGGACCTACAGGTAAATATAGTCCAATACCGATATTGTCTTAAATTTAATTATTTAGGCTCATTAAATCAAGTAAAATTCAAAATAGTATACTCATATATATATATATATGTGTGTGTGTGTGTGTGAGAGAGATTTTATCTTAAAGTGATGAACCACATACTTTTAACTCGTACATTGTTATAGCATTTATCAACGTATTATTAAGTTCATACACGTCCATACCTTGTATCCAGCCCCACAACCTAATAAAATAGAGTCCAATAATTTCTCTACAAGGCATTGAAGTCAAACTCTTCTTAGAAGACATTTTGGTGTACACATTGTTGTGGGTTGCTTTTTGACTCAGCATCGATGCCTTAGACTTGACTTGAGTTACTTGACCAATTTAATACATTACATGCAATGCACCGAAATGAAGAGATGGAAAATCTGAAAGCTAAAAATACTGTGGCAACAACCTTGCCCGCTAAGGACTTGCGAAGCAATTCATGAGAATTGGTTTGGAAATTATTATTTTTCCACAATTTTGCTTTTTTTTTTATTATAAATACCTCGAGGTGTCCCCACACTAGAAAGATGAGATTAATTTCCGTTTGGGGTTAAGCTTATCCCTAGCCACAAAGTGCTTCCAACGAGTTTCAAACCTCTGTCATTAAGACATCAGGTAACTCGCCAGCTGAAGGTGACAGTTTGCCAACCGCACCACGTCTTGTGGTTACAATTTTTCTTTTAAAGATTAAAGAAGATGACTTGAATAAACCAGACCAAATTAAGTAATCAGTTAATATGATCCACAGAAGGCATATGCAAATGACTAAATGAGAATATTAAGTTTTTAACAATGATTGATTAGTAGTTAATGCATGTCATAAGCTTTGTTTCTGTTACCTTTAATTGCGAGTCACACACATAAGGTTGCACATACTATAATTTTATAATGTTTCAGTTTCAGCTACCAGTTGAAGGGAAAAAAAAAGACCAAACGTGACAAACTAACCTTAATTAAATGATCTGTGATCAAATACTACAAGTAGAATGTTCAGTGAGAACTAATATATACAAATGTGTAGCTCGACCCGATTTATATATATAAAGTATCATAAACAATACCTCTAATATTCTTTATTTGATTGATGACCGAGCTAAACTTTGGTCCTTTTTTTAGTACAATCGATCTTTTTTTCTTCTTATAGTACAAGCGATAATCTAAACTGTATGAGGATATGATTTTCTCACACACACACCATGATGTAATTGTTATTCAACTTGAGACATCTGCAAGTTCGAAACTTTTTTTTAATGATTAGACCCGGCTGGGTTGGTCTTTTAAATTCAAATCAAATTGTAGAAGAACATAAGTTATTCGAAAGAGCCGAAAGGAAAATAGCATTACTAGTCATCTGGGTCGTGCCAAATACTACTCATGAGAAAATCAACCAAATTTTGAAATAAATATGAACGGAAGTTTATAGTACCAAAATATGTGGTTTGAGTGAGTTGTCCCCCTTCACAAAAATAGATATTTGTTGTTGAAATTTTCCCCAAAAATGGAGTATTGATTTGGATCCGGACCAGACGAGCGGTTCACATTGGGTATATGTTGTCCTTCAAATTGCCACATATTATTTGCAAATTGCAAGTGAATAGACAATTAATTTATAGCATCTTGTCTACAATTTGGTAGACGAACTTGCATGTGAGCTTTTAATTGGACAGGATCAGGGGAGCTCTTGGGCACAGACAGACAAGGCAGCCGCTTAGAGCCGCCCCAGTTTGTATAAACCTCATATACACGTATACGTATGCTACACCAATAAAATGTTCGTTAAATTGACCCAGACTTCTGATGTACTCCCGAGTGGTCCTTAAAAAGGAAAAATAAAAAATAAAAAAAACTAAAAAACTGAAGAAGAGAGTAAATTATCATAAAGAAAAAGAAGTAGGTGCTTCATTGACAGAAAGTCCTTTGAATTGGCCTAACGGACATCGTGGCATCTTCCAGCAAAAGACCATCTGTTCTTCCACCTCTTTCCTCCTCAGCCGACAAAATGCCCGCCACTCATTCTCATGCGTCCATCTTTAGAATGACACAATTAAAAAGCATCACCCCACGAATGGACTCCCTGGTTTTGCGTGCTCCATCTACATTTATTTTTAAAAGAACTTTCATATTTTAAAACCCAACCACTTCATCACAAAGCCCTCTAACGCCACTTGTTATACTGAAAAAAAATTAATCATACACCAAGGTGGAGTTGAATTTTTAATTTATGAGCTCCGAATTTGAAAAGCTTGACCCACCTCGTCAGTTAATGTAAAACATACAAATTATATATTAATTATTACCACTTGAGTGTGTTATGAGCCTATCATTTACGTGTAAAAGTGAAGAAATTATAAAATAGTACGGTAATACTAGTAAAAGATTTTATATATGCATCATGGTTTTTAAAAAAAACTTTGATTAATAATAGTAAAAGATTTATTTATATTTTGGATGAAGATAACAGAAAAAGAGAGCTGATTTTCCAACTTCTCTTTTATCCACTTACATTCTCTTTGTTAGAAATTGTATGTTCACACTCATTTTTTGTTATAGTAAAAACTATTAAAAAAACAAAAGGAAGTGTAAGTAGACAAAAAGAGAGTGGGAAAATCACCACCCTAGAACAAACTTATGATTTAAAACAATGCTGCTATTTCCACCATTTGTCATATTTTCCCACCCATCTTATCTTCTCACCTACTATAGAAATTTGAAAAACACAAAACATATCTTTCCACCTACCATTATTTCTAAAATACCATTTAATTATTAATTCAAGCAAACTCTCTCTCTCCTTTTTCTTTCCCTTACTTCTTTCTTTTCTGTCTGTTTCCTTTATTTTTTTCTTTTCTTCTTCTTTCTCTGCTCCAGTTTTCTTCTTCCTCTTTATTTCCTTATCTCTTCTCTCTTTCTTCTTTCTATGCGCCATTTTTTGCTATAACCACACTACATGCAAAAAATTTGGATTTAACCCATATCTATGCCCCTCACTGCTGAACTTTTATGGGTCCGCGTCCGCCACTGACCCCCGCCACCAATTTGTTATTCCCACCCCAACCCACGCGCCTCCCCCTCTGGCGAAACCCAAAATAGAAGATGATGACCATGTCATCTTCTTTTCTTGTTGTACAGAAACTCAAAGAAATTGCAGGGAGGGTGGGGATGGAGTTAATGGGAGTGCTGAGAAATTGCAGGCTAGAATTGAGACGTAAGATTGGGGGTGGATTTAATGGGAGTGCTGAGAAATTGCAGGTGCAGGGAGGGTGGGGCTAGAATTGAGACATAAGATTGGGGGTGGATTTAATGAAAGTGCTGAGAAATTGCAGGGCAGGGACGATGGGGAAGGATGGAAAGGACGGTCAGTGTGGATGTTAAACAAAAGAAAAAATATATATACGGATGTGGGTGTAGGTGTGCGTGAGAGAGAGTTGTAAATTTCTCCGTAGAAGTCATTTTGTAAAGGGATAAATTTAACTCTTTTTAAACAAACTATTTTTGCCAGTTTCCTTTATATTCCAAAAGACGCATTCTCTTCCAGTCATGCACTCTCCAATGCCAAAACTTCACCATCGTAAAAATTTAATCCATATGGTTGCGACCATACTCACCATCGTTTTCGTAACAGATCTGAAAAAAATCATGATTTTTAGCGAACTACTTGTGCATAAGAGCAAACAAATAAATATAAATAAAAATCATCATAAATAATAATTGGATGATTTGTAGCAACTTTCGTCAAATAAAATGTATAACCAAATTTAGATAATCTGAATAGTGTTAGAGAACGAATTTGGGAAAAAAAAAAAAAAAAAAAACTTGTATAAAAAAAAATACTTATGCTGTAAAACCTCCGTATTCAATACCGATACAAGTTGACCATAAAATTGCATAAATACAACAAAAGAAAAACTTATTTATTTTTGTTTTTGTTTTAACTTTTACTTTTCCACACTCACAACAATCCTCACCAACCACTTTCCCTGGTGTCGTCTCCTACCCTTATACCGAGCAACTAACAAGTATACGGTCGTCCAATCATCCATCTTAGAAGCCACGTAGCCTACATCCCCACCGTTGGATCCACAGATGATCATACGGTCACGTTCAATTTTCAACCAACCCTCGTGTGGCTCTCTGCCCCTTATGCTCACCTACCAAGCACTTCCCAAAGATGACCCGTTTCAAAACCCTCCCTCCTTTTAACACTTCTTCTCCATCCACCATCTCTCTATTTAAGCACCCTCCTCTCTCCCTCCTCTTCTCAGAAAAACACTCTGCACACCCTCCTCCTCCATATTCTTCTCACATTCATCAAACACTTTGCTCCCATCAGTTCTTGTATTTTCCCATCTGTTTTTGGTAATTAACATGGCAACCAACTCCATCAAGCAAAATGGCCACCAAAACGGATCGTTAGAGTCTTCTGAGCTCTGCATAAAGAAGGACCCTTTGAACTGGGTTGTGGCAGCAGAGACACTAAAAGGGAGCCACTTGGATGAGGTGAAGCGCATGGTGGCTGAGTACAGGAAGCCGGTGGTGAAGCTCGGTGGAGAGAGCCTGACCATTTCCCAAGTGGCGGCCATAGCCACTCATGACTCTGGGGTCAAGGTTGAGCTCTCTGAGTCAGCCCGGGCCGGCGTCAAGGCCAGCAGCGACTGGGTCATGGACAGCATGAGCAAAGGGACTGACAGCTATGGTGTCACCACTGGGTTTGGTGCTACCTCCCACAGAAGAACAAAGCAAGGGGCTGCCCTTCAGAAGGAGCTCATTAGGTAAGCTCTAGCTCCTCCTCATCATAACATGTTTTATGACACCGAATATCAATTTACAGTACCTGCTGCATTGTCTATATTTATTTGTACACTGTTGATGTTCGATCGTGAGCGTATCATATACAGTAGATTGGTAGTCGGTAGCTCAGCCAACTAATTCCCATCGTTTTATTTGCACCGCTTGCCTCACCTAGAACTTTGACTCGACTGAGTTGACCCAGTGTATGGTGGACGAGTTGAATGATTTGTTGTTGTGGTGGGTATGGAGGGCATAGGCATTGCTTAGTTAATTACTTGCACGTGGAATATATAGGGACCGAGTTGAAACGGGAGAGTTGACTGAGTCAGGACGGGTTGACTGCCCATCCTCTCTCTCTCTCTCTCTCTCTCTCCCTCTGTTTTGTTTTTTTTGGGGGAAAGAACATGTTTTGTGGACTTGGGGGTTGAGAATTTTGCTATAGGAAACCTTTAGAATGACATGGTGAAAGTTGGGTTTTGTCACGAGAGGTGACAATTATAATTAGGTGAAAGATCTGCTATAGTGGATCTTGAATGTTAAACTAATAATTTTGGACCCAAGTGGATTTGACTTTTATAATTTATGCCATCAGCTTTTCTCCTACATTTGTTTTTCAATACCTTTCTTAATTCACCAAAACATGGCTGATAATTGTGGTTTGATTTTCCTGGTTCAGATTCTTGAACGCTGGAGTGTTTGGAAGCACGAAAGAGTCAGGCCACACTTTGCCTCACCAGGCAACAAGAGCAGCCATGTTGGTTAGGATCAACACACTCCTTCAGGGCTACTCTGGCATAAGATTTGAGATCTTGGAAGTCATCACCAAGTTCCTCAACAACAATGTCACTCCATGCTTGCCCCTACGCGGCACGATCACAGCCTCCGGTGACCTTGTCCCTCTGTCCTACATCGCCGGGATGCTAACTGGCAGGCCTAATTCCAAGGCTGTTGGACCAGATGGCCAGACCCTCAGTGCTGCAGAGGCTTTTGAGTTTGTTGGCATCAATTCCGGGTTCTTTGAGTTGCAGCCTAAAGAAGGCCTGGCTCTTGTTAATGGCACTGCTGTTGGTTCTGGCTTGGCTTCCACGGTTCTTTTCGACACTAACATTTTGGCATTGCTGTCAGAAATTCTATCAGCAATTTTTGCTGAAGTTATGCAGGGGAAGCCTGAATTTACTGACCACTTGACGCATAAGTTGAAGCACCACCCTGGCCAAATTGAAGCCGCAGCAATTATGGAACATATTTTGGATGGTAGCTCTTATGTTAAAGCTGCTAAGAAGTTGCACGAGCAGGACCCTCTGCAGAAGCCAAAACAGGATCGATATGCTCTCCGAACTTCACCTCAATGGCTCGGTCCACAGATCGAAGTGATCCGGTACTCCACCAAATCTATTGAGAGGGAGATCAACTCAGTCAATGACAACCCTTTGATTGATGTGTCAAGGAACAAGGCCTTGCATGGTGGCAACTTCCAGGGGACCCCGATTGGTGTCTCTATGGACAATACTCGTTTGGCTATTGCAGCCATTGGGAAGCTCATGTTTGCTCAATTTTCTGAGCTTGTCAATGACTTTTACAACAATGGATTGCCATCAAATCTGTCTGGAGGCAGGAACCCAAGTTTGGATTATGGCTTCAAGGGGGCTGAGATTGCCATGGCATCTTATTGTTCTGAGCTTCAGTTTCTCGCGAACCCGGTCACTAACCATGTCCAGAGTGCAGAGCAGCACAACCAAGACGTGAACTCTTTGGGGTTGATCTCTTCAAGAAAGACAGCTGAAGCTGTTGATATCTTGAAGCTCATGTCTTCCACATTTTTGGTGGCACTTTGCCAAGCCATTGATTTGAGGCATTTGGAGGAGAACTTGAGGAACACAGTTAAGAACACAGTGAGCCAAGTTGCTAAGAGAACTTTGACAACTGGGGTTAATGGAGAGCTCCACCCATCAAGATTCTGTGAGAAGGATTTGCTTAAAGTGGTCGATAGGGAATATGTTTTCGCCTACATCGACGACCCCTGCAGTGCCACTTACCCATTGATGCAAAAACTAAGGCAAGTGCTGGTTGAGCATGCTTTGACAAATGGTGAGAATGAAAAGAATGCAAGCACTTCAATCTTCCAAAAGATTGTTGCTTTTGAGGAAGAGCTGAAGGTGCTTTTGCCTAAAGAGGTGGATAGTGCAAGGGCTGCATTGGATAGTGGAAGTGCTGGAGTTCCAAACAGGATTACGGAATGCAGGTCTTATCCGTTGTACAAATTTGTGAGGGAGGAGTTGGGTGCAGAGTACCTAACAGGGGAAGAGGTCAGGTCACCGGGCGAAGAATGCGACAAGGTGTTCTCAGCTATCTGCGAGGGAAAGATTATCGACCCGATTCTGGATTGCCTCGAGGGCTGGAACGGTGCACCACTTCCGATCTGTTAGCATTTCGTTACGCTTTGAGTGCTGCATTCCATTCCACTACTTCTGTGTCCATAAGTTTGATTGCATTGCTGGTAGCTTGTGTGACTATACCTATTTTACCTAATAAATGTAAAACCATCTACTTATGCTTTTTGATTCTTTCTAAGTTCTTTACCACTTCTTTGTTATTTAGTGAGAATAGTATTAAAATAGTCAGGAAATGTTTTTCAGAAAATGTTGAATGTCTCTCTCTCTCTCATCAGTTAAATAAGCATCTCCCATAGGAGGCTATCAATTCTCTTCATTTTCTTTTTGACAAATCTCTATTTTCTTGAGGCTGATGAGTTTCACTTCTCTTATTTCATCATTGTGATTTCAATTCAAGTGATAATCTGATCATTTGAGTTCCTAAATGACCACCATAATGTTAAAATGAGATGATGCAGAAGAAAATGTTACCAAAATTTACACCAGAACTTCAAATACTTTTTAGCCCTTCAACTCAAACCAAAATCCTTTTAAGCCTGGCTAGACCAACAAGATCATGAAAACTAATTGGCAACAAATAGAATTAATCAAAACAAAACAAAATAAAAAGAAGAAGGAAGATCCCCCATCAGAGTCTAAACCATACAGAGGGGCCAAGCACTCAGCAACCATAAGCCATTATAAGACCAAAAGGATGGCTCGAGATCCACCTGGTTGGTTTAGCACTAGAGAAAATGCAAACTCCTGGTCAGCTGCCACCAATTTGAGACCATAAGAGAGAGAGAGAGAGAGAGAGAGAGAGAGAGAGAGATGCTTTGACACTGTTCAACTGGACAAGTCTTGTCCACTTCAATAATCCAAAGAGCTCAAATTTCATGAATAATCATTGGACATACAAAACATGACATCGTACTAAAAATGCTCTTAACTACCACTAAGTTGTTAAAATAACATTATTGTTACTGGAACAAATAGTTCAATAATATCTATATATTGTCTCGTCATTTCGTTAACAAACCGTCTTAGATAATCTTAATATAACATAAAGGGCTTTTTATCACAGAACATCCTGACGTTTGCAAAACTATCAGATTTCGTCTTTAAAATATTTTTGTATCATTAGTGGTCTCTAACGTTAATATGTGTGCTCTTAAATATCCTTATCATGACTATCCGTCAAAAAAATCGTTAACTCTTATTATGTGAATCACGTGCCCATTTTATGAAGGATATAATTGTCAAACCAACCCCCTTTGACCTCCTCAACGCCTCAGACCCATTTGCCGCCAATTTGGAACCATTTCCCTCCATTTCTTGTTGGATTGGCGGGCAAGAAGGGCTTTATATATGGGTTTTTGTGTTTAGGGCACAACTAAAGCTACAGTTCCATTTTCACATCCTAGAAGAATGCTTTACTCTGGACGAAGAAGAAGCGCTGAAAATGAAAGGGAAGAATATGAACAAATTGAACTATAGACAACACACATTGAACAAATTGAACAAACTAAACTATCAACCACTATGAACAAATTGAACCAACTCCATACATAAAAAATCACTTTCAATTGCATCATATCAACCACATTCAGTTCCATCACATTAACCACTACACGACTTCCATCAAAAACCACTTTAAGTTTCATCACTTTAACCCTTAGAAAGCTTCCATAAAAAAACAATATCATACATCAAAAATCTTAGACCACTTCCATCAAAAACCAATTACAGTTCCATAAAACATCATCCCAAACTCTCCATGGCCTTCCTTTCTTTGCTGGAGACTTCAGTCTCCTTCTTTGGGCAGTTTGTGATATTGAGGCTTGCTGGGATGAAGAATTGTGTGCAGTAGGAGGTTGTGAAAGCTGACAACTGCTAGAGAAGGTTGGGATGAAGAATTTATCAGTTCTAGCATGAGTTGTAAAATCTGACCCATTAGCAGCTTTATCATTATTTTGCTTGTCGCATAAAGCTAAATTTCATACTTCGTCTCAGAGATGTGACACCATCAAGGCTTCATTTTGAACAAAAAGATACAATTGGGGCACTGAAAGACTCTGGTTTGTCTTTCTTCTCCTTTTTTTGGGCCTTTTGTTTTGGTACATTATTTTGTCTGAGCTTTTGCTGCACAATCGATCCCAACCACCAAATGAAATAATCATCCATGCTTGTGAATCGTGCACTAACTTGCATCCATTTTGTGCAGCATTAAGTCCCCTGGTTTTATACTTCAATGCCTAAAGATGAGTTTTGCTATCGAATAATTGTTTAAAACCAAACTTAAGTTCCAAGTATGAGTTTTGCTTTCACAAGTATTCAAGCACATGTAGACGTCCGTTCGTTGTTGATGTATGTTTAATCCATTGTATAGTCCTTACGCATTCACAATTAACAATTGTCTAAACATGTGTGAATGACTATCTATCGAAGGTTAGAAGAAAGTATGTATTCCCCTTTAATCAAACCCACAAGTTCAAAAGTACAAACTATCAAAGTCTGCCTAGGTTGAGAAAATGGAGCTAAAAAGCATATGTTCATTAGAGCATTTCCACTCATTTGCCATGGTAAAAGAAAGGGGAAGCAAAGGTTGTTACTAGTCACATGAATAGTGCATGCCCTATCAATTTTTTGTTGTTGGTTTTCCACCCATTGCCATGGCAACCACTATTCACATAAGATATGATGAGAGGAATTTGTATAGAGTTTTGGTGTGGGAAGTGAAGAATATGGCTAGGTATTTATAAAATAAAATAAAAAATCTGAAATCTTTTGTATTTTTTTTCAATATTTTTTGTTATTTAAATTGGTTGCTGATGTCACAATGACGTTAACATTAGGTCAGCATGCCCAAACAACAATTCAGACAAGTCTTGCGTTTGGGCTTGCCCAGGTTGATAGAGCCTAGCTCTTGCTCTGGCCTAACTTGGGCGTTGGAAATTGAATTGGGGGCCTAGAAGGTCTCTTGCTCGGAGGCCTCTTAGTGGAAATGCTCTTAGGAACATCAAGATTGTGCACAAGAATAGAATGAAGTGACAGGGTAAGACGTAAGAGTATCTTCTGGGCCTGACCCAACCCAACTAATAAGTTGGGTCAAGTATCAAGGGAGCATAACAAGACTCGCACATAAAGTCCATTGACCATTCCTGGTGGGTTTAAAGCTCTCAGAAGGCCTAAGGCTGCAGAAACTGAGACCATTTCAGTTATGTTTTTCATTAAACAATAAATAAAAAAGTTCTCACGAGGTTTGCGAAACTATTAGGTTTAGTGTTATTGAGTACAAGTGATAATCTTTTGTATGGAAGTCACGCACACATACACATACATTTAAGATGTTATGGAGTTCGAACTTGAAATCTCTTGTATGTAAGTTTAGGTCCATTTCTACTAAACTAGACTCGTTAGCATTAGGTTTAGTGTTATTAGTCTTTCATCTTTTATTTTTTCGACATGTATCATCCTATTCCCAAAATTCTGTAAGCTTCAAATTTTTTTAGTCTAATTGTATTTCTATAAAAAAAAAAAAAAAAAAAAAAAAAAAAAATTAAAATTTCCCTTCTCCTTTTTTTATTAAAAAAATTTAACATTTTGTTTCCAAAATAAAGGTTTTCTTTTAAGGCTAAAAAAAGAAAATAAGTAATTGGCGGAGAATATATTATTCCAACAAAAGAAATTTAAAAAATAAAATTATTGCTAGTCAATGGAATAAATAATAATATTCTTCCAGTCTGTCTGTTCATTTAGTTATAGACCGAAAAAAGTTTTGTGTTATTCTCTTCGATCGCCAAATTACACAAGCAGCGATAATGGCTTCCCACCTATTGAGGCGCGCCCTCGGAAGCCGCTCGACCCAGTTTATCTCCGGCGCCGCGAATCCTAGCCCTAGCCTGCTATCCTCTTCATCACCGTCATCACAGGCAGCTAGGGTTTTCTCGTCTGATTCCACTCCGATCCGTGCCACTCTCTTCCCCGGCGACGGTATCGGCCCCGAGATCGCCGAATCCGTCAAACAGGTCCCTCTCCGATCTCTATCGCCTTCTTCTGTTCCAATTTTCCATTTGCGCGCCTTTTATTTTGCATCAGAGTTTTATATTGATATCTGTATGTATGTATTGTATGTGTGCGTTCAGACATATATACGCACACTTGCACTGACATACACTTGAAAGTTTAAAGTTTAGGGTTTTGAAATCTTAGTGGAATTTAGATGTTTCATTGGATATTAGTCTGTTATTAAGATAATAATTTTTGGCTGATCAAGTATTTTTGAACGGTTTAGAGTTTGATGATTTGATTTGTTGTGAAGTTTGCTTCAATGGGAATTTATTTTTATTTTCCTGAATTGATCAGGGAGCTACCTCATCATAAAAATGCAAATTTAAAGAAGAGATCACATTTCCCAGAAAAATGTCGATAATTTAAATGCCGAAATTCAGTTCTTGCATGATTAGGACAATGTCCTAGTTTAATAACTAATGGTGTGTGATGGCTGTTGTTTGTATTTACTCTGTTATGGTTTCAAGTTCTGATTCAGTTCACAATTTGCGTGGGTGCAGGTATTCAGAGAAGCTGAAGTGCCAATTGAATGGGAAGAGCATTACGTTGGGGACCAAATTGATCCTAGAACTCAGAGTTTTCTAACATGGGAAAGTTTAGAATCGGTACGAAAGAACCGGGTAGGCTTGAAAGGGCCAATGGCCACACCAATTGGGAAAGGTCATCGTTCATTGAACCTTACTCTGAGGAAAGAACTTAATTTGTATGCAAATGTCAGGCCTTGTTACAGCCTTCCTGGATATAAAACTCGATATGATGATGTCAATCTTATCACTATTCGTGAAAATACAGAGGGGGAGTATAGTGGACTTGAACATCAAGTAAGTCTTTAAAGAATAAGCAGAATAACATAGTCAGATATTTTTTATGTACATAAATTTGATTTAAGTTCCTTGTTTTTGTTGTAGGTGGTGAGAGGTGTTGTTGAGAGCCTCAAGATCATAACCCGTCAGGCAAGCTTGAGGGTGGCTGAGTATGCTTTCCATTATGCCAAAACCCATGGAAGAGAGAGAGTGTCTGCGATACACAAAGCAAACATTATGCAGAAAACTGATGGTCTTTTTCTTAAGGTTTGCTAACTACATTCTAGTTGATTGTTTTCCCAAGTGTACTCGTATCAAAACTGGTTTGATCTTTGCTTTCAGTGTTGTCGTGAGGTTGCTGAGAAGTACCCTGACATAAAATACGAGGAAGTCGTCATTGATAATTGCTGTATGATGGTATGAATAAATTTCCCTTTAAACTTGGGGAAATTTTTTAATTTTTATACTTTATTATTTACCATAAAGAAGGGGAAAAAAACTATACATTAAGCATGTAGTATGGGGGTTTTTAGAGGAAAAAACTAAGGTCTCGCTAACTAATTGTTTTACCTTATGCAGCTTGTGAAGAATCCAGCACTTTTTGATGTGCTAGTCATGCCTAACCTCTATGGTGATATTATTAGTGACCTTTGTGCTGGGTTGATAGGGGGTTTAGGATTAACACCGAGGTATGGCTTAAAATATGCATGTTTAATTCCCTTCTGTAGTACAAACCAAATATCATCTGACACCAATTGCCTTCCTATTTAGTTGCAACATTGGTGAGGGAGGCATTGCCCTTGCTGAAGCTGTACATGGTTCAGCACCTGATATTGCTGGAAAGGTGAGCATTCTTGAACCTTGTGATGTTCAATCTGCTATGTATGTAATTACACAAGAAGTCCATTCAATACCCTCATCTACCCCATCCTGTCGTTTAGTATTTGGTAACTGTTGATGTGGTCCTATTTAAGAGGATTAGCATAAATTGATAATGAAAGCCATATTAGGATTGATATTGTTGAGTACATTTTATATGAATTGTTTATTTTTTCAAAGGGTAAACTTATTAAGCTCTGCTTGTTTAGAAATAGGTTTTGTATGTATTGGTATCAATTTGCTCCTAAGTCATCTTTCTTTTGTTTAAATTTCATAGAACTTGGCAAATCCAACTGCTCTGCTTCTAAGTTCTGTTACAATGCTACGCCATTTAGAGCTCCATGATAAAGCTGATCGGATCCAAAATGCAATCCTCAGCACAATTGCCGAGGGGAAGTTCCGAACAGCTGACCTTGGTGGCGCATCGTCAACTTCCGACTTTACGAAGGCAATCTGCGATCATCTTTGAGAAGATGATGCTTAGTAGGATTTGGGTTTTTTGGATTCGTAGTCAACAGATTATTGTGACTCCTTTTGGAGTCATGTTTTCAAACTTTTTTTTCTCGTTTCTTCAGTTGTTTCTGAAGGGGAATAATATCACTTCACTTGGATGATTACGAAGATTTTTGTCCCGTCATGGAGAGGTTTGAAGGGCAAAAAGTGGAGAAACTAACATATTCACATATTTACATATTCATCTTCCTATGCAATATTTTTCAAAATAAACATTTTGTGTTCAAGTGCCTTCTCAGAGAATCATTGTGCCATGGATCTTCTATGGTATTATTTTATTGTTCTGTCAAAATTTTTGGTGAAATAAGAACACAATAATATGAATCATATGATGTTTTTCCTATGTGTCTCCCTCTTACCTTATATCCTAGATTTTTTTCGTTTTAGTGTTTCAAGTTCAACTGTTTCCTCTGGTTCATCCACTTCTCCCATGTGGACAAATGTGTCAAAACAAGCGCACACGAGTCCCCACATACACAAGTATGTTATATTGCAAAACGACCCCAAGGATCTTTTTCATAATTCATAATTCATGCACATTTGGATGTGGATCTTCCTTATAATAACTCAAATTTCTTTCTTTATTACCTAGTTAACCAATTGTGTCGGTGGTTGATTTAACAAGGGATTATAGTTCACATACTAGTTGAGTTGAGACCATAAGCAAAATATTACACAACTTGCTTTAAAATTATAAATAAAAATTAAAAAAAAAGGCCCAAAACAATTTATTAGTAGACACGTTAGGCATTATTTTGTACTACAATACGCAAAATAGTAAACACCCACTAGTATAGTAATTTAGAGCAATTGCTTACTATCTAAATAAAGGTCCTTAGTTCGAGTCTTAGCATATTATACTATATTATAAGACTCTCTTTATAAGTAAGTCATCAAATAGGCCTTGATATGCCCTGACCTTAGGATGAGGTAGTCTCCCCTCTCTCCTTAACTTTTTTCCATTAAAAAAGAAAAAAGAAAGAATAATTTCTTACTTATTCTTTAACAAAATACGAGAATTAACGAAAAAAAAATCCCAAATAGTGGGAAAAGCCTTTCCAAGGATGCGTGCCCAGTGGGATTGGTTTGGTGAAATAGCGAGAGAGCCGCTAACCCCACTTCACTGCAAAGGCACAGAAGCAAACCTCTCTAGAGTCTCTACGTATATACCTACTCATTTGACTCCCAATACCATTACCAATATAGATCTGATCTCATTTCTGAATCTTGCTACTTGCTACTCTTTGTTAAACCCAAATATTCAGCTTTAGCTCTCTCTCATTTCTTCTCCTCTCCAATGGCGTACGAAGGAATTCTATTGGGGATGGGCAACCCCCTCCTTGACATCTCCGCCGTCGTCGACGACGAGTTCTTGCAAAAGTACGTCGCTTTCTCTCAACCCCCTTTTGCTTTTCTTTTGCTCAATCCTTAGATCCATGAAGCTTCTCCTAGCCCTCCAGCTGTTTGATCTATTGCTTAGCTTGAGCTTTTCTAGCTCAACTATGTAGTTTTAGCTCATGTTTTAAGCTTAGGCCTTCTACGCTGAACTAGAGGAACACGTAATTTGGTGTCCTGGGATTGATTTGAGACCTGATGTTGTTTGATTTTGTGTAACAGATATGACCTGCAGCTCAACAATGCGATTCTTGCCGAGGACAAGCACCTATCCATGTAAGCAATTTAATCTTGTATTTAGGATGAGTACTTTTGTAGACTAGATATGAATCTGTTAGAGATTTTGTGGGTCATTATTTTTTGCTTAAGTTGCCAATTCAAAGAGAGGGAAAGTGAACCGTGTGTTAGTTAAACTACATTGATATGACCAGTTGGAATTTAAAATGTGTTACTCTTTCCATTCAACAAATATCATATATGTACGCCTACGAAGGAGTAAGGAGAGCTTAGGGTCTATATTTATCTAAAAGGTCTTCAACAGTTTCATTTATGTAAAATTAAAGTCATCCACTCTTCGATGCGACTGTGACACAATACTTTCTTGTTAGACATATCTTTAGCTGGATGAAATCTTGACCAACATGGATGTTTGTCTCAGGTATGATGAAATGTCTTCCAAGTATAATGTGGAGTACATTGCTGGAGGTACAGCAATGGTTTTGCATCGCCTGGCTTTTCAAACAGTCTTGTTGTGGATATATTAAACTTATAAATACGTTCACAATGAGTTGAATTTGAACTTTTGATTTCTGCAGGTGCTACTCAAAATTCAATCCGAGTTGCCCAGGTACTTCATGAAATGTTTCTTGTGATAATTAAATTCGATCCTTTATATCCTTCATAAATTCACCACTGAGTGTATTTCTCTTTACCTTCTGCAGTGGATGCTTCAAATACCTGGTGCAACAAGTTATATGGGTTCCATAGGAAAGGACAAGTATGGGGAAGAGATGAAGAAGAACTCAAAACTTGCTGGTGTTAATGTAAGTGTCTTCTTTGTTTCCTTCTGCATTATTCCTTACTTATGAATAAGGTACACACGCAAAGACAGGAACTCTTTTGCAGTTCAAAAAAGTAAAACTTCTTTTTCCTCATAAATTGTCTCACCAACTTATATTACCTATTGCTGTTCTGAACTAGGTTCACTATTATGAGGATGAGTCTGCACCAACAGGAACCTGTGCCGTTTGTGTTGTAGGTGGTGAAAGGTCATTTTAAAATCAAGCTTGTTTTGAAATTTCAAATTATGCTTTCCAATTAATTAACTGTCCTCTAAATGTTAGTGTAGCTGTAAAATATACTTGTAATTTTCAGTCTAGTGGACTGACAATAATCATGCGGTATGTATATGCAGGTCACTTATTGCCAATTTGTCAGCTGCTAACTGCTACAAGTTTGAGCATTTAAAGAGACCAGAAAATTGGGCTTTGGGTACCCTTTCAACCTTTGTGTTTTAGGTTTGTGATTCATTTCTCTAGTAATGCATTCTTCTGACCCAATTTCTCTGAAAAATCTTGATTGGACAGTTGAGAAGGCCAAGTACTTCTATATTGCTGGTTTTTTTCTTACTGTATCCCCAGACTCCATTCAGCTTGTTGCTGAACATGCAGCTGCAACTAACAAGGTTTGAAATATTATATCTTTGAAATTTCATCTTGTTTTCTGCTCTCAATCGCGTTTGCAAGAAACAGTCTTGACCATTCCCTTTATCTGCAGGTTTTCTCAATGAACGTTTCTGCTCCATTTATCTGTGAATTTTTCAAGGATGCTCAGGAGAAAGTTTTGCCGTAAGTTCCTATCCTTTTTGTTACAGTAATAGAGTAATATGGACATACTGATGTAGATGTGCCTTCTTTTATTTATTGAAATTTAGGTATATGGACTTTGTTTTTGGAAATGAGACAGAAGCTAGAACCTTTTCAAAAGTCCATGGCTGGGAGGTAATTGCCTAGTGCCAGACCACATTAATGGTTTCCACTCATAGTGTTAATTGATTCTGATTGATTGAGTTAACAGACTGATGATGTCGAGCAAATAGCTCTAAAGATCTCCCAGTGGCCCAAAGCATCAGGAACACACAAGAGGATTACTGTTATTACTCAGGGTGCAGATCCCGTAGTTGTTGCTGAGGATGGGAAAGTGAAAAAGTTCCCAGTCATAAGGTTGCCCAAAGAAAAACTGGTTGATACCAACGGAGCAGGTATGTCTTGTGTAGCAGCTTGTAGGGCATTCTTGAAAGCATTAGCATAAGCATCCAAATGTTTGTCACATAAGATTACGACTTTTATCAATGTCGCTCCATCAGATTAGTTAAAGTAACAGTGACTAACAATTGAAATTGTGATCAACTTGTTATGTTGTTTTTGGTCTAGGGGATGCGTTTGTTGGAGGTTTTCTATCGCAGTTAGTTCAAGAGAAACCAGTTGAAGACTGTGTGAAAGCGGGCAACTATGCCGCGAATGTTGTCATCCAAAGGTCTGGCTGCACCTACCCAGAGAAGCCTGATTTCAATTAAGCCATTCCTTTTGTGTCTGTCTCTACTTCCCACGTGTTATTTAAAATTTTGATTGTTTAGAAGTCTATTTCTAGTATTCTATCTTTGTATTTGCTTATTAATTATTATAGTCATTTGGATGGACGATGCATCCGGAAATTGCCCACTAAACCTAGTTATTTGGTATGGGATTTTTAACCCCCAACCCTTTCTTTGAACAACTGAGGAGAAAGTTTATACATATGTTATATTGTGTTGAGGAATGCTAGCCACTTTCTCTAGTCTTTCCTATTAGTTTATCATCATCCAATTATTATGTCGGCCGCATTTCACAAAATAAACTTTGGGGATATCAATATTTGATCACATTATACTGCTGGCCCATCATCAAGGATGATGAAAAATGGTCTAAGTACTTGCCCAATAAAAAAAGGGCCTAGGTCTCGTAGGAAAGGTCCTTCCCAAAAAAAAAACATTTCATGTATGAGGGTAGGAGGAGTTTGAGAAGCTAATTTTAAAAGGTAATTACTATTTCTCAAATTTAATTTTTTTCGACGTAGTAAAAACACAATATAATAGTTTTTACCCATAAAAAAAACATCAATTTTCGAACGTCTAAAAGCATTGGCAAAGGTTGTTTTAATTTGTGACGCTCACAAACTGCCTCATCAGACAAGACAAATTGTCTGATATGACCTTCACCTTGTATTCATCTCCCGGACGACGTCGTAGCTCTACAACACGACGCGTGTAGATTTTTCTCTGAGTGTTGGATCACACACCAATCGCTCGTGCTCTCTCTCTCTCTCTCTCTCTCTCTCTCCTCACAAAGTCACAAGACAACTCACACCAACAATAAAAACAAAAACAAAAAACGCCGAGAAAAACAGAAGAAAAAAAGAAACGTTTTTTTTCGAAAAAAACCGCGATGAGCGATCAGCATCCACGGCTGAACCACCTGCGCAGCACCGCCCAAGTCCTGAGACAAGCGACGACGTCGTTTGCCGGCAACCTCTTCACCTTCTTCTTCCTCTCCCTCCTCATCTTCTCCTTCCGTACGGTCGTCGAAAATGGGACCTACCTCCTCACATCCTTCATCGACCGCGACCCTTCTCTCAAGTCCCTCCTCTCCCGCCTCGATCTCGCCGGCGCTGCCAGTCCCAACCACCGCTCTTCCCAATCTCCGGCGGATTCCCCTTCTCCGGTCACCCTCCGCCGCCGCCACCGTCCATTTCTCCACCTCACCCGAGTCGGAACCCTAGACGACGACTTCTTCTCCGGTGACGACGACGACACTCGCTCCCAATTCGGCCCCAATCGCATCGCCCCTATCCTCATTTTCTCCTCCGCCTCTCACTCCACCTCCAAATTAGGGTTTAATGGAACTTACGGAACTAGGGTTTCTGAAATTGTCCGCTCCGGTCTCACGTTCAAAGCCGAGAAATTCACCATTTCCGATGACAGAGCTGGAGAGGGAGATAGGGAAGGCAATAGCAGTGAAGGAGAGGAGAAAGGCGGTGATGAGGAATTGGATGATCGGGTCGTCGATTTGCAATTCTTCATCAAGGGATTGGAGCTGGGTCGCCGAGATGTGGCGACGTTGTTCTTTCTTGTGAGTTTCTTATCTGCAGCTTACGGTTGGGTAATTCTTGGGTTTCTTATTACGTATTCATGGGTTCTTGGCGTTGTGTTTACCACAGTTGTGAATGATCTGATCGGGAGGATTACTTCGTTTGTTGGTCTGGTTTGGGATGGGTCTAGACTGGGCGTCAAGAGGCTCTCTGGGTTCATTCTCATGAGGTGGGCGGTGAGAGATGCTCTCACTCAGCTTCTTGGCTTGTGGTATTTCGGGGAAATTGAGGACCAGTACTCGTTTTTTAAACTTTTCATCAGGTTAAAGTTGATGCCTTTTTCGGTTATGCCTCCGTGGATTCGAGGTTATGAGAAGGAGATTTCTGGGTTTCTGTTAATGTGGTTCGTGTTGGATACATTTGTGGCATTCGTATTCGCTGTCGATGCTTGGGTTGCCATAGTGGATTCGAGGAAGAATGGAAGGGAGATTGTCAAGGAAGGATGTTATTTGATGCTGTCAATGTTGCACCAAGCTATCCAGATTAAGTGTTTGGAAGCTATATTTTGTGGGTCATCTGTAAGATGGATTGTAGCTCGAATTTGTGGAAAATCGTTTGCCAAGCTTTTTCAGGCAACTGTGGAAGTCTACTTTATGGTGGCTTGGCTGATATTTTACTTTGCAGCGAGGGCGAGGTGTAGGGATGCTAGTTCTCAGGGGGATAGGATCGGAGCGCTAGATTGAGGGCCTTAGATGATACTTGGCAGTAAATGGCTGGCAGTTTCTCTTGCAGGCTTCAGTTGTAACACTACATTCCTGGTAATCTTTCAGTGCTTTGTGTGTTCCTGCTTTGGATTCCCTGATATTCAGCACTGCTATTGTTTAGTGTAGTCGCCAGACAATGTTGTTGTATGTAATGTATCAGAGAGCAGTATACTACTTGTGTATTACCTTGCACAAGAATCCTTCATGTGTAAATGACATTGCAATCATTGTTTTAATTCCCTGTATTGCATGCTCCTTTTGTTGATGATAATGAAAGCAATTCAGAATCGTCATTGTAAGAGTTACTTAGATTGTTACAGCATTCAGCCTTCATTTTTTTGATCGTTTTTGTTATAGAGGAATTTCTTTTTGAAGGATACTGTTCTGTTTTCATTTTGGTTGTAAACATTGTACAGGATTTGTGAATGCACCTTAATTTACTTTACGGGCCACCGTATAGGTCTGTATTAGTGTTCATGTTACAGTAAGCTAAATGTGATGAGATGAGAAAAGTAGATAACCTTTGTGAGAGTACATAATTGTGCATTCTTGAGGTGTTTTATGTATATAAATGAGTCTAGGGTCATATGAAATATGCATCGAGCTATCAAGAGCTTTCGTTATACGGTCTATATTCATTATGTGCAGTGAGGCAACTTATATAATTTCATGATGAGATTGTAGAAGATGGATAGGCTTTATCTTGTAAGAGCCTAATGGATAGGCTTTGCCGTGCTTCGCTTAATGAGGCACCCATTAAGTACTTGACTGAAGCCACCTAGCTGCTGCTGCCAAGCTATTCCCTTGCGGTGATGACTGATGAACAATCCATTAATGACATAGGTATTTATCCACTGAGACTGGATCAAGAAAGATTAGTGGGTTTTAATCCAGTCCTTTATTTGATTGGTTCATAGCATGCCCTGTCTCGTCAAACTAGCATAGAATCTGATTCATTATAGCTTTGAAATTGACTTCCAACATCCTGTTGAATTGATAGAGTTTATGCTTGGATGGTATGCTAAAAGGGCCTTTGAGAAGTAATCAGTTTTCAATATTTTTAAGTCATCTGAGCCATGTACAGTACCTTTAATTGGTAGCCTTCCTCTTTGGAATTTTATGGGAAGAAAGCAGCTCTTGTAAGGTCTTTTGCAACTTTGGCTTGAAACCTGGAAAATAAAAGGCAATGACTTAGCTGTTCACTGGATCTGCAGATCCCACACTGTTAACAAAGAACTGACTATATATATTTATTTACTTCAAAAGATAATAATAATACTAGAGACAAATATATATATAAAAAATCTCAAATTTTAGGCACCAACTAATATGGAACATGAAATTACTTATTTTAATATCTTAGTTAAAACAATATTATCAAATCCAATGCTGCCACATGGAATAACTAATGGAACAATGAATAAAAGAGGAAGAAGGGGATCTGGAACACTGCTGATAGAGGGTAGGAAGTCAATGACATAAAATCTCAAATATATGATGTTCATATGCTGCAATTTTAAATTACTAAATCACTAAAGAGTCCTCATACCCATGATTATGGTTTCAAATATAGACAGTAATTAGTTGGGTTCCATTTAATTCAGACATCAGAACCTCCATCTCCTTTTTTTTTCTCTTTTTCTTTTTGGGTCTTTTTTGGTTAAATAAATGCAACCAGCAACCAGCAACCAACCAGTCAACCGCTTTGCCAATGGCCAAAATGTAAACTGAGCTCTCACTCACAAATATGCATCTAGTTTCTGAGTGCTCTTGCATTGCATGAGCAACTGAAAATTTTGGCCCACTTAAAAACTGTGACAAGTTGGTCTCAGTTAGTTGACTGGTTGGTTCTGGTCCTGCTGAGATCCGGTGCGCATCAAATTTTAGCTCTGGTGTACTTAGTTTGGACCACTTCACTTATGTTTGTTTTCATATGCGCCATGCTTATAAAAAAACAGCACAAGTCCTGAGCAAGTAAGCAGAACAGAATTTACTATTCTTGAACTGAATTACATTGGTGACCTAGAACATATTAAATGTTTTACAACTCTACATATTGTACCACAATAAGGCTGCATATCTGCTGATTTGCATTATTATTGGAGCACAGACCTCATGAATCAATTAAATACCTCAGTGTTGTCTGTTAGTACCGAACTGAATTCTCAAAGACACAGAGGAAACCTTCGATCAACCGGAGAGCTAGAGCATCGAACAACATCGAGGAAAAGACTCTCGTCGCACGGGATATAGAGTTTCGAATCAGCATGGAAATCGTATTCTTCTCGAGCTTGATCGAGCAATGCCCTAAAGAGAGGGTGATTAAGTAAGGTGACTTTGATCACAAACCTCTTCTGGTTCTCACCCACATAGACTACTAAGTGACCCTTTGGGACATCTTTTGGGATTGAGTTTTCTTCATGCATGGAAGACCACAAAGCCCATTGACAGCAATTCTCACAGCATGTAGAAGAAGGTAAGCTCCCTCTACTTCCTATCTTCCTCCACTTGTTTCCACACACCCTTAGAAACTTCCCCTTCATCATGTTTATATGCATACAGAGAGAGAGAGAGAGAGAGAGAGAGAGAGTTGAAATAGATGGGTTGGTTTATTTTGTACGAAGGTGAAAGGTATATATAGGTGTGGAAGAGGAGGCACTATTTTGGAGCATTAAATGGTTGACATGATAGGCTAGCTAAGAGAGGGAAGCTGAGAGAGATGATATTTCTTTTTTTCTTTTAAATGTGATCAAATTATATAACTTTGCTCTACCGTGCTGTACCCTTCACTCCTTTAATATAGATGCATCTTGATACGAAATTGTACGAACATGCATCTCAAAGATTATAAACTCATACATAAATAAACATGCCACACTGTGAGCAGTCTTTTTTTCTTCTCTTTCTCTTAAGAAAGCATGGTGCTTGATGAGTGATTTTTCGAAGTTCTCAAAGTTAAAGACCCCACAGTTTGGGAGTGAGAAAGATAAGATATGAAACTAAGGATGGGATAAGCTTCTTGGACAAAGTGTGTGCGATCCCACTTATTTGTAATGCCATGATTTTTTGCTGAATTTAATATATGAATCTGCCAAAAAAAAGAAAGAAAAAGAAAACAGCTCCATAAAAAACCAGTAGTGCAGAGAGATTAGATTGTGTGCCTTTCGTGTACATCATCAAGTGCAAGCAACATTCTTTTAGCTGTAGATATTATTTTACCTATTGTTTTGCTTAGTGTCTGAGTTGAAGTTGATGATCGGCTAATGAGAAAGCCAATTACAAGTCAAAAGTTTCTGATATTCCTGCTCTGCTGTAGATCACATTTGGGGTAAGATATATGGGATATGAGCTAAGGCAATTGCTTTTCTATTTTTTTATAATTATTTCCCCACTTAGCTGCATTCAAGATTTGATCAGGATCAGCAGCACTAATTTGTTGCTTTTTTATCACTTCTTGCACCATGTACTATCCGTACGTACAACATTGTTGCTCTGCAGTCTTAATATCCTGTGAGTATCTTTGCAGTTTAGATTTTGGATAAGTTTTTGAGTATCTTTTCAGTCTGACTTTCTAAGCAGGAGATGGGCTATGCGTAGCAGAAGGGATGGATGGATGTATCCTGGGTTGCATAGCATAAAATGGGACTCACATTTTATAATCTTATAGAAAGAAAATTCAATTCTCGATTGTTGTAACATTCTCCATTTCCTCGCCAACCAAAATGGGATCCGTTTTAAGATTTCTCTAAGAAATAAGCGCATAGATGATCAATATTTATGCATAAATAATGGTATTTTAACGATGACCTAAGTCGAGGGAAATGCTCTATTGTTAGACTGTGAAAATGAACAATTAATCATGTTAGTTCTTAATAGTTTAAGCATCTCTTTGACAACATAATTTTGGTAAGAAAAACTTACCAAAAAACTATACAAGTCCTCAAATTAGGTCCTACCACTTTGTTGATAAATAAATATTACCATCTTGCATGGAGATAAAAGTTTAGGCTTAAAGATTAGCCAGACACTTTCTAGGTACCCATATATGTGATTTTCATAGTATCCTCTGGCTAGTTATTGTGGAGTTACATACAGGCAGCTAAGAGACCACTTCAGTCAAATCAAGCCATTTCATCAAATATAAATTTGAAAAAGCAAGCGAATAGTGAAACGGTGCTGTTTGTTGTGGATCCTGTGGTTGTGATTCTGAGTGGGTTCAGATGTTTGAAGTTTATTTGCTGAGAGAGAGAGAGGAGCCAGCACACTGATTCATCCCCTAGAGACAAAGTTGGCTGTGCTAGGTTGGTTGAAAGGCATAGTTCCTCACTCTGTCCAATCATTTTTGACTAAAAACTACCAACAGTTCTGCTGCAGACATGGAGAGGGACTGGAAGAGAGTTAATAGCTTTGACAACTCTCAAGATCCAGCTATCAAAATAAAAGTAAAGACAGAAATCAACTCCCATTTGTTGAGGACTTTTAAATCAACATGTACAAGCTTTAGGTAATGTGAGAAAGTTATATTACGTTGTACAAATTGCTACGTGCTTGTTAGTAGGAAACCATTTTATTCATATATTTCATGTGATGACATACAAAAGATATTAAGTTAACTAACATTGAGTTTAGTGACATTCATTTTTCACTTTCTTAAAGATTGTCGTGAATTCAAATCTCACAAACAAACTTGTTCTCTGAATTCAAATCTCATGATTATACATCTTGGAAGCATATTAAGATGGTGGGTTGCTATAGGGTGGGTCATGAGGGTGAGGGAGCTTAGCAAAGGGACATGGAATGGTGCACATGAGGTTGGGCCAATATGGCTCACGGGTGAGTGAGAAGTTGAGAAGTGAGAGAAGGGTTGAGAAGTTGGTGACACCTCAAGTAACCCTAACTCATATTTGGTAAGATCAGCAATGATTTGATTTGAATTGGAATCTATCTCCCTCCATGTGTAGTCGTCAGCTCTTCTTAGCTGTCACTCCTGCCACTTCGATTTCCGACTTCACTTTCAACTACCTCCTCCCATCCCTTCCATTAATTCCTTCCCATGCTTCCTCTCGAGAAGCAATGCTCAGATTTTTTTTTTCTTCTTCTTTACCCCTTTTGTGTGTTTACTAGATATTTTCACTGGTTTCACCCACCTAATTTTGAAAACAAGTTACATATCACGGGTGTATATCTTTTTCATTTCTCTTTCTCCTTAAGTAATGTGTCATCCATGAAGAAAGACACGAACTTACACTGCGCTTCTCTTCAAAATTTACAAGACTTTTCAACAGGAACATAACCTCTCAATCAAATGGTACATATAAAGTCTCTACACCCAAATTGGGTTTCAGCTCTCCTTAGACCACAAAATAAAAAAAATGACACATAAAAAGAGTAAAAGAGAGTTAAGAAAAGAAACTGAATCCACCTACTCTACTCACCCACTCAAGACATAAAACCCATCTCTCCACTAGTGAGAAGAAGCTATGTATTCTTTGTCGTTTTACACTATTTTATAGAGTACTTATTTGTACTGGGATAGCAAGTCAGCCTCAATGAATGTTGAGCTAGAATTGACCAAACCCATATATTGAAGAGGTTCCATATATACAGTGATAATGTTGAGCTATTGTGAACATTAGCTTAGCTGGTTCTGGCGGTGTTGGTGGGACAATATATAATAGCTTACATGTTCAGTTAATGTTGTTCAGACATTACGTAACTGAGTTTGCCAAATTTCATTGTATTCATTTCTTGCACACACACCTATTGTTGTAGTAAAAATGGGCTCAAAATGTATAACATAATGTGTGTTTGTTACTATGCATGTAGAGCTCATAATGCATCAACGGTTGAGAGTCGCCTACTTGCACGCACATAATTAAAACAATCACAAATCATTACAACAAACCTGAATACACAAAATTCAATACACGTAAATGGACTGAACAATTACATCAAACCTCAAATATAACAACGTCAATACAAGCAGTGAAAAAAAAAAACATACCATTTCATAAAGTCTCAAATACAATTATATCAATCATTGTGAAGGTTTTGCTTATCATCTTTTGCGAAAGAGAAAAAACATTGTCAAGGGCTAGAATGCATGTGGAGTCCCACCTGTGCATGATAGCTCTACCCGTTTCTATATGGCCATGGGAGGAACACGATGATCTGACAACATCAACGCATGCATAACAGATAAGTAAATTTAATGGATGTGACAAATAACACATAATTTGAAGAAATATGGCCATCCAAATTCTATATCCACAAAACATGTGATTTCTTATCTAGGTCGTTGAAATGCAGCTGGATCATCATATATATATATATATATATATATGATGATCCAATTTCAGTTTCCTGCACACCATTCTGTGAATGCAAAACACATCCAACATCCAATGTAGAGTGCAAAGGCTAAAGTTGGAGTGTAATTTTCTGGTTTTTCTTCGGTGTGAATGCAAACATTTTCGCATCGTTGAATTAGTACATTGCTCTATCTGAGTGGTAGTTTGAGTTCGGACTAGCACTAGCCATTCCAAGCACGAACACTTAAATCTGATACACTACACCTAGCCACTTTAAGCGCGCACACTACCACTCCGAGCTTGCACCGAAGAAAAACTAGTCAACGTGACTACCCTTTGGAATATTGAAAAGGGGAAGAACCCAACCCAACACAGGATTTTGGACCGAGTGAACCCTTGTTGTGGGTTTGATTACTTGGTTATGGCCCAAAGATCCCTTTCTGAATTTGCTCTGCAGTGGATCATCAGATCTTTGGGCTAGTTTCACATTCAAGTGGCCCATTGTGCAAGCAATCAAAATCTCATGGAAGTTGGACAAAATCCTCTAACTACCAGAACCAACCCTAGTTGCTCTCCCTGAGTCCTTTTCTTTCTTTGTTGTGTGCCCTGCAAGGACTGGCTAGGTTGAAACGGTTAATATCTTCCAAATTGAGTATGGAGATATTTATGGATGGGATTAGGACGTTGAAAGTGGGCGAGGGGCACATGTTGCTTTGTATTTGTTTTCCAAAACCGTTCACAAAGAAAAAGAAAATTAGTGGTTTTATTTCCCAAACCCAACTTGATCTATGGGCTATAGTAAAACCTGAAAATTACCTGTCACCAATCCAATTATCAAATTTTCAATGGCAATGAATTTCAAAATTTATCCCACTTTCACAAAGTGGAGGAACAAATCTACAGCCTAACAGTTAGAGATTCTTTTCAAAATAATTAACTTATCTTTCTTCTCTTAATGATTACGTTTCATTCCTTATTATTTAAGTAGGAGTTTTTATATTCCTGTCAATAACAATATGATATGAGTGTAGAAGTTTTTCTTTTTGTGTTTTTTATAAATTATTTTTACACATGTGTCAAATTGTGATTCGCAGAAAAAAGGAATATCTTTTCACTGAAAATAAGACGAGCAGTATCCTTGTTGTAATTCTAGTTCTCACTCTCTTATTATATTTTCTTTTGCAACAACAGTATTAGATATATAAAAAATACAAAATCTGTAATCCCAGTTGACGACTTGGCAAGAAACATGCAGACAGATGGCCTAATTCTGAATTTTGTATGGCAATATATATATTCTTGATTTGACATCTTAAAGTGACCCAAACAGCAAAAACATTATGCTTGCTGGATAGACTTAATTTGTGTTGGTGAATAAAATAATATAATCCCACTTGAAAGGTGGGATTTTCCTATTGAGGCAGCTAAGTGGACAAGAAGTTGCTCTCAACCATCATTAACAGAGCCTTATATTAATTTAAAAATAATTTATAAGCTGGTGAATTATATGGAAACCCACTCAATCTTGCCCCGTATTTAGTGGTGACCCCATAATTAATTACTCATTTTAATTTCAACCGAAATCGTTATTTTTTAAGGAGATTCACTATTATACCCAATATATGAACCCAAATTATAAAAAAACATATATAAAATAGACTTTAAAAACACACCCAAAGCCTATTTACAACATAACAAAAAAGCTTTTAACTTCTTTTAAATTACAAAACTGTCATTTATTTCTTAAAACAAATCCAATCCAAAAACCTCATAAAAAAGCTCAAAACACTCAATAGGGCATCAAAGTAATTTAATAATCAAAATTAAATTCAATAGGGCCAGTTGTCATTTTTTGAGTTTGTTTATAGAAATTAAATAATGTATGGTTTATTTATAGTTTTAGTGTTAATAATAGGTATATGACTAAATATCTCTATTTTTTATTCCTCAGTTCCTCTATATAAAGCAGCATACTCTCCCAAAAAAAAAACCACCTCACAATCACTCTTCATCTATTTCCACTTGGGTTTTTCTGACGAATTGAACCTCTAAACTACCACAAACCCCTTGCTCAAAAATCAAAGTTGTATACAAGTTTATATTCAAAAACCTTTGCTCTAGCTAGTAGTACCAAGTTTTGAAATGAAGGTGGTGGCATTCTTTTTGGTTGTGATGTTCATGGCCAGCTATTGCTTGGCAGCAGTGCCAAGGAGGGCTATGTTGGGACGAACGTATGGACAAAAAGAGCAGCCACACCGGCATGTCGAAAGCGGAAAACCCATGGAAAAGAGTATTGGAAAGTACCCAGGAAGCAGTTTGGACAACCACAATATCGACAACCACCACAGCATACCTAGACAGCATTACAATGAACCCAATGGCTCTTCTCAAGAAGATGGTGGGGATGGTGGAAATGGGTAAATGAAAGCTGGTCCTGCATGGATGGGAAATTCTATATGATGTTAGTTTGGTGTGAACACTAGTTATTAGTTCTACTTGGGCTTTGGTATATTCTCCTACAAGCTTTTGTATGGATGGTGATTTGCGCTTTGCCTGTAATCTTATAAAAATTATCTGGTACGGTCTGGAGTCCGACAGCGATTTATATAGTTGAATTGTGTTATAGTTAGTTGCCTGTGCGTGTGTGAATAATTCTTGACCGTATCATATAAATGGTGAGAAATTGCCAACTGAGTTTGAGCGACTAATCATGGCAACATAAGATTTGCTTTGTTAACTTTCGTTTTGGGAAAACTGCTATGTTCTAACGCTCATATCAGAACTATATGGATGTAAACAAATTTGAAGCTTACGCAAGGAATTGCAAACCATTATTATTATATATACGTGTGTGTGTGTGTGTGTGTGTTCGTATGTATATAAATGTTGCAGTTGAATTTTTTATTTCCTTGCTTCTTTGTTTTGAGTGTTGATGCAAGATAAAAATTGAAATCCAAAAATGAATACCCTTTTGCAGGATTTCACGCAAAATTCAACTCCTCAAAGCAACCCATTTACAAATGGCATCAATGATGTCACGAGTTACCTATACCATATTTGAAAACATTACCGGGAAAAATCACCAACTGTCAGCGATTATAACGCCTCTAAATAACTTGTTGTAGGTAACCACTAGCACATTTGGAGCCAAAAACAACTAATACCTGATCAAACAGAGCATGCAGCCATGGTTTTGAAACTATCCAAAGTAAATTCCTAGAAAGGTGAAGGGGTGTGTTCAATAATGTCAAATACAAACTACTCTTGCTTGAGCATACCTAAACATCTCAAAACGCTATTACAACAGAAAATTTGGCCCAACTGGTGCAGAGAGCTTGTAATCATTATTTTTTTTTCCTGAGGATCCAATTGCTCCATGTTAAGAACAGAAGATTGTTGATGAGAAAAGAGACTTTTTACAACTAAACTTCGGTACATTCCTGACTATTGATTTACTGCAACAGGGATATTGAACTTCAAGATCGATTCTTCCTTCGGACATACTTTCTGATTAGATCAGATGAAGCACTTTTACTGGAAGTAGGAAGTATGGGAGGGGCAAACTTCTTGCCACGCTGCCTAGGATATGGGTGTACTGTCGCCAGCTCACGGACACGGCGTACCAAAGACTTTGGTAAGGCTCGCATCTCCTTTTGCTCAACCTGTGTCAGCCAAACCATCTAGACAAGTTTAGTTTGCATGACAGTTTCACGTACCCAAAATATAAAAATATAAATTGATAGAAATCTAGCCTCTTTCTTCATTTTCTTTCCACAGCTAGCTCTTAAAAGATTTCTCCATTTGTCCTGCAGCGTGCACAAGTAGCAAAGAGAATTAGAAATTAAAACACAAAGACACCTGTTTAATTGAAATCCAGTTTCTCTCCGGTACAGCACAAAATGGAGAAAGCCAGTAAAAATCTGGACCATAGATTGCTTGTCAGGCCTTCATGGGCCTGTCCCCAATTCAGGGGGCCCTGCCCCTTCGAGTGGTTCGGATTGAAGAACTGGCCCTCTCCATTTTCTGTGCAAATGGAGAGCATACTATTCCCTTTGTTAGAGAACGGCAATGTACCCTGAGATCTATTGGCGTGCGATAAGCAGAAGACGAAAATAGGACCCTCTTAATATCTGTCCATCGTCCAACTCCATATTCAGAAATACCATCAACCAATGTCGTCACCTCAGAGAGAGTCCACATCCTTTGATGCTTTCTTCGATCGTGCTTTCTAGATCTTTTTTTTGGTACATGGTCATCTTCAGACTCAGATGTAATAGGTTGCTCATCGGACTCAAGCGCCTGTGCAGAATAATACAGACAATTAAACTTCTGAAACCATGGCATTACACGACTGAAAGAGGAAAAACACAGTACTACTGATAATCCTAATTGTCTAAAGAAAGAAAAAAATAATACACACTGATTTCTATGTTTTTTTTCCTTTCCAGTCAATGAACATCACAACAGCCGTGCCCTTCAATGCAAAGCAAAGAACGCCATCACCCAGAGGGTAGATCCAAAAAAAAAGTTTTGCAACCTAAGAAACAGGTTGCAACATGTATCCTGAAATCTATAGATTTTAAAACTACAGAAATGCAGCAACACATTCTCTACAGAAGATGCAGAATACAATAGGTAACTCACAGCTAACGCAACACTACTTAATAAGCACGAAGGAATAATACTCAGTCTAGTCCTTACATTCTCCAAGTCTACATGAAAAATACACAGCAATCTGCAGATGGCTATGAATAATCTCTCAAATTTTTTCAGAGGGTGATCCAGAGACAACGGTGCCTCATGGACCACCTGTCATACTTAAATTTCACTGTTTATCAGACTAGTACTACTGATAAGGTAAATTAAAGCAAACATGGAAAGAGAAACAACCATACAACTGGAGAGACGGGAAAAGAAAAAGGGAGTTTTCTTCTAAATAATTTAAATGTTGAAGGAATAAATATGTGCAGGGTTGAAACTTTTCCTACCAAAATTGATGCATGCTTCTTTGCAAGTTTTCTTTGAGTCCTAAATTCAGCCAGTGTCTGGTTTTCAGAAATTGAATCCTCCTCAGGAACTGATGACAATATCCCAGGACTCATATGATGATGTTCATTCTGACATCTGACCTTTGAGCGATCCTGCGTAGCAGTAAGAGCAGAACAATTTTCCCTCTCGTTGGAATCTTTTGACTTCTTACCAGAAAATTCCTCAATATATCTCAAAGTAGGCTTACGCAGTCTTTTTTCCTTACAAAAAGCACCAAGTTTGGTTGCTTCAACAGAGAGCTTCTCATTTTCACCAGACACTATTTCCTTTACTAAAGTCTTTTCATCATTATCTAACTCAAGATTTTGTAAATTGATTGAAGCAGGATAGACATTGCCTTCAACAGGTATTCGACGTCTTTTTTTCCGCCTGAAGCCACCATGAAACTCATGAGTTACTGCCTTGTCAACAGAATTATTCTTGCATTCAAATTCTTGAATAGTCACAGTTGACGATTCAGATATCCCAACAGCACCGTTACTACTGCCACTTAGTCGTGGAGACTGACTTTCAGAACTTGAGTTCCCCAAATGTGATTTTTCACGAGGACCAAAACCCAGTTCAGAAGCTTTTCCTGTAAATCCAATATCTGCAATTGGAAGGAGAAAAAAAAACATCAGAAAACAAAAGGAAAGAGAAAGCACACCGTAAATGTCACTATTAACCAGACAATATAGACAAACTTTCACCTAAAAGATAATCATCACAAGGGCTTGCAAGACCATTTATCGCATGAATATCCTCCACTTCATCAACTTCATCCAACAATCCGTCAAGAACCTACTAAATCACTATCTCATCAAAAGTGCAATCACCACAAATAACTTAGCAGTAAATATATACAGCATTCCCTAAAACTGTCATATCAAGTAATATAGAGAAACGATGCGACCTAAAACTTAAAGGGAAGCTAATTTTCACAAAGAGAAGAAGAATGTACAGAATAACTCTGACATAATATAAATCTATCCATAAAGTTAAATACATACTCCAAATTCTAATTCATCGTATCTTCCCCGAGGATGAGCAGAATGCAATCCACCTTATGAAGGGAAAAAAATATACGGGATTAGAATGATAACAGAAGTGATTCCAAAATTTTATTTGACAGAATGAAACCAAAAACCTTTGTAGAGTCACTCGAATTCAGTTACCAATAAATAAATTTTGAATAAAAATCATTTGGAATGTATTCTATCATCAAAGAAACAAGATTTCATTACATGCAAGTGTCAGATGTTAAAAACCCCTAATATAATCTTTTTTTTCTATTATATTTTGCTTTTTTCAGCAAGAGGATCTTCCTCAGGGGTGGAAGAATTTCAGTCTAGGGATCAAAGGTCAAGAAATCCAATAATACATGTCAAAACTGTTCATGACAATGTACATAAGGTGCTCCCCAGGCACTTGGGAAATTTCCTATACTTCAAATTACAGGAATAAAAAATCCTACAACAAAAGGACTTGATATAATACTTTAACTAATAAGGGCGCTAGAAACAAAAATGGTAGCATTTAGTAGTATTACCACTGTATGTATTAAGCCCAAAGTCATATCCACAGGAAAAATCTTCAATGTCCACGCACTTTCCTGCAGTCTCCTTGCCACAGCATAAGACACCATCTACCGTAACATATTCACTTTTAGGTTCTGCTAGTAAATGCTCAATGGTTTCAGTTTCATCTTCTAATGCAGGAGCAAAAGAACCTTCTACTTTCACCTATGACAAATTGAAAAATAGAAGAAATTTTTTTTATACCAGTGGCTATCCCAAGCAAGGAACTAAAGGAGGACTAAATTTAATTACTGAGACCAAGCATCAACTGTTAATCAATAATTAATGTTAAATAGTAGCGACAAGAATAGCAACTAGTATTTCAAGAAATTCAGAAAAGATGGCAAAGTCTATATGAAGAACTAGAGCCATGTACAGTGCACATAAGCATGACGATAAAGGCAATTCCTAAAAAAACTGATAAATCCTCACCCTCTGGGATTTCATGTTGACGAACTTGTTACGCGAGTGTGCTTCATGATCCATTTCATATTATGCATCCAACATAGATCCTATAATTTCACGCATTCATCAGTTCGGTTGTACCAAAAAGAACCCAGATGGACAAACTATACAGATTTCATTAATCAACAGAGTACATCAATATGACAACAGAAAGGATATAAGTAGCTATTCCAAGCTACCAGAGATCGCTTTTCAATTAATACATTCAGTCTCCTTCACATTTTGATTATTGTCCACATAGCCTGTTCATGTCTACAAATTTGTACTAACTTATGAAACCATGCTAGTTATTGTAGCCACCTGGATTGCATTTCATACGGCAAAGAATATCAAATGGTTTGCAGTCACTCGAATTTGCAATTGCACGATCAATACTGAGGAATTAATGAACTTTAGTTCAAGATTATAGAATCACGGCAAAGGGGCCAATTGTATGGTTCAATATTGATTGATGCATTATCACCAGCAGCCATGTTAGTGATTGGACATAGTAGGGAGCGACGCATGCCCTTGATGAACTTGCTCACATATGTTTTAGAATTTAAAAGAAAAACACACAAGGATAAGCAAGTAGCCATCCAAATTAGGATCTGCATGATGCAGATTAATACCAGTCTATAAATAGAAATGCAGATAAGAGACAGGCCTTGTAATTAAACGTTTTCTTGTCCAAAGAAAAGAGATTTCATATGTTTTGATCAGTTATTCAGAACGTGAAGGAAGAAAAAAAAACTACAAATAAATAAAAAAACCAACAAACACCCTAAAAAAAAAAAAAAAAAAGCGAAATCTCAGGTTGAGCAGTAAACAGTATGTAAGCTGCATACTTCAGCTAAGCTAAAAAAAATAAAACATAAAAAGATGAAGAAAAAAAATCTAGTGAAGGCAAAGTTTATCCGCAACTCTTGCTTCGTTTTCTCAGCAGCCAAACAGTAAGTAAAAAAGTAGATCAGAAAACGAGTTTAAAGTAGAAACAGTACCTCATTAATGAGTACGGAAGCCCTAATGAGCTGAAAGCTTGCCGATCTGCGATCTCAGAGAAGATAAAAATTGAAAAATCAAGATAAATGGAGATCTAGCAGAATCTAGAGAGCAGAGATCTGACCTGAGTGAGTGAGAGAGAGAGAGAGAGAGAGAGACGTCAGAGAAATTCGTGCGAATGTTCGAAACCGAAGAGCCTCAAAACCGCCAAAAAGCGACACGAAATGGAGGAGATAGAGGGAAATATGAGTAAATGGATGAATGTGAAAATTGGGGGTGTTTCGTCATTTTCGTTTAATTTCTCGCTCTGCTGCTCACAAAGAAATAAAAACGCTTCAAGGTGCGTTTCAAGTCCGCTGTGACCTACAACGACACGTGGACGACATTAAAATGGGGTTGTTGCGTTTGTGGTCATCCACGTTATGACTCTTTTGACGGCGTTATGAATTTGAACCCCACCTGTGAACGCCATAATTTGTCTTTGAAAAGGGTACGCTGCGTGAGTTATGTCGGTTTGTGAAAATGGTACGTCTTATGTGAGTTAGGTCGGTTGATTTAGATTGGTCTCATATTAATGACTCATTGTCTATAATTACACTTAGCAAAGTGTATCTAATTTGACATTTTTTTTTATTTTTTGAACCTAAAAACCTGACATTAAGTTGTGATGCAAAAAAGAGGTTTTACAGTTCATAAGGTAATCATAGACCATTTCGCCTTCCCTTCTCAAAAAAGACAGATTATACTTCCCACCATTACCTTTTACCCATAAAGCATGATAATTGATTCGCGGAAAGGGAAAGTGAGGTTCGCTAGATTGGATGGATAGCAATAGTCACAATACCCCTAACGATAGGCTTTGGAAAATGATTTTAAAAAAAACTTTAGATGTGACAGGAGAGCAAATTTAGTTATGTCTACATGTGGTCAAGTTGCAGGCAGGGGCCTTAGTTGATCGATCCTGTCCTATTCCTACAAGGGCAGATTGCTCTCCAGTTTTAATGCCACTTACCACAACAGTTGAAAATCAAATCTCTGTCCATTTCGGTCCCTAAAGAAGACAATAATATCTAGCAACTGTAAAATTTAAAAAACTTGAAAGTTATTTGTTATTGGGCACATGATGGTAAGAGCGTGCCTGGAAATGGTATTTCATGAAGTCGATGCAGAGCAGCAGAATCATTTCTGCTTGCATCTATATATCCCCTTTTTTCTACAAACAAACTGATGGATTCACAAAACTCTTAACTTTCATTCTTCCTCAACCATGTTTCATTGTTTTTAGATTTACACAGAAGTCTGTAAAATGACATCAGAAGCAAGGCATTGGTTACAGTTTTCCTTGCTTCCATTCTCCTGTAACTAGTAGCACGATTCTAGATTTACCCTCTCTGGAATTTCAAGTAATCAAGATGACAAAGAGGAAGTTTACAACTTTTGAAATCTATGATTGTGCTGCTTGGTCTGCCACAGGATCGCCATTGGCTGTCAAGCCTCGGATCTTAACATCGTAGTAAACTTCTTCAACTCTTCTTAGGTCATACTTCATACCTGCCACAGGTGACAAAGTATTTCATGCAAATGGAATGCAAAAGTAATATGAAAAATTATGAGGCTTGCAAGGATTGAAACTTGAAAGGAAAAGAGAAACATCGAGAAGTATAGTCACAATGAGTAGCATACCATCAAATGTCTTGCGCAAAAAGTCATTCCGAAGATTAAGCATGCGGAAGCCTGCATGAAGATCTGTCAAAAATTTCAGCACCTTTCTTGGGCAGTCATAGTCCCCAGCTGTCACTTGGTTAACCACATACCTCGGCTGCAGCAATGTATTGTATAATGAGCCTACTTCAATACAAAGCTATCAATTATTTTCATGACATGCGGAATGGCATGTCAATCAATGTGCTTTTACCTCATGAATTTTCTCAGTTGAAGCACAATGACATCCTTATCCGACCACAAAAAAGACATCCTTCTAGATATACACCCTAGGTCTCTGTATCCAACTATATACCTATTCAAGTATAAACTTTTCATATTTTCTTATCAATTTAAATTTTTGCTGGTATTAAATTCTAGACAACAATCGAAACATTTTGAGGCAGTTTGAACAAGTACAAAAAAGCAAGCTATCACAATTGCAGAATACTACTTACCAATTCCTTGGACATGAAACAAATACCTGCAACAGCAGGAAAAAAAAATCACATCAGCGTCTAACTTAACCAAGAGAAACCAGCAGCGATAATAATCTATGCAAGTAAGCCTACTGGACTCCTCACAATGGTTTAGATATACACACCCTACAATTGACTCCCACACAATTTGAATGAGGTGCTGTTAAGGAGATTTAAAATTATATTATTTGCACCTTGGATAGAAGGTAATGAAACCATGAAATATATATCTATGAATCAAAATCTTGTGCCTTTCCAGATTATCACAAAACAACATTGTATCAACAGATAACTTTTTTGACTTGTTTCACAGCAACATCACTCTTACGCAATCATGTATAAAGAAATCTTACAACACTCACCAACAAGATAGTCTTCAACATCCAGACCAAACTCTGAATCGTTCACTGCAAAATTGGAAATAACTCATATTAGAAACTAAAGATATTACACTGCAATTAAGACTAAATTATTTAAACCAAAAACATAACACATTATAAACAGTCATGGATCTCGTGGGTTGTAATTGACATCATTACATCACATGACCCTGCCTCAAGGTTTTTCAACTAAAATCAGATCATAGAAGATTTTGGTGTTTTGGTTACCATTGCTATTTGAATCTTTGTTTCTACATTGCATTGGACTCAGATTAAGATCAATCTGAAGCCTGATTGTTAAATCAATGGTTAAAAAGCATGATCATGGCTGCTCTTCTAATGATGAAAAAGTACCCCGACCCATTGGTTGAAATCTGATTGTCAACCATATTACGCATTTCATTTCACAAAATTGACACCTGCATATATAGTGTCTTGGCAAAATCAAAATTCCAAAAGAAAAAAAAAGCTCATATTAGACAAAAATACAAACATTTCACCATAAACAAACAATAACAGAGAGTAGAAACGTACACCCAAGTTTTTCCTTAGCTTCAGTGTGCAGCAAAAGAGCCCCTGTCTCTAACCAATGCATAAAAGCGAGCAGAGAAACCACAGTCTGTGTCTCCGTCTTCCAATCACCATGATATCTAAACACAAACCACATCAATCAAGCCAGTCCCAAAACCAAACCACAAATTAAAATTCCAACAATGCCCCTGTTTCACTTCACTAACCTATAGTATTGCCCAGGAGACTCGAGCACAATCTTAGCGAGTCGATTGTAGAGCTCCTTCAGCACACCAATCTGAGCCAAGGGCTTCTCCAAAACCTCTGCTTCAAATTAAAACCAGAAAATAAAAAACAAACAAAATGTAATTTATAAATTACATATATTTATCAAGGAAAATCCTTTTCTACATTTCACATGAAATGAAATTACCAGGAGTTGAACGAGACTGGTGGACTAAGAGAAGGCTTGAGTGAATGAGCCTTGTGGTGGACTCGATCTCCATAACCACAGTTCGAATGCGCTCGCGCAAGGTTCCAGACTCTTCGAGCTGCGCTCGGAAGTCCTCGAACTGCTTCTCCAGCAGGGGAGCCGCGTGAGCTTCACCGCCCGGCATGGATGCAGAGGAGTGAGTGGGGGAGAGCGAGCGAAACGTTTGGGCTCTGATGGACGGAGGTGAGGGAGGGATGAGGAGTGTAAGACGACGAGGGAGGAAATTAGAGGGAAGGTTAGGGTTAGGGTTTAGGGAGCGGAAGAGCGTACAATAAACGTTTCGAAACGCTGATTTCATATTCATTTGTACTTTTTCGTTTCGTGGGTTTTTCTGTTGTTCATAGATACGCGTTGCGCGCGCAAAATGCGTGTATCTTGCTCAGTTTGGTGGCTGTAATTTTATTTTCTTTCAATTTGGTCACTGTATTTGGTTTTCTAAATAGTTTTAGTGAGGTAATTACTTAGATAAAATCCAAATTTTCAATTCGGGAAGAGTAATCTGTTTATTTTCGAACAAAAATGTTATTTTGAGATTGATTTGCAAAGAATGCAGCACAATCACACATGACATGAGTGAATCCCGATAATGATTTGTGAACATCACATACATCAAGGCCCAAGATTCGACCTAATATTGCCCTTAATTGACTTCGCATTTACAATAGTTGATAGAAAGATTTCTCATCAGGCTTTGGAGTTAGATCACGTAATGAATAAGAGTGGAGTAATGAGTTAGAATTAGAGTACATCCGGATTTTACTTCCCTAGCCTAACAACAACAACAAAAAAGAAAGAAAAAAAAGAGAGAGATCTCTCTTGAATAGGATAGATAAAGTGTTTATTTATTTATTTTTTTCAAACTTTACCTCTGCACAATGACAAGCACAACAAAATATATGTAACCCAAAACTGGTGGCATAAAACTTCAATGGCTGCAATAGTTAGCTCCCTTACATCAAATAGGTTTAATCTTTAGGAAAATTTGGCAATGACTCATTAATATGATTCAAGCTCAAAATTTGAGAAACTATAAATATATATATGTGATGTCAAACTACCGAGCATACATAGAGATCAAAGTAAACTGAACAGTTCCTTTTTTGTACAAAATTAAGTAAATGTGTGGGTCCTCTATACTCATCTAGGCATGAGCATTTCTGCTTACAATGTTAGCCATCAATTTTCTGCTGTTAAAGAATTCTGCTTCACCTTCATCAGTGACTATGATACAAATTACAAGGGTGTTGAAATCTGACTTGTATGATCTATATACAAGAAAATCTGCAGAGAAAGGGGATATCCAGACCAACCTACTTCTTCTGAAAAGTCACCATCAGAAAGAAAGCCAGGACACGACTAAGCACGCCAATGACGATAAGGACGACCAGACAAAGAGTCCAATCATCAAGGTCATAGCTTCTTTTCATTAATTGATTGCAGCGAGTAATCAGCCACACCCCAGAGTACCTGATCAAGAAAGTATGAAATCAGCATCCCGATTCGCAACAGAATACAAAAGAAAACTTTGAACACTGGAATTTGTAACAATGTCGATTGTTCCATGGAACAAATTTGCATGCATGTGTGGATTGGTCATAACAAACCTTTCTGCATTTGCAATGAAAAAAGCCTCTAGTGCCCACTTCGTGTAGCAAAAGTTTGCTACACGCTTTGCTACTTCACTGTCTTTCACTTGGTTTGCAATGAGGGTCGAAACAACAGGAAGAAGCACGGACCACTGAAAACAGAAATGATTAGATTTAGAAGAAATATAAGTATTACATACATACATTCATAAGCATGTACTTAGTTTATCAGCTTGATATTCCGATATATACCAGTTGAGCAGGGCTAGGTTCAAGGTAGATGGCAATTGCATAAGCTATGCCGGTCACACAGTACACAAGGCAAAGCAAGACAATGTAATTGTCCTGAAAGGATGACCTTGGGTTATTAAAGAAATAGAACATGGATAGATAAACCAATGGTTTGATGATTGTATTGAAATGGTCCAGCGTATCTTTGGACAGAAAATGAGCCAGACTGCTGATCCCAGATGCACTCTCTCTCCAGTACTGTAATTTGTCCAGAGAAAAGGTTCTCAATGCTGCAATTTTGCATAGCAGTGCTGCAATAAGCAAAATTAAGATTATATCAAATGAGCGAAGACATGGTGAGAAAATTGTCTAGTCTAAAATACCGAGACTTATAGTTATTGCAAAATTTTATAACTTTGGCAAGGAAAACTGAGAGAAATAACTCTTTCCAATCTCATCAGTTAAGGCTAAAGAAACCATGTTAGACTCAATATTAACATAGAAAGTTTGTTTCTAAACTTACAAACAGCAATGACAGTATAAGTATAGCCGTGGGCACCAAATGTTTCATCCTTCACTTTACCAAGAGTCCCTAAGATGGCTCCAGCCAGTAATAGAATCAGATAATCAGCTGCCAGCATTTGAGCATCTCGCAGTCGCTGCTTACCAACCCTGAGAGAAATTACCTATAAGAATTTCAGGTTAAAAACTAAAACGTCCTTGGACTTCAACAGCCAAAGAAGGACTACCAATTACACTTCTTCCAAATAAATTGTAGTTTCAATCTTCAATAGGGGCTATCTTTACAGATATTTAGGCAACGCTCAAATGAGTACTAATATTAAGCTGAAAATTGATCAAAGAATGCCCTTTTTGACACGAGAGTTTCCAAAATTACCAGAAAAACTGACAAACAAAAACAAGTCACCCAAAAGCAAGTTGCATATAAACAGATATGTAACCCCAGCAAACCTGGATGGGCTTCTGGGGATGGTACTGTACCTCCAATAATGTATCAACAACCAGTAACCAGTAGAGAGAATTTGGATTCTTATGCATGTTAAATAAAATTGAATAATGGATGCTATACCTCCCTAGGAAATATCTGTACTGCCGAACTACACCAGGAGTAATTCGGTCGGATAAATCGTTAGACGTGAAGAAGTTATGTTGTAGGTGATCTTTTTTCACCACAACATTAGACTTTACATCCTGCCACATATCTGCAGCAAAAGATTGATCTCGTTTCATTACAGGTTTTGGGCCAGCTGAGCTTGCAGCAATACCATCAAGATGATGCAGCATATCTGGAGGTACTGGGTACCCATTATGAAGCATCCACCTAACGGGAAGTTCTTCATGAGTCACACCTGAGCTTGGTTTTACTATACCCTCCAAAATGTCAATGAAGTGGTCTGGAGGATTAACACGGTCTGGTACAACAATCCCAATGCCAGCAAAGTATTCTTCAACCTTCTTTACAGATCCATGATATACAGTAAGACCTCCTTTGGCTAGAAGAATGAAATCATCAAACATCCTGAATAAGGCATAGCTGTACGAACCGACCCCCAAAAAAAAGAAGAAAAAAGAAAAGGATCAAAACACTAACTCTAAGTCAATAAGATACAAAGATAACAGAAGAAAAAGCAACCAATAACGGCTTCTTATTCTTTAACCTGACAATTGATAATGAAATACTTTTCATCATGAACTTTCCAGAGAAAGAAATAGCAGTACTCAAGTTCAATGCTTTCTTGGGAAAATGCTAAAACAACTATATATTTCTGACCACACGATGTGGCAGTTGATTGTTCTTAGGAACATGCTTAAGGGACTACATGATGCGGCAGTTAATGCATACTTATTACGTCAATTATTAGGACCAGTTGTTATTAACACATCAACTACCACACAATTCTGGTCGCTATATCTCATGCTTTTTGTCGTTTCCTGAAATTTTAGAGAGAGCATACCTTGGTTGGTGAACTACCATGGAGATGTTTACCCCTTCACGAGCTTCACGTCGAAGCGCTTTAAGAAGTAACTGGGAAGATGCACTGTCCAAACCAGTTGTAGGCTCATCCAAGATCAATAATGAAGGTTCCATGACCATCTCTAAGCCAACATTTACACGTTTCCTTTGACCTCCAGAGATTCCTCGCTTCTCCACAGTACCAACCAGGGAGTCTCTAATAGACTGTAGTCCCAAGGACTCAATAACTCTTTCAACAACCAGGACTTTATCAGGTTTTGGCATGTTTGCAGATAGCCTGCAGTATGAAGGGGCCCAGAAACAAAGATGTAATATAATCAAGATGAAGCCAACAAAAATTGCTGACCTCAATCAAATCAACACAAAACTTACATAGTAGAGTTAAGAATTAATGGCGAAACATAATTGATAGCAATAAATTTTTAGCTAGTAAGGGATAGAAAGTTCTCATATGAATAAAGAGTAAATCATAAATGGTAGCCTCTTGACACGCATTCCGTACATGCCTGAGGCTTTTTATGTCCCGAGTGCATTGATTACCTTTTAACGGTAGCCTCATCATTTAGTTTTTTTGTAAAATGAGAAAAATTGTGTGTGAAATAAGAACATAACATAGAGTATCAAGAGTCAGCCTCAGCCAGCATTTAGAAGTCTGATAAAGGATAAAATGAGAAACAACCAGGAAATATATCCCTTTTTATGATGAATCTTGGCTGGTCAGATTTCATCAATGAAACAAATTCATAGATATGTTTTGATGTAAATATGAGAAAATATGTGTTCTTCAAGCATGATGGAAGAAATAACCGACGAAGTGAATAAATAAAAATGGGTCATACGGAAATCAGAATCTCATCTGTCATAAGAGTACACTGGTACCTAAGAATACTAAAAACATCTAGATATAAAAACACCATGTTTAAAATAGGTATCCTGTAACAGATTTTAATTAGTAAAAGAATTTAGTATTCTCAATATTGGGTTAGTAGGTTTGACTATGGTATATGCTTAATTTGCATCATATGTCTGCCATGAAAAAGAAATGAAGGTATACGACAGAATAAATCGCAAATGAAATTACAGACATGTATTAAAATGTGAGGATGTGTAATCATCTACGACAATAATGATACTTATTCACTAGCAATAAAAAAACTCCACATATGTATAACTCTGAAGAAGGGAAATAATTAGAAAATGCAGTTAAACTGCTGCGTGAAGTTGTAATGTACATACCTGCACCTTGCACTAAATCGGAGATTCTCCTCCACAGTCAAGTTTCCATGCACAATATCATCTTGAGGCACAAAACCTATTATTTTCTTATATGAATGCATTGGTTCAGATTTTCCATTTATAAGAATTGAGCCCGTAACAGTGCATCCAGTTACTTTTCCTGCCAATGCAGAAAGAAAAGTTGTTTTCCCAGCTCCCGAAGGACCCATGACTGCTGAAACTCGACCAGGCAAAAGTTTCCCAGTGACACACCTCAGTAGAGTCTTTTCTTTTCCTTTCAGAGTGAGAGTTAAATCTTTGAAATCTACTTCAATCGTAGGACGGGTCTTCACATCAGTATCGGTAGCCATTTGGATTAGTCCTGTGAAGGTCAAGTTCTTGCTTTGTTGTTGCATAGCTTTCTCCTTCTCAAGTTGCCCATATGCGTACTTGAAAATTTGACTGTGAGTATGCAGGTTTTTAACTTTTGGTGCTTGCTTTTTAATATTTTTATCCCCGATCTGTAGATCAAAACCTTCATTACTATTTGGATCATCCTCAAGGGATTGCATCATTTTCGTAAGGTCGCTTGGTTCCTTTTTCTTCCCTTTTGAAGCAGCTGCTGATGACTGCTCCCCACTTAATGTACCGGGTATCTTAGGTGGTAACAAAGAGTCATCAGTACCAGGTTTAGCTTGGCCTAAAACCTTCAATGGCTCTGATTTTGCAGATTTTTTGCGAGAAAATGTTCGGGACATCTGCTCATGCAATCCCGTTCTGCGCTTCTTGACTCCATCTCTTGCAGACTTCCATCTTTCGCGTGCTTTTGCAGTTTCTCGTGCATGTCTTGCTGCAGCTTCCCTGGACTTAGCTGCCCTTTTTTCCCGAATGGCAAGAACTTGATCAGAACAGTTATAAATTACGAGCAGAACAAGACTCAGTAAAACCTACAGAGGCAAGTGAACAGTATCTGATTGATCAATTAGCCCTACATATATATATATATAGATGCATATATATTTAGAGAGAGAGCGAGAGAGGGAAAAAGAGAGAGAACGAGAGCATCCAACATCAAATACATCTATAAATTGTCTTGCACATGCAGAAGCATGTTCTGAAGAATCTGAACCTAAACTTGGGAGATTGCTTTACTCATGTCATGCAGTATGTCATTCCATTTTTTGGCTTTTTACTTTATTATTTTTTTGTTGTCAAAAGGAAAATTACAGAATTTTTTAATGAATATGAGAAAATGTATTTAGAGAGTTTATTATTCAGACAAAACACACAGAGGTTCCAAAATTAAACATATCTTAAGAGAGTGAGATAGCAAGTATTCATTCTTATATTCTTCAATAAGGACTAAATCCAAATTGAAAGCCATAAGGTTCACAACTAAAATTGATCCTCACCTGCTTAAACAATGAACTGCCCAAAACTAGCTTATGATTTTATTTTACAAAATTTGATCCAAGAATATGTAGGAAACACTTACAATAAGGATGATCCCATAAGCATGAATCTTCTGGTTTGCAGTACCACGACCACATGCAGTCAACTTCAAGCACGCTGCAAATGGTCAATTGAGATCAATAAAATATATCAAACCACAACCCTTCTCAGTCATATGTAGAGTATGCGGCAGAAATCTTAGAGGAGCACAGATTTGTGAAAATGAAATGGTACAGGGCTAAGAGATATGGTCAACAGAAATATCATACGCTGTTACCGAGAGAATATGGTGCATGTAACCTATTTTATTGCATTCATCAGAAAATGGTACGCAACTCTTCCTGTATTTTGGTCAAGCACCTAATAGTGCAAAACTAAATATCATTAAACATATAATGACTTTGTGAGTAAAGAAACAAATTCATAACTTATATAAAAGGACAACTCCATATGCGAGCCCCTTTCCTCTTTATAATATTTGAGATTCTGAAACCTCAGTAGCAGAGAAAGGGAGCAAAGTTTGCTAATTCAAAGACACATCTTTAACCAACCAAACCAAGCTATATTCAAGAAAGTAAAAACTCCAATCTAACACCGAATGTCACGAATGGAGCAGGAACATAAGGAAAAAGGTAATGTCTACATTATTAAAAGGCTATACGTGGAAGGACTAAAAATATAACAAAACTTACAGTTTTCAGCAGTTGAACCCATCCTGCAGTAATGCCTGAAATTGCATGAGAACACAATCTTAGTGAATACAGATGCTGAACACAACTAGTTGCCTAATTCTTAGATCATGCAGCAAAACACCAAGATGGATTAGATTTATTTCCGAATGACTTTACCCTCAGGGTTTTTTTTATCTTGCAGTAAATAGCAATAAGTAGCAAGCCGCAATGGCCAAAATAGAAAAGTAGTACGGTGCAAGCAAGTAAGAAAGTTATTTGAGTTCCAGGGATGAGAATCAATACCCACTACTGCAAATATATTTACGTATAGGAGACGGACAGTATGATCCAGCTGAACAGAAAATATCAGTTTTACTGTCAACATCAGCCCAAATATCTGCGCCACCACAAGTATGATTTGGTTCTCCTGCGGGTACTTGGTAACTATATCTGCAAAATTGTATCCAACAATGAATACTAATGCATACTATAAGCCCATAGGAAACCTGAGATAGGAGAGGACAAAAAGGTTGTCAAGACTAGGATGTCAACTCACGGGTCACATAATCCAGTCGTTTTGTTCAATGCTGCTCTGGGACAGAAAGAACCTAAAGGACAAGCTTCATTTACAACAAAATTAAAACAAAACAAAAAGGTGTTAGATCATAGATCAATAATTTGCTTACTTTCAAATCAGCTCAGGAGACTGAAATTATGTGGACTGAGAAAATTTGGCATACAGTCCCGAACTTCTTTATATGTATACTTCTGAATGTATATCAATAAAATCTAAAGAATCATAAACTGCAATGTTCACAAATTTTATTTCACTTTGCTCAATATACAGACAGATACACTAGCATTAAATGTTATAGATACAATATAATTTTGAACTCAAACAAAGATCACAAGAATGTGGCAAGATAACTATGCATGAACACTTCCAGCCCTCTCAAACAAGAAGCAAGAATTACTGAAAACCCTATCCTAGATCCAAATAAGCACAGAGCTTAAGAAAATGACAAAATAAAAAAGCAGCAGGAAAAAGTGAAGCATCAGCCCAAAAGAATTAATGATATGTTAAATAAATAAATTCATGAACATATATTAACAACAATAAAACTATTTGGACCACATTATAGACCACATCTCTATTAATGATAATGAGGGTGTCATCACATACTTACGTATCATGCACGTAATGCCCTCAGGGCAGAAGAACCCTGCACAACAAGGTTGACAATCCCGAGTTCTAGATGGTATGCTTGAAGCTTTGAGGTCAACCTTCTGGTTCTGGCCGAGACTACAGCCCCAACCAGGCTCACATCCGGAAACCCATGAGGTCAAATTGCAGTTCTTGTTTAGTTTTAAGTAGTTTGAACGTTTTATCCCACCTGCGGTGAAACTCTTGAAATAGGACCTTATTTCTGCTGCTGTACATAGTCTATTAGTGACATCTCCTGGTGATTGAATTACACCTTTCGTTAGGAACTTTACAGAGGTATAAGCTATATGAATACATTTAAAGACAAGTTCTCCAGGAGAAAAGATAACAAGAATGTAGCATGCCATCACATCATTAGAACGAATCAGGGTAGTACAAAACAAAGCATGGACATCACACCAACAGAACTAAGAGCCCCTTTCTCTATTATGGCATTGGCTTTATGTTACCATCCTAGAACACACATGCACCTACAATTAAGGGGGGAAAGACTAGCAACGAACACACACCAAAACAAATAATAATAAAAAATAGGGAATTGAATAAAGCTTGTACCACTTGTCTGCTTTATGCAATCAGTCAAGAATCCCAGCTTTCCCGTAAAATTGAATGCTCCATTCCAATCATCATCTCTGAAAAGCCAAGAAAAAGAACATCTTAGGTTGAAAACAGGAATTTGTAGCAAAGAAACAAACTAAGGGCAATTAGGTTTTACTCACACATTCTTTATGCAGAAACCCATATCAGCTTTAAGGTCAGTGCTTAAAGTTTTAGTGATATTTGTAAGCCGGCTATAGATTAGCTGTGTAACCATAGGAAGCACAGCTGGGTTTTTGGTCCTGCTGTAATCATCTCCATTCACACACCGAGTGCGAGGCAATAAGCTTAAAAAAATTATAAGAAACAGAAATGCATGGGGAACCCAACAGGCATTAATCCTCAATCCTCTCATTTCTAGCAGTTGGAGCTCCCCACATTACACATTGTAGCAAAACCATCCAAGAATCCAACTTTCTAATAACACACTCAATGAATATTCTTTTTAATCGCATTCAAATTTGCAGGTGGTCCATGGAAAATTGACCATGGAGGCATTGATCATAATTGCCTGCAACACTCTCTAATGCTTCATCATATCAAGCATATCATGCAATGTTGTGACAAATTGTGAACCCCCATGGACCAGGAACACAAAATTGAGTAATGGGCTATCGAAAATGCCAATGGTATTGTGCAGTATACTAAAAGTTCTGGGTTTTTATGGACCAAGAAGAAAGAATGAAGCAAATGGGTATGCTGGAAAGAAAAAATTGAATCTTTTTTTTTGGTCGAAAGGAAAAAATTGAATCTTGAGAAGTGAAAGAAGGAAAAAACTATTGCAAGTTAGCGTGGGTGCGATGGAGGTTGAAGATGAACGTGGCAGAGGGCTCGAAAGCAACCAGAGCTGAGAAACGGAAAAGATTTTTGGCCAAAGGTCCGTGTGAATTCTGAAGGAGGCCCGGAATTTGGGCTGAGGAAATGGCGGGGAGAAATGTGTGGCCAGCGGCCACATTGAAGGTAGTCAAAACCACATGACTGTTTGTGCGTGAAATTTGTTCCGAGTCTTTCTGTTTCTGTCTATGCCTCTTTAAACACTTGCATAATAGCTGCTTATTCATTGACAACATTTTTTTCTTACGTACATTTTTTTATTTATTTAAAAAAAACAGTAATTAAAAAATAGTGTTGTTAAATGAGTATATATAGGGATGACAATTTTCCCTGCGAGTAAGGGTCTTCGCGGGAATTCGACCCTAATGGGTCAAGTATGAAGGATAAAAAACGAGTATCGGAATGGGTACGGGAAATTTTTTGGGTATGATGTTCGGAGAGGGGTGGGGTTGGTATTTTAAACCCCGACTTGAACCCTCCCCCATTTAGAATATATATATATTGTAGTATATATAAATATGATATTAAAGTGATTGTGCCGACTAAACTTTATATTTCCTATTATTATATTATATATTTATATAACTTATTCGAATCTTAAGCCACACTACTTATACATTTAGTTAAATTCTAGTTAATATGTAACCATTCTTATATTGTCTTATATGTATATTATATTATATATATATATATATATTCATTATCTTGTCCTAATCCAATTTTTTTTCTTTCAATAAAGTAGTTTTATAATGGTTTTTTCTTTCGTAATGAGGCGGGTCGGGGAATCTATTCCCCAACAAATGTGGGGATAGGGAATCCCCGATATGAATATTGCGAGTATGAAGGCGGGGATGAGGAAAAAAGTTTAACGGGGATGGGGATGGAAATGGCATACCACTCCTGACATAACAAGAGTCAAGTGGGTTCAATCAAAGATGAGAAACAACACTACTATGTTGAATCTTAAAGATGAGATGTCAGAGCTAATAGTACAATAATCAAAGACAATACCAAAATCAACACAGCCACACCAAAGTTAGCTTCACTGGCAAGAAACTAAAAACAAGGGTAATATTAATACTTCACAGAACACACAAGCTTATCCTTATCTGGCATCGCCAAACTTCAACTGGGAGAAAACTTGGCTTGGTGTTGTGTCCACCGATCCGTCAGCGGAGACAGCTGTATCGTCTGCGTTAACTGTGGAACTAAGTGAAGGAAGACGCTCAACATATATGAATGCTGATGAAGCATTGGCTGTGCTGTCCTCAGAACTAAGTTCTCTAAGATTTAGTGCTACATGGAGCTTTAATGCATACTCCAAGTCAGACAGCACATTAACCATTGTAGGCCGATCATTAGCGTCTTTTTGCAGACATTTCTCAGCCGTGTCACTAAATACTCGCAGCGAGTTAGCATCAATCTGACCCTCAAGTGAAGAGTCTACAACCTGTTCAAGCAACCCTTTCGTCTTGCAATGTAGCACCCACTCAGCTAAATTTATTTCATCTCTTGGGAGATCTCTATCAATAGGAGGTCTTCCACATAACACCTCAAGAAGAACTACCCCGAACGAGTACACATCAGATTTTTCAGACAACTGTTCGGACATCACATAGTCCGGATCAAGGTAACCAAGGGTGCCTTTCACTTTGGTGACAACATGAGTTTCATCAACAGAACCATGTTTTGAAAGGCCAAAGTCAGCAACTTTAGCAACATTGTTTTCATCAAGCAATATGTTGTTGGACTTAACATCACGGTGGATGATGCCCCCAGCTGCAACTGTGTGGAGGTAATCCAGACCCCTTGCTGCACCAATGCAAATTTCAAGTCTCTGCTTCCAGGGCATACGAGGAAAGTCCGAAGCGTATAAATGATCACTCAAGGTCCCATTTTCCATGAACTCATAGACAATTATCATCTCAGACTTTTCATCACAGTACCCAATTAAGGAAACAAGATGGCGATGGTGAATCTTGGACAAAATCTTGATCTCTGTATGGAATTCTCCAAGGCCTTGGCCTGAACCTTTCTTAGCTCGCTTGACTGCTACTTTTCTTCCATCGAGGAGAGTTCCTCTGTAAACATTCCCAAAGCCACCTTCACCAAGCAGCTTTTCGTCGTCAAAGTTGTTTGTTGCACGCTGAACTTCAGCAAATGATATCTTCACCCCACGAATCGCAGTCAACCTTCTTATGTGTTTCAAACCAAACAAGATTCCAAAAGCCAAAATGCAGATGAAAGACAGGCTTCCAACAACCGAACCAACCACAAGACCCACATTTTTCTTCAGAGACTCTTTCACATCAGAAACTGAAACTGAGCTCTCCATTATCTCCAACATTTCCAGACCATTCAGAAAGGCAGTTTTGTTTGTAGAGTTTATCCGAGCACCTACGCTGATGCTAATGAGTTGAGATTCATTAGAACTCACCACAAAATCATAGTAGAAAGGAGTAGCTGACTCTGTTGAGAAAAAGGACTGATTTCCACCAACCTTCTTACTGAAGTTGCCATTCGAGTACAAATTAAATACTATATTACCAGGTTGACCAATAATGTCACAGAAGTGAACCCGGACAAGGTGCCTAGCGTTCCTTCTCGCATTAAAAGACCAGGTTATGTTGAAGGAATTGAATGGCCTGCTAGGAGTAATATTCATCTCTTTGGCAGTTTGGTAAACAGAATCCGGGGCAATAAAATCATTAGCAGCAATGAAATGAGTGGCTGGATCATTAAGCTCTTCATTGTAATAACTAGGCTTATTTGGGTAGTGGATTTCCTTGGCAGAGTTCGAATCAGACAGATAACTATCATCTTGTTCCCAGTTTCTCCATATTTTGTCAATATATGGTGTGACTTCCTGGCCTCCAACATTCACCCTGTAAATTGTATGCAGAACTAAAGGAAGACTACTGTTGTCAGTTTCAGGGCTGAAACTTGTAGGGGCAAGGAAGACTTCAATGCCATTTACAAATGCAAAAGATGATGCTTGAGGAATAAAATATATTTTAAATATGCCAGGATCAATCCCAAGGAAGAACTCCTTTATCAAAGGAGAGTTGCTACTATTCTTAGCAGTGAAATTGCTCAACAGTTTGAACCCAGAATTTGAGACATTAGGAAAAGCCAGAACATCAAAAAGAGCTGTGGAGAGATTAACTGAGGAGGAGAAAGCCAAGAAATGCAGGCGTACAAGATAAGTACCGTTTTCACTGACCTCGAACTTATAGTAGGATTGCTGGCTGAAAATTCTTGCTGTTTGGTAGAGAGTTGATATATTATCTGGAAGCTGGTTGCTGGCTTTGACAGCCTTGCTTTTCTGTGAGGAGAAGGAACCATCTGCTATGAACGTCCTGCCAGTTAAGTTTATAGCAGCATCTGATCCACAGTTGATGAAATTCTTATCTGGGAGCTCATAAGCTAGAGATAGAGAGTGAAAGGATGAGAAGTGGAGGAGAAGAGCAAGCAGAGAAAACATGGGGACAAGGGTTCTACAGTTATGAAGATTTTCCATGGCAGACAATGGAGTCACTGGATTTTGCTAATTCTTAGCCGAAGCAATGCTCAGCAGGGAATGGAATTTGGAGCTGAATGATTGTGGAAATTATGCAAGACAAAGACTTGGAATAGGAAAAGTTGCGGACTTTTAAAGTTGATAAATGTTTGTTGAGAGAATCCCACGTCAGGAAATTAAAGCCAATTGATTTTAAGATGGATGCTTTAATAATTCTACTAATATCAACCATGCACATTGGAAAATAGAAAATTGCAAGCGAAATTAGGGTGGAATTTCTGTAAATATCCCTTATATTTCATAGACTAAGCAAATACAACAAAGGACATTTTGGGTATCTTAGTTTTCTCTAGTTAAAGTGAACCATATAATTGACTAAAGTTTCTTCCACTAAGAAAAAGTTTGATGGCGCTCGTCTTCATGTGTTTTGCATTGGATGAGACACTGGTCCACCTGACAATCATTTTTTCTTTTTGTGCTTTAATAAATGATAATTTAGAAGTGCCATTTGAATCACATAGATGATCTCTCAGAGTCAGAGCCTGGTTCACATTGCTTTACAGCCACTTTGATACCTTGAAGAGTTTCTTATAGACTTTCCCGAACCCACCTTCGCCAAAAGGTATCTTCAGACCGGGAGCAATTCACACACCCTTTCATAATCATTTCCTCCCCAACTTTTCAACTTTGAACCCTGAACCCAAGCTTGTAGTCATAAATCCAAAATCAAAGTAAAACAGAGCTGCCAACCAGCCAATTACCTTTCATGGATGGACCATATACAGATGCTATTATCTATCAATTCTTTTGCTGTCCTAATAGTAATAGGCCAGATTTGAGGCGATATACATAGTAATTCCTCCAGGTTGGTACTTCGGCCTATCATTTGGAAGTGTAACTTTTCCAGGATTTGCCTACTAGTTTCCAATGGGAGAGTAAAGCATTACTGAAGCTATTCTAGCTCTAGGGACGATAATAATTATGAGGTCAACAACATGGACAACTACATCAACATGATACGATGCTAAAGAAGATTGTTTGCAAGAAGAACTAGTCTTCTTGTAGCTGCTTGTCAAGTGTTGGCCAAAAAAAGCTACTTCTTACTAGCGAACCCAGAAGCTAACCTTAATTTTGGGAGATCTCCTGCGATTTGGAGTTAAACTTACGCATTCTTTGAGATCTTAATTTTGCCACCTATTCCTACGTTCTATTTGCATTTACAGAACCTTTTTCACCTAAGTGTCCCTTGTCATTTCTTTTGGTCAAAAAGCTTGCTATTAACAACTTCAAAGCCAGACGACTAGACTGTGAACCCTCAACCTGATGGCCTAAACTAGCTAAAGCATCTGTGCAAGAATTTTTTCCCTGATCAATAAATGATTGAGTTCCAGGATTCATATGAGACGTGAGGTTTTTGAGATATACCTATCCATAATATTTTCCAGGGCATTTAAACATATTTCATAACATTATCAATCACGAGTTGGTGTCTCCTTCAATTTGAATTGTTTTGTATCATGATCCTACTGCCCAGGGTTTAGGCTAAGAGCATGGCTGGATAGTCTCAGGGAAAAGTATAGAATTTAGCAGGGAGTCATGTATGAACCTAAGTAAGACACTCCTCTGGGGTAGCAAGGTGAAACTCCCAATCAACAGCAGTTTAACTATCATAGAATTTGTTAGCTGCTTCTGTTTATGAACAATTAATACTCTTATCACATCTTAAAGATGGGAAACCAGTTGTAGTACAATAATCAAAGATAGGACTAAAATAAACAGGGCATACCTAACTTGGCTTTTACAGCCTAAGGAAACTTAAACAAGGTTAACTAATATACCTTACAAACTGAACAAATTTATCTGGCATCACCAACTCTCAATTGGGAGAAAACTTCAACTTCTGTTGTATCTAATTCATCATCTCCGGGAAGAGCCAGATCATCTATGTTAATCGTGGAGCTAACTGAAGGAAAACGCTGAACATTTGGCAATACAAATGCTGATGAAGCATTGGCTGTGCTGTCTTCATGGGGTTCTCCATGCTTTGCTGTTTGCTGGAGCTGGAATGCATACTCCAAGTCCCACAGCACATCACCCATTGTAGGCCTATCATTAGCATCTTCTTGCAAGCATTTCTCTGCTGTCTCACTAAAATTTCTGAATGAGCTAGGATCAATCTGATTCTTGATTGAAGAGTCAACAATCTGTTCAAGCAACCCTTTCTTCTTGCAAAGCATTCCCCATTCAGCTAAATTCATTTGGTCTCTTGGGAGCATTGTATCAATAGCAGGTCTTGCACATAACACCTCAAGGAGAACCACGCCAAATGCGTAAACATCAGATTTTTCTGTCAACTGTTGGGACATTATGTATTCAGGATCAAGGTAACCAAAAGTGCCTTTAACATTTGTGCTGACATGCGTTTCATCAAGAGGACCAGATCTTGAAAGGCCAAAGTCAGCAACTTTGGCAATATGGTTTGAAGGTCAGGAAACAAGATGTAAATCACAAACATGCAAACTAAAGGGACCCTCTTCTTTGTTGATGGAATTAATAGAAATAATAACACCGAAGAACACAAATGAAATTATGAACCAACATAATTGTTTGGGCCTAAAAATTGACACACCCAGCCCAGCGAAAGAAGCCCAAAATCCAGAAGAGCCCGGCCTAAAGCTTATCAAAGCAAAACAAAACCAACCTGGGCCTCACAGGCCCGTTGTGATAAAAAGAGAGGGGGGCCTAGAAACAGGAAACAATCCCACGTGACATCTGTGGGATAAAGGAAAGTCAACAATGGCAACTGTCATAGAAGAAGTGATTGAAAAATTTATGTCATCAAGCTGTTCTGAAAACCCTGAAAAATCTGAAGATCAAAATCCCTCTTACATATATATATTCAGAGATTTTTCTTCTATTCTACAGAGAAGGTAATTCTCCCAAAGATATAAGCAAGCTACAATCTCAGAGAAGGATAAGCAGGAAAGCAGGGAGCTGTCCAGAAAAGAAATCAAACTAACCATCACGGTTGAAATCTCACAAGGGGCAGTTGAAATTGGGAAAAGAGATTAGGTTCTTTTTCAAGAAAAACAGGGGAAGTTATTGCCTATTTGAGAGCCTATCTGCCAAACTGATGAAATCCTATTTTCTTTCTTTCCATTAAAAAGAAAAAAAGGGGAGATATCTGTTGAAAAGATTTGCCGCCCAATATTAAACAAAATCACCCTACTCCAGAAAAACATTTTACTATAAATACAAGAAGGAGTGAACCGAGCAAAACACAAAAAAATTCAACATCCAATCAAACAAAAATCTTACATAAGGAAACCATCAGTCAAATAGACAACTCAAAATCAACCAACAAGCTCACTTGAATTTCAAGTGAAACCAGCTTCAGATCAGAATTCCCAAGGCTCAGACTTAAGAAGTAAGTCATTCAAAACGAGATTTCTCTCGTTACAAATTTGGTTCAAAAAAAAACCAAGACAGGTAGAGCTTGAGCTTTCTCCAAATATGGAAAACCTCAACAAAATTCACAGTGCAGTCTCTAGCCCATTGAAGTCCTCAAAAACAGTCACTTCTGCCCAAGCAGACTGAGGAAACCGCAGTTCTGCCCACTCAAAAGCTTCACAAAAGCTTGAGGTACATTGAAGCTCTGCCAGAATCAAATTTTGGTATCGATTTACAGTTGAAACCTAACAGTTAAAGTTGTCAACGGTCCAGTCCAGCCCAGGTATTTCCAGTCCAACCCGGATCAGAACCTTCCATCTCGACAGAAATTGAGTTCCAGCTGTCTCTTCATCTCTTTCTAGCATGAGCATTTATTGTTATATTTTTGTAAAAGGCAGTTCCGCCTAAAAACAGTTTAAATCCCATCAACCATTCTGACCAGAACAACCTCTTTATACTGAGATAAATTGTTGAAGTTCTCACCAGTTTGAGGCAAGAAAAGAACTTACTTGGGAGATATTCCTCACCCAAATTCACAATCGCTTGTTTGCAGAAATCAGTAACTTGGGACGCAAGTTATCCATTCCAAACTAAGTCTGCTAGAATTTTTATTACTAGCAGTGGCACGCTCGCACACCAAAGAAAGCTGACTTGTTGACCAGTCTATGGTTCTCAATGCAGTGGGGAACTTTGCCCTTCCATCATAGGAGTAAACGCAAAACGGGTGAACAATTTGGCACGCCCAGTGGGACTTCTCAGTATACATATTCTCATTGAGTTCTTTGCAAGTTCATGAATACTGGAAGCTCTAGCCAGAACCCACATCACGACATGGAAATAAACCAAGTGGCTCTCAGGGAATGACTGGAGTTAGAAGAGAGTGATGCCCGGCACTCAGCACATGGCAGCACAGGGAGCAGAAAGTCCAGGACCGACTCCAGAAGGATGAACCTGATATAGGAATCTGTGTTACGACAAGAGGTCACAACACAAAGGAGCCAGGATACTCTAAATAATATGACAGCCATGATGCAATGGCAGGTCAACAGGCAATTCAGGAAGGACCGTGAGGCTGCCATGGCCAAAATTCCCAATCCAGATGAGGTGGTCCAGCAACTAGACCTTCCCTATGGTCCCCCACCAGGATTGGCATGGCCATATCAAGAGAATCCTCTTGTTGCACAGATAGCTGGAATGCCAGAATGAGGGGAAGTCTAGGCTGGACAGAGGGAATGAGCTCTTCCTATCCAAGAACGTCAGGCCCCAATACGGCCAGAAGGCCCTGCGCCAGGACAAGTTCAGTAGAATCAACCAGAGCCTCAGCCTGTTCCACAACAAGCGGCCCCACAGGATCACCCTATGGCAATTCTGCCTGAACAGCCAGCAGTATTACCCTACAGGCCCAGAAGGATGGACCCCAATCCATTCCCTCCACCTACAAGAGGAAGGAGAGGCAGAGGGGGAAACTACCCTTATGCTAACAACGACAGGAACAGGCTGGGGGCAAACTGGAGGAACCACCCAGGTCTGGAAGAATCGGAGGAACACAGGGAAGAAGTTCTGCCTATGCCATATAGGGCAGAACCCCGAATTAATTATGCCCAGCCAGAACAGGGGCAAAATCTCCTCCCTGTTAATGCTTTAAATGACGTGGGGGCATTGCAAAGGATGATCAGGGAAATGATGGAGCCTGAGGCCAGGAGGGGAGAGAGACCCACCTACAGAAAGCCATATCCACCTTACATTGATCAGATACTTTTGTCCCCAGGTTTTAAAGTGCCGAACTTCACTTTATTCAACGGAGAGGATCCCCATGCTTCATCAGTCAAGCATATAGGCAGATTTTCTGTCCAATGCATAGCCATAGAGAATAACCCACTGTTAAAGCTAAGACTTTTCGGGAATTCTCTCTCTGGACAAGCTTTCACTTGGTACACCAATCTGCCAGCAAATTCCATTCAGACTTGGGAACAAATGGAGAGTGTCTTCCATGACTACTATTACAGGATTCAGCCAGAAGTCACCATCAGTGACCTTGCCGCCCTCAAACAGAGTGAAGATGAACCTGCCCAAGACTTTATAAACAGGTTCAGGAAGCTCAAAATGAAGTGCCGAATCCCCATGGAAGAAAGACACTTCATCCAAATGGCTCAGGCTGCCCTCAAGATTTCTCTAAGAAAAAGATTTGATGGGATGCTGTTTGGAGATCTGGCAGAATTGGCAGATAAAGCGTCCAAGTACGAGGAACTGCTCAGGGAGGAACAGCAGAAGAGAAACTCTTCCAAAGGCACGTATTATAAATCTCCTTCTTCCTCAATACATACGATTGAAGTAGAGTCAGAAGAAGATACAGAAGGATCGGAGGAGAGAGAGGTTGCAGTTGCAGAAATGGCAAAATTAAAGCATCCCATCAGTTGTAAAACTCTTACAAAGCCTCCAAGAGATCAGAAGCCGCCACCATTCACAGGAGGGTTTGTTCCAAACAAACCAATGCAGAACAAGGTGTATTCCTTTGATCTGACCAAGGTAGATGCCTTGTTTGATGAAATGTTGCTGCAGAAAGCAATAGAGACACCCCACAGAATGCCCAAACCAAAAGAACTCAAGGGCAGACAGTATTGCAGAAGACACAATTCTTGGAATCATTCTACCAATAGTTGTGTTGTTTTCAGAGATGTCATCAAGGAAGGGATAACAGCAGGAAGGCTGAAGCTGGCAGAAAAACCCTTTTCCCCCGCCACAAGTTAACATGGTCAACCTAAATTGGCCAGAACAGAAGAAGGGCAGACCAGCTACAGAGGCTAGCTCCAGTATAAGCAGAATAGTTTCAAAAGAGACTATGGAGAGACCAAAAGCAACCATTTCAGCTGGAGTAGTGCTCTGCAGCAGGTGCAAGTGTGAGGCTGAGCTGGAAGTGGTCCTGGACAAACAGGAACTGCCCACTCCAAGTGTTTTTGACCGGATTGGGACCACGTCCCATGATAGAGCCAGACAGAGAAACTACCCCAGGCCTGTCCAATCCAGCAGAAGAATGACTAAGCAGCCCAAGGAGGAAATATCAATAAAAATGCCCGGAAGTGAGAAACCTTTGGCAGCCATCATTGAAGGCAGGTGGTATTCTGTCGGGAAGAATGGCAGACCAACAATGGAGCTAACAAGAACTCAAAGGAGGAGGGTTCAGAGACAGTACTGCACATTCCTCAATAACAAGAACAACGCACAGATGCTTCCAGAGACCAATTTTGCCAAAAAAGGGAAAGAGCCAGAAGTACTTCCCCAGATAGAACAAGCAATCTCTCAACCACAGAGGTTAACGAAAGCAGAATCCTCAGGGAAACCTTCTATCCATCCTACCTCCACCTCAGGAAATCTACTTAAAACTCCACAACCAGAGGAAAAAAACCTATCCTATTCCAGGAGAAGGGCAAGAAGATTGGACTAAGGAGTATGAAGAGGAGCAGCTGGATTATGAACCATCTGCAGATGACCAGAATGCGCTCCTCGGAACAAAAGAACAGGGAGAATGGACGGAGGAATACGGTGGAGAACAGATGGATTATGATGGAGAGTTGGATGCAGAAACTGAGGCCTTTGGTGCAAAATTGGAGGACTTGTTACGTGCTGACCTAAGCATCAATATGGTGTTCATTCTGCCAGAAAAGTTCTGGGCCGTAGAGGGGCAGAAAAGCACTCTGGATGGAGATGTATTTTCCCAAGAGAGTTTTGAATGCAGGTTGGAAGAAGCAGAAGAGATGCCAGAGCAGCAAGCAGGCAATCCCAGGACAGAAGAAACTACCAACAAGCTGGCTGCAGACCAGCTTTGCTTCTCCAAACCAACCAAAGAAATGGCAAACCACCTCAAACCCTTGTTTATAACAGCAAACTTTGGGGGTGTTCCTATCCCCAAAATTATGGTAGATGGAGGTGCAGCCATCAACCTTCTGCCTCACAGAATGCTGAGCAAAATGGGCAGAACAGAAAGGGATTTAATTCCAACCCGCTTGATCGTCACCAATTTCGCAGGGGGCATCACCAAAACCTTTGGGATCCTGGATGTGGATGTTTTAGTAGGAAGCAAGAAGCTGAAGGTTGCATTTTTTGTGGTAGATACTACTTCTACCACTTACAATGCACTGCTTGGCAGAGACTGGATTCATCAGAGTCTATGTGTTCCTTCCACTCTTCATCAACAGTTAACTTTATGGAATGAAAAAGGCTACATAGAGATAGTAGAGGCCGATCCACGGCCATTTCTTCCTTCTGCCATGTGTTGTGAGGCAAGGTACTATCATGATGACCTTGGTCCTTTCACCTTCTTTGGAGTCAACCAGAACGGCCGCCCCCATGGTGTCACGGCTCAGAGGCTCATTGAAGAAGGTCTAACCAACTCTTTGGAGGATTGGAACAGACCTTTTGTTCTAAACTTCCGAAACTCTGATGTTTAGTCCCAATCAACGAGAAAATAATCGAGCTGCAACAATCCGATCCATTACAAAAAGATTGTTGATATACTGGGAGGAAAGAAAGCTTTTTGCGCAGAATCCAACCATCAATATGGCAGAATTCACTCATGAAAGCACGGAAGACCAGGAGGAAGTGTTAGATTTTGCACCAGCTGCACTGGATGACTCTCTGCCATAGGTGGAAGATCCTTTGCAGGAAATAAACTTAGGAACAGGGGAGGATCCAAGGCCTACCTTTATCAGCGCACTATTGAAAGAACCACTTAAGAATGAACTCATTGCACTTCTACAAGAGTTTAGAGATTGTTTTGCTTGGCATTATCATGAGATGCCAGGATTAGATAGGGAATTGGTAGAACACAGGCTGCCAATCAAAGAGGGATACCTTCCAGTCAAACAGGCCAGAAAAAGGATGTCCATGGACACAGAAATGAAAGTCAAGGAAGAAATAGAAAGGCTGCTCAAGGCAGGATTCATCAGGCTAGCCATCTATGCTGATTGGCTAGCTAATATTGTACCAGTTCTAAAAAGAAAAACCGGGGCAGTCAGAATCTGTGTGGATTACAGAAATCTAAATGAGGCCTCTCCCAAGGATGAGTAACCTATGCCAATGGCAGACATGCTAGTAAATGGAGCTGCCCACAACCAGATGCGATCTTTTATGGATGGCAACGCAGGTTACAATCAGATCATAATGGCAGAAGAAGACATCCACAAGACAGCCTTTATGTGTCCAGGACATATAGGTGCTTTTGAATACACTGTAATGCCTTTTGGCTTGAGAAATGCAGGGGCTACCTATCAAAGGGCAATGAATTCTGTTTTCCATGATATGATAGGGCATTCCTTGGAAGTTTATATTGATGATGTGGTGATTAAATCACCAGAGGAGGGAAACCACATGACAAATCTAAGAAGAGCATTCATAAGAATGAGGCAACATAAACTAAAAATGAACCCAAAGAAGTGCGTTTTTGGAGTTCAAGCGGGAAATTTCCTAGGATTCTTGGTCCACCAAAGAGGCATAGAGATCGACAAAAACAAAGCAAAATCCATCATAGAAGCTTTGCCGCCTAGGAACAAGAAAGAATTGCAAAGTCTCTTAGGAAAAGTTAATTTTTTAAGGAGATTTATATCCAATTCTGCAGGAAAGATCCAACCTTTCTCTTCCTTGTTAAGATTGAAACAGGAACAAACCTTTAAGTGGGAAGAACAGCACCAACAAGCTTTTGAGGAAATCAAGCATTACCTCTCAAATCCACCAGTTCTGTCCCCACCAAAGAGGGGCAGACCACTCAAGCTCTATGTATCTGCATCAGAAATATCCATTGGAAGTTTGACAGAGGTGGAAAGAAAATATTCTGCAATTGAAAGACTTTGCCTAGCCTTGTACTTCACTGCTGTGAAGCTCAGACATTACATGCTGCCATTACACCATCTACATCATTGCCAAAACAGATATGATCAAATACATGCTAACAAGACCAATGCTGAGAGGCAGAATTGGAAAATGGACCTTGGCCTTGACAGAATTTGCCTTCAGATATGTTCCTCAGAAAGCCGTCAAAGGACAAGCTGTGGCAGACTTCCTAGCAGATCATCCGGGGGAGGAGATTGAAAACATGGACTCTTTAGACATAGCAAATGCAGATCTATTAACCAGAGCTCACACCTGTCTCAACAATCCTATCTATTCAGTTCATCTTGCACCTTGGAAGTTATACTTTGATGGATCAAAAACTGATATAGCTTCCGGGGCAGGAATTGTTTTGGAAGAACCACTTGGAATCAGACATTGCTACTCTTTCCAATTGGATTTCCAATGCACCAACAACAGGGCAGAATATGAGGCTTTAATCATTGACTTGGAAATGCTGGTAGAACTAGGAATCCAATCTGTGGAAATTCTGGGAGATTCCATGCTAGTTTTAAAACAAATTGCTGGGGAATACAAGTGCCTAAGTCCTTCTCTAGCCGTCTACTTGGTGGCAGCTAGGAATCTTCTGACAGAATTCAGAGAAGCCACTTGGGAACATATCCCAAGGGAAGAAAATTTTGCAGCCAATGAATTGGCTCAGGTGGCAACAGGCATACAAATGCCCGAAGATTGTGTACAAAGAATCATCAGGATAGGAAGAAAAGCCTACCATCTGTTCTGACCAGGGGGATGGAAATAGATGTCAATTCTTCCACAATCACTGAAGATGGTTGGAGAAATCCTATCATGACTTACTTACGATATCCAACTCTGCCCTCTGAAAAGAGAGTCAGAATCATGGCTTTAAACTACCTTATGTGGAACGAAGATTTGGTCCGAAAAAGTAAGGATGAGGTGCTTTTAAGGTGCCTCAGAAAGAAAGAATACATGAAAGTCATGGGGGAAACCCATGAAGGAATCTGTGGAGCACATCAAGGTGGGAGAAAAATGTGCTGGTTAATTAGAAGATATGGCTACTTCTGGCCAACCATGATGAAAGATTGCATTAACTATTCCAAGGGATGTGAATCTTGTCAAAGACACGGCCCAATCCAGCAGGCTCCCTCAGTTCCCATGAATCCAGTGGTAAAGCCATGGCCCTTTAGAGGATGGGCAATGGACCTCATTGGCAAGATCTATCCAGCCAGCAGCCAGCAGCACTGCTTTATCATTGTTGCCACAGACTATTTCACTAAGTGGGTAGAAGCCAAGGCTATTAAATCCACTACATCTCAAGAGATCATCATTTTCATAGAAGAACAGATTATACAAAGATTTGGCATCCCAGAATCAATCACAACTGATAGAGGATCTTCCTTCATATCTGGAGAAATGCTGGACATGGCAGAGGCATTCAAATTCAGATTGCTCCAGTCCACTCCTTATTATGCCCAAGCCAATGGACAGGCGGAATCAAGCAACAAAGTGATCATCAACATTATCAGAAAAATGCTTGACAAGAATCCAAAACAATGGCATGAGAAGTTGTCAGAAACTCTGTGGGCATATAGAACTTCAAAAAGAGAAGCAACTGGCATGACTCCCTATGCATTAACCTACGGTCATGATGCAATTCTGCCTATGGAGCTGTTCAGTCCCTCAGAATTGCTCACCAACATAACTTAGTAGGAGAAAACTACTCCCAGGCCATGCTGCTGGAACTGGAAGGATTGGATGCAAGCAGAATTGACACTCTCAACAAACTCCTGGCAGGAAAGCAAGCTGTATCAAGGGCTTACAACAAAAGAGTCAAGAACAAGAGTTTTGAAGAAGGAGAGATAGTCTGGAAAGCAGTTCTGCCCCTTGGAACACATGTGGCTGGTTATGGAAAGTGGTCACCTACATGGGAAGGCCCTTTCATAATCAATCAGATCCTTGGAATGGGGGCATACAGGTTGCAGGATAGGGATGGAGAAATTCATACTGCCCCAATCAATGGCAAATGGTTAAAAAAGTTTTATCCAACCATGTGGGATTCACAGGCTGTACAAACAGATCCTGGGATAGAGACGAGACTACACTAAAGACTTTTGATTCCTTTTGAAGTTACCTTTGTTCTATAGATACTTTAAGTTTGTTCCTTTTGTACTTCTACTTCTGATTCTGTTTATTTCATCAATAGAAATCGAAAACTAGAATTGCAACAAAAATAAACTTTATTTAAAATAAATAAGTCGTAGGGCCTTCCCCATGGCAAGCTGTTCATAAAAAATAAAAATAAAAATTCAAAATCCTAATTTTCTGAGAGTCTCTTGCAGATTGGTCTTCTTGATAGAAAGTTCTTTTTGGAGCAGCACCCCCTGATGAATTGAAGTCTCTGCAATCTCCAGGGCTGGCCTAGAAGCTGCAACCATGTTCTGCACAAGGAAAGTGGCCTTAGTCTTGGAGCTCAATCCAGCCCCGAGCCTGTGCTGCACTTCCCGGCGCTCTGCCAACTGCTTTTGAAGCTCTGCAATATGTTTCTCCAGTTTGTTCGCGGTGGCTTTGGCTTCTTTATACCCCTCCACCATTTGGTCCAGTTCTGCCTTCTGCTTTGCAAAATCAGCCAAGTTGGCTTCATGAGTGGCCTTGCAGAACTCAGAGGTTTTGAAAGTGGGCTTCAAATCCTCATAACGGTCGTGAAGGTTGAGCACATCCCTTGCCAAGCCAAGGCTCATCTCAAGTATAGGTCTTGGGGCCATGTTCTGTCTGTGCAGCAGGTCCAGATCCTTCATCAGCTGGTCAAAGGCCTCCCTGCCCTCATCCAGCTCCAGTTCAGTAGACTACCAGATCTTCAGTCTCTCCATTGCCTCTTCCACTGCCTTGGACTTCATCTTGCCTACAGGGGAGCTGAGCTTTTCCAACTTGTCCAGCTGGGCATCTAGGTCCATAGCTTCGAATTCTGCCAGCTCCGGGTCAGTAAAAGAGGTCGTGGCAGATGAACCTGCAAGGAAATGAATAGGCATCTGTAGAAGGAAGCATAAGTCAGAACTAGGCAGAAATAGAAGAGAAGAAGACAAAAAATACAATAACACTTACAGCAACAATCGGAGGTTGCAGGGGGGTGGTCCTCACTGCCAAGGTCCCAGCTGTTTTTGGTATTTCTACCTGTAAAGATTTGATGGTTAGGGAGACAAAAGAACAGGACAAAACTACATAAGACAAGAAAAGACAGAGCAAGGACATAACTCACCATAAAGCTAGGAACGGCAGCAGCCACTTTCACTACAGTTTCAACAGCAGCAACCACTTGTTCCGCCTGCTCCACAGGCTCTGATCCGGATTGCTCCGCCTGGTCCTCAACCGCTGGAGCAGCAGTAGAATGTTCTGTCTCTGGATCATCAAAAAGGGCCACCTCTGAGTTAGTTGGCCCTGTCCCCATATCTTCCTGCTGCTTCCGAGCCAAGGCAATGCTCTCCGCTATCACCTCAGCAGTAATTTCTTCCTACGGATGCACAGAAGTCAGAACAGAAGAAATAAAAGGGCAGCATAAACAAATACTGCCAATTAAATAAGACTCACCTCTTCTTCCACTGTCTTGGCCTTCTCTTGAGGCCCCTCTCCTACTTCTTCTAGCTCTTCCAGCTCCTTCTCCTGCTCCACAACTTCGAAAGCCTCTCTCAAATCATCATCCGTGCCAGAAGTGGTGGTAGGAACTGCCTTAGTTCCCTCCGGGGCCACATATTCTTCTACAATCTTCCTTCTAAGTCTTTTTGACTTAGTAAGGGGAGGAAAGGGACTTCCAGCTACAATAAACAGAAAATGAGCCTTAAGAATTATGGCAGAATAGAATTATGAAGAACTAAAAAAAGAAACTGTCAAAGTATACCTGGAGTCACGGATTAGGCAGTTTCTTTTCTTTTTCTTCTGACAGGAGAAGTAGCCTCGACAGGAATCTGTTCTACCTGATCTTCTTCTTCTTCTTCTTCTTCCTCTTCTCCATCCCCGGAGGGCAGCTCCAGATCCCCAGCAGCAATAACAGAATTAACTATGCAGAAAACAAAAGTCAAGGATCAATCCAGCAAAGAAATGATAGGAGAAGCTGAACAAACATCAAAACTTACCAAACACCTCTCCACTCTGGGCAGGTTGGCTACCAATATTCTTTGTCAAAGAGGGATCTGATTACAGACAGAGTAAAAGATTAGCATCATCACTAAAAACAGAATGGGCAACGACAGACAGAATTGAGAAATTACCTTCTATAACTTGCATATTGATGTCTTTAATGGTCTGCACCATGAATTTATGAGTCTCCTCGTCTGTGTGGACAGTCCAGTTGTCCCAACTCTTAAAGAGAACCTGAAGTGCGGTACTAGAAGCAGGCATGTCACGAAATCTGGCCTTCCACCAAGCATCAAACTCCGCAGAACTGCAGGAATTCAGTTCCCATGAAGGATAAAGGGCATCTGCACTATTGTTGATCTTATTCACTGCACACCTGGCATCTTTGTGGACCTCCAAATCATCTGCATCGCTCCAAGAAGAGCCCCGATTGCAGCTTCTGTATGACTTGAGGGGTATGAGCTGAGGGCAGCAAAGCTGCCTTGCTCAAAAGTTGGGATGGTAAACTTCTGCCCCCAAATGATAATTTGGAGGCTTTCCTCCTCCGTGAGGCAGATCTCTAGGCAAGGTCACACTCAGGAACTTCTTCCTGAAATCAGTTCTGGCAGATTCTTCTTCCGGCTCCTTCTCAAACAGACGGTATCCAGGTTGAAACCAAGGATAGGTTCTCCTGATCACCACTTGCCACTGCGCCGCAGACCTTTTGGTACAATGCCTGAAGATCATCAGGTACTCATCAATTGACCTCTTGGGGACTTCTGCTAACAACAATGGCTGAGCCAGAACTTGATCTTCAGGCAGAACTATGTCTGGAAACCTCAATTCAGGAAAATAGACCTGCAGCCAGATCTGAATCATCCAGAAGGCACCAGGAGCAGACAGATTTAGCGGATACTCCAGGGTGGCAGTATGCAGGTTCTTGAATAAATGAGCCAAAACTGTAGGCCCGAGTCCAACATCAGTGTGATTATGCAAAGTTTCTGCCAGGTGTCTATACTCAAGCAGAACTGCAGAGGAACGGTTGGGCAGAATAAACCTGTTCAGCCAATACATAAGAAACAGCATATGCTGATGGTCCTTGTCCTTCTCAACGCTGAATTTTCTGAGATAATTGGAGAAGGAGCAATTCTGGTTGATCAGGGCTGGAGAGATGTTGAAAGGCTTGGCTAGCTTCTGCTGGTTTTTCTTCCTGTGATAATCCCCAATAGCGTCAACAGGTCTTCCATGGGGCTTAAAACCGAAAATCTGAGCCATATCCAATGGGGCCTATGCGAAAGTCGAAAGTGTTACTGGCAAAATTCCAGAAACACATAGCAGCATCAAGCAGGTTCTCATCTCTGTTGATAATTTGCTTGGACAGAAGTATGGCGTCATAAATTCCAGCCCGTTTCTAGTGAGCCCCAAATCGGGGAAGAAGCCTGTCAATCTAGTCAGCCCACTTGACTGGACTGTTTCTCACTTCACTAGATGGGAATGAACGGCTTAAGTTCTTGCTAACCCAAGAATGAGAAGCCAAAGCAGAAGAACTCTCGAAACATAGAGGGGCCTCAGCATCCTTCTTCATCAGTTCTGCCATCTCAGGAGGAACGGGACCAAACCAGTGAGGCCCCAACACCAAGGTATTTTCGAACAAATGGAGGACATTTTCGTCTAGGTTTTTCTGGGCAAAAGGATGGAGCTTGCTCCTAACCTCTATCGCATGCTTATCAATCCCAGCCCCAGTAATGTAATATGGAGGAACTGGAACAGAGGAAGATTGAGCACGGGATTTCGGGGAAGACATTTCTCGGAATTATTTTTCTAAAAGGGAGGTTAACAGGAAGGGCAAGGCAGGTTCGAGCAAAAGGGAGTTATCGAAAGAAAGAAAGCTCAAGAGGAATGAAGTCTGAAAGTATTAGGTTTTCGAGTGAACAGAAACAGTGGTTTTTGAAATTCTTTTAAAGAAGCCAGAAAACGTGGGAAAGAGGAGACAGCGACGTGGAGAAGACAAAGCGTCATCTGATATTGACTAACTAATAAAGAGCTAGTAACTAAAGCTGTTTCATACGGGCACTAGCTTAGTGGGTAAGCGTGGCAGACGTGGGATAACGGAGGAATTTACCACGCGCCAATTTAATGGCCATGTCATTTAAGTCTGAAACCGTTCCAAAAACGATTCAGACTTAAGGGGGCATTGTTTGGGCCTAAAAATTGACACACCCAGCCCAGCGAAAGAAGCCCAAAATCCAGAAGAGCCCGGCCCAAAGCTTATCAAAGCAAAACAAAACCAACCTGGGCCTCACAGGCCCGTTGTGATAAAAAGAGAGGGGGGCCCAGAAACAGGAAACAATCCCACGTGACATCTGTGGGATAAAGGAAAGTCAACAATGGCAACTGTCATAGAAGAAGTGATTGAAAAATTTATGTCATCAAGCTGTTCTGAAAACTCTAAAAAATCTGAAGATCAAAATCCCTCTTACATATATATATTCAGAGATTTTTCTTCTATTCTACAGAGAAGGTAATTCTCCCAAAGAGATAAGCAAGCTACAATCTCAGAGAATGATAAGCAGGAAAGCAGGGAGCTGTCCAGAAAAGAAATCAAACTAACCATCATGGTTGAAATCTCACAAGGGGCAGTTGAAATTGGGAAAAGAGATTAGGTTTTTTTTCAAGAAAACCAGGGAAGTGATTGCCTATTTGAGAGCCTATCTGCCAAACTGATGAAATCCTATTTTCTTTCTTTCCATTAAAAAGAAAAAAAGGGGAGATATTTGTTGAAAAGATTTGCCGCCCAATATTAAACAAAATCACCCTACTCCAGAAAAACATTTTACTATAAATACAAGAAGGAGTGAACAGGGCAAAACACAAAAAAATTCAACATCCAATCAAACAAAAATCTTACACAAGGAAACCATCAGTCAAATAGACAACTCAAAATCAACCAACAAGCCCACTTGAATTTCAAGTGAAACTAGCTTCAGATCAGAATTCCCAAGGCTCAGACTTAAGAAGTAAGTCATTCAAAACGAGATTTCTCTCTTTATAAATTTGGTAAAAAAAAACAAAAAACAAGGTAGAGCTTGAGCTTTCTCCAAATATGGAAAACCTCAACAAAATTCACAATACAGTCTCTAGCCCACTGAAGTCCTCAAAAACAATCACTTTTGCCCAAGCAGACTGAGGAAACCGCAGTTCTGCCCACTCAAAAGCTTCACAAAAGCTTGAGGTACATTGAAGCTCTGCCAGAATCAACTTTTGGTATCGATTTACAGTTGAAACCTAACAGTCAAAGTTGTCAACGGTCCAGTCCAGCCCAGGCATTTCCAGTCCAGCCCGGATCAGAACCTTCCATCTCGACAGAAATGGAGTTCTAGCTGTCTCTTCATCTCTTTCTAGCATGAGCATTTATTGTTATATTTTTGTAAAAGGCAATTCCGCCTAAAAACAGTTTAAATCCCATCAACCATTCTGACCAGAACAACCTCTTTATACTGAGATAAATTGTTGAAGTCCTCACCAGTCTGAGGCAAGAAAACAACTTACTTGGGAGATATTCCTCACCCAAATTCACAATCGCTTGTTTGCAGAAATCAGTAACTTGGGACGCAAGTTATCCATTCCAAACTAAGTCTGCTAGAATTTTTATTACTAGCAGTGGCACGCTCGCACACCAAAGAAAGCTGACTTGTTGACCAGTCTATGGTTCTCAAGGCAGTGGGGAACTTTGCCCTTCCATCATAGGAGTAAACGCAAAACGGGTGAACAATAATTATAGATGATCAAAAGTCACAAGTTTGGTAGCTCCCACGTCACTTAATAAAAAAACAAAAACAAAGATCTTGGACTTTTAACTCTTGGAAAAATTGATTTTTAATGAAATGTTCACATTCTAACATGCAATGATTACGGAAATCATATAAGACGCTATGCCAAAGAGAGAAATGATTTGTAAGAATGGGATGCCATTTTCATATGAGATTTTCTATTTAAACCCTACACTTCTCTTAGTTCACCTCAATACTTAAATCATTAAGCTATAAGTTTTATTATTGTGTGAAAAGACAAAAAAGGTCATCCAACTTAATACTTAACCCTAATACATCTATATACACACCCCACCACTATTCATATTAAGTTGTAGAAAAATACAAACTCCTCTACATCGTATTGCCAGAGACGTAGAACATTGACGAGCATGAAAATTTGTGTGAGACCTGATGGAAAGACTTGTTGATTGTTTGGCTGTAATGATCTTATTCTCTTCCCTTTGTTGATTGCTTGGCTGTTGATTGCTTTTGTTTGGTGTTTATATATATATATATATATATTTTATACATGATGTTTTGATAAAGCTATTCTCTTTCTCTAGAAAGTATTAAATTTCGGATTTTAGGTTCCATTTATTTGTGTTTTTTTTTTTGCTGGGAACAGTAATATTATTGTTACTTCTGGAATTCCAGTATGCATCTAAAATCATAATCCTGCTTTAATAGTTGGGTTATTTTTCTTGTTGCTTTTCCACTCTGATAAAAGCTTCAATGTATTCTCCATTGATGGTCAATCAGATGGCCCACTCCTAGTGCAAAGTGTAGCAACTGCAATGTATTTATTTTATTTCTTATTTTTTTAACTTGTGGTGTATTTAAGGGTAGTTTGGGAAGATATTGGGGTTTTCTTAGAAATTGTGAAATTTTAAATTAAAAGTTGGGGTGAACTAAGAGAAGTGTAAGGTTTAAATAGAAAATCTATTTCCATATTTAGTATGAACACTAGAGAAGATGAGGTACTTTTTACACCATAGAGGATGTTCCTGAAGAAGAGAGAAATTTGAAACCCATGCCATGAGCCCCTTGACTTTGACATTCTCATTCTTGGGAATACATTTCTTACAATTATTTATGACAAAAAATGCTTTCTTTATAAAATAATAAGAATTTCATCTCTAATAAATGTTCAGAGAGTATGGATTAATTGTTAACGTCTAAATTCATCTTGAGATGCTCCGCGTGTGCATTGCCCTTGTATTTCTAACATTCCTGTTCACATTATTAGATTTTTTTTTTCTTTTATCAACGTCTTGAAATACTATCCAGCACAGTCCCTATCCTCAAGTCAAGATCAAGAATTACCTTTCTTTGTCTATTTTTTTTTGGTCTGAGACCTTTCTTTGTCTTGTTTCGTGTTTGTCGATAACATTTGGTTACAAGTTGCAAGAGCATGAGACGTTTGATTTGTTCATGGTTGCAGTTAAACGCAAAGACAGCACCATCAAAAACCCGTAAATCATAATAAAATCAAATGTTATGTAAGACTAGGATAACCTTGTTTAAAGGTTTCATGTGCAGGACTTGTTGACCAATGACCAGTACTCATTCTCATTCTTCTACGTAAGGACTCTCTCTCTCTCTCTCTCCTCTCTCTCTCTCTATTTTGTCCTTTTGGTCTAATTTTCAAAGCCTCCATTCACACTTGGGGTTACATTTACTTGCTGTGAAACTAAAAAAAAAGATTGATGATTTGCCCATGTTGGTAGATTTATATATATTTAATGTGGGTTTTGATTTTGGCATTTTGGTTGGTGAGCTTGAGCTGACCGCTAGACTCTAAATGCCGTGTTGAAGCTTCTCTTAAAACTTTAAACCATGGGCTGCGCGTTCTTTCTGTAGCTTCAGAGGTCATTTTGGGTGTCAATGAATCAAATGGGTTTCTCTCATACTTCCTCATACTTAGGAATTGGTGAACTCTAGGAGTCAAGGACAGAGTTTTGTGCAATCAGACTGAGATCAGTAAAGCAAGGTGCTTTTTATTTTTCTTTCCCAGAATTTCAATTATCATCTTTTATCATTGCTTTTTCTCTGTTTCAGCTTGTTTTGTTGGATTGCAATATATCAGTTTGAAACTTTTTGTCTTGGGCCTTGTAAATGAAATGAGAATATCTCTGATTTTGATTTTCTTGGGTTCTAATAAAGAATGATAAATAGGGATGGTTTAACATATTCAGTTTCCTTATCTGAAATCTGGGTTGTTAGAAGTAGTTGGATTTATGCAAAAAATGAAAAACACAGTTGATTTTTCATTGATGCTGGTTATTTTTGGGAGAAAAACAGAAAATAAAGGGAAGGCATGAGTTACTTTCTGAGTTAACGTATTTGGGTTTTCCTTAACTTTTGATTACCGAGTAGGTAAAAACTTGGTCACTTGTTACATCCTCTTGGGCACTTGCAAAACACCTGTATTGGGAAGGAAAACTGGCAGTTGTAAAAAGTTTTAATTTTTAATTTGAGCTTTGTGTGATATCTGTTGATCATAAAAGTGGTCACATTTGCAGAATTGGAGAGGGACATTTTGAGTGATTTCTTATCTTGACTTTTGATGGTTTTGAATTGTTGCTTATTATGGCTCCCTGATTCTATGGCTCTCTTCAGCTTCTGAATCTTAGGTGAGGGATCATAACGCTTAACAACGTTAGGAGCTATGAAGTGCTTCTTATTCTACGTTGGAGAAAAAAAGGATGAACCGAAGAGCACAATTACAACATTTACTGATGGTGAAATGAAGAGATCTGGATCTGAGTTAGATTCCCAGAATATCTCTGATGCGAGCACAGAGTCCATGAGGAGGAACCAATATCCTAGTTTCTCTCAGAGACCCAGCAACCTCAGAGTATTCACAGTTTCTGAGCTGAAATCTGCCACGAAGAACTTCAGCCGCTCTGTCATGGTTGGAGAAGGTGGGTTTGGGTGTGTCTATAAAGGGGTGATTAAGAGTGCAGAAGATCCATCTCAAAAACTTGAAGTTGCAGTGAAACAGCTCAGTAAAAGAGGCTTGCAGGCAAGACTGTTTTTCTATTGGCAAAACTTTAGACATATTCTTTTTCATTGCCCATGTTAAACTGTTTAGTGATTTATTTGTTGGCTTCAAATGAATTAAGATTAGTGGATGATAATTATGAGATATTTATACTAAAGGAAGTACAGTGTTCCTCATTAAGTTTGATAAATAAATAAATAAATCCTAATGGCTCACAATGATATACACATGATAATGATGCATTCACACAAGGAATTTGCTTTTTGATTTGTTCTGATGATTATTAGCACACTGGGTCTTTCGTTCCACTGTTTACAAATACTTGCTTCTTTCTAACAGCATATTTCTGTACTTAAGGGTAATAGACTTTGTTTTATGCTTGTCACGAAGATTTTTTATCTAACAACATATAGTCTAATAAGATGCATTTTCCATTTATGTCAAAAAATGAAATCCATCTACTGTATGCTTGTAAACTTACGATCCCACCTTTTTGGCACCAGGGGCACAAGGAATGGGTGACCGAAGTTAATGTTCTTGGGGTGGTTGAGCATCCAAACCTTGTCAAACTAGTGGGCTACTGTGCTGAGGATGATGAGCGAGGAATCCAGAGACTTCTAATTTATGAATACATGCCTAATGGAAGTGTAGAGAACCATTTATCCAGTCGTTCAGATCCTCTTCCATGGGCCATGAGATTGAAAATAGCACAAGATGCTGCTCGTGGCCTGGCATATTTACATGAAGAAATGGATTTTCAGGTATTTTAACATTTGTTTTCCTTTTCAATATGTGTAAGTTGGTTAGTCCTTTTTGATGAATTTGATATTCTAATGTGTTTGAGGCCGCCCGGAAGTATTAGAACCCCAACCCAAAAGCAAAACCCTTGAAAAAGAAAAAGAGAGTGGGAGGGAGGGGAGAGGGGCTGAGTTTTGTGAGTAATACAACTTATCAAACTGACATTTTTCTTTATTTTTGTCTAGATCATTTTCAGGGATTTTAAATCTTCAAATATCCTTCTGGATGAGCAGTGGAATGCAAAGCTGTCAGACTTTGGAATGGCTAGGTTGGGCCCGTCAGAAGGATTAACCCACGTCTCAACAGCGGTATGATCCTCAAATTATTTATACTTCCATCTATTGCATGAACCAGTATCAACTTTAGTCTTGAAGCTTGTTTTGTGACTTAGTTTTTGGTTCATTGTTTATGATCTTATTAAGCAAGATATCTACATCTGAAACAAGTTGCTTAGTATAATCAAGAGTATCCACATTGAGAAAGTGTTGGTAAAGTTAATAGATTTGTGGAGTTTAATATTGAGAACTTGAACCTAGATTTCTTCTGCTACTTCCATAGATTTGCAATGGCTGAGCTATCAGTGAAAGTGTTTAATGTGAAATTGAGTCACCGTGGATCTTATGAATGGAAATTATTACTTTGTTAGACATTTGGATGCTCTATGGATATTGAATTAGCCTATTGTGTTTACTTTAGATCCAAGATTTTGTGCTTTTGCTAGCATTAAAGCTAAGTGGAGTTGTCTCTAATAGTAATTGTAACATGAGCACATTGAATTTCTTTCATGATTTTATTATTGCTTAGGCCTGCATCTGATTAGTTTTCCCTTTAAGTGGATAGGTCTTGCATTTATTGGCTACTTCTACTTAAATTTTAGGATGTCTTGATTCATCCTTGGAGTTTTGGTGGGAAGAAAACAAGCTCATTTCAAGTAAAATGGACAGCTTGGCAGAGCCTAGGCCCTATAGTTATGACTGCTTTTAACTTGTTTGGATACCCAATTCTTTAGCCATTTTTCACCATAGATGAAAGAGTAATGCAGTAACGGTTTTTAATGGTCCAGCTATGTACTACACTCTTGCACTTACATGACTAGTGATTTTTCATCAGGTTGTTGGAACCATGGGATACGCAGCACCAGAGTATATCCAGACCGGACGTCTAACAGCTAAGAATGACGTGTGGAGCTATGGGGTCTTCCTTTATGAACTCATCACAGGTAGGCGTCCTCTAGATCGAAACCGCCCTAAGAGTGAGCAGAAGCTCTTAGAATGGGTGAAGCCATACCTTTCCGACTTGAAGAAGTTCCGCCTAATAATAGACCCTAGGCTTGAAGCTAAATACCCCCCTCAAGTCAGTTCAAAAGCTTGCAATTGTAGCCAACAGATGCTTGGTCAGACTCCCCAGAATCGTCCAAAGATGAGTGAGGTATTGGAAATGGTAAATCAAATTATAGAGGCTCCACCATCAGGCCAAAATAAAATTAGGGACATATCATCAGGCCAAAAGAAAATTAGGGAGGTACCATCAAGCCAAAAGAAAATTAGGGAGGCGCCATCAAGCCAAAGGAAAAATATGGAGGCACCAACAGGAACAGCAAGTCCGCAACTGCCCCTGAGGAATTTGGCACCGATACAAACTTCCCGGGATGTTGAAACAGTGAACAAAAGAAGAAATTCAGATTTAAGGAGAGGAGAAACTGGCTGGTTGTCTCGTGTGTGGACACCGAAACTTTTGAGGACATGCTGATTGTAAGTGCATTTTAGCAAACTGGTCATAGTGGTTGTTGGGCTTATCTGGAGCATAAATTATGGTTTGACATGGAAAACACAGAAAAACTTATGCATAAATAACTTAATTTGTAAATACCATCCCCCTCATTTTCCAATTCTTCTATGCAATATGCATAAATCTGCTCAAATTTTCAATCTTCTGTGGAAAGTTTTAGAGACATTAAACAAGAATGTAACAGATAAACGACGGATTTCTCTCCATTTCAAAGTTGTGAGTCCTGTTTACAAGAAGCTTGAGAGCAGATGCTAATTGTAGTGGCCTCAGGCATGGAGGGACAACTTGGTTCTTTTGGTACACGGAGAAGCCTATATATGACATATTGAGTTTCATTAGTAAATCTTTGTAATCAGTACTGTCAACTGTGTTGTTAAACCTCTTTTCTCTAACTTTGCATTCTTTAATTTTTAGAGTGCGCTTAAGCTGTGGAAGCTTTTACACAGTTGAGTATTTAATTATGAAAATCATTGGATGATATTTTTGCTTGGACGAGGATTTGAACTTTGAGACGTATATATCCAGACGTCCACATAGAAGAATTTATATATATATTATGGAAATCATTTGAAAAAAGTAGAATAATTATAGAATTGTAATATGTTGTTTTCGAGAAAAAAAATCATGTTAATCAACTTCATAAATATTCCTGAGGACCCCTAATCTTAACTTGAGTGTTTTTTATTTAACTAAAAAGACAAACTTGGGGCTATAAAACGATTGAATCATAAACCTAATCATTCAATTATTGATATACGTTTGGACTTTTCATTTGCTTGTTACGTGTACCCAAAGTCAATGCGTATGGATAAATCCAGAAGTAGATAACACCATGTCAACTTGAAAGGTACAAAAGAGCTAAAGAATTTGGCTTGCTCAAGATCACACATAGAAATCAAAGAAAAAAAAACAAAAAACAAAAAACAATATCAGATACAGAAGTTATAATATCATCAACTTGAGTTTGTGATGCCTACGATTCTATAAACTAAGGGAGCGGCATAAAACGACAGTCTATATAGCGTGCTGCGTGCTACTCTATGTGCGTGGGGTTTATTTTGGAAAAGCCATGCTTATAAGCGAACAGCCACTTAGATTATTAGCTTTTGCATTTCACAGGTAAATCAATAATGACAAATAAAATATGAGAAAGAGAAGAAAAGGGTGGCAGAATTAGGAGAAAACTTGTATGTCACGGGGTTAAATTATTCACGTTCCGTCATGCGTGATAAGGATTTCACATGACGGAACGTAATTGGAAGGGAATAGCAAAACAGTGCTTTCTCATGACATGCAGGGTCTTGTTTTATTTTTTTGAACAAACAATTAGACAATACATTAAATATGTGAGGTGGATTTGTGTTGACTGAGAAGTAATATTTGGAAGAAAAGAAAATTGAACTATGCATATTTGGTTTAATAGATGAACTCAATGTAATTTACAATATTTTCCAAAAATGCTTGAAGAAAAGTTGTTTGGCAAACTGACATTCAAAATTCTGAATCTGAATATGTGAAGAAGCTTAAAAGCCAAAAAGAGATTTTACTTGGTTGGTTGGCAACAAAAGTTTTCATAGACATCTTTAAGTTACAAAAGTTCTTGATTCTTCTTTTTTGGCGTAAAAGTTCACCCCAAAGTTGAGAAAAAGCGCAAAGGCAGAATTGCCGACCTATACCATAGGCCAAGCACTTTTCAACTTTGAAGTGGGGTTAAAAAGCTAATCAGTGTAATTCTTTTAAATTAATTAGCTTCAGCTTCTTCCTCTGGTATATGACCCTTTAGTCAATTGGTGAAGAAAAACAAAACGCAAAAATGTTCTACATTGTATATGCAGATAATTATTATTAAGTGTCGTGAGAGCATGTAATCTATTGAGATACTATATTGAAATGTGAATATTTAATCTGAGGCCAATTAGTTATGAGTGAAGAGACTCGCTCTTGAGTTAAATTTTCATCAATCAAATGTGAGATACTCTCATCATTGTTCTCAGCAATACGTTCTTAATAACATCAACTAGTGTGCCAATGATCAGTCTATGATAGCCTCTCTAAAAATATGACAAAACCGGGAATGTTAAAATTGAGGGAAAAAAACATCCGAGTTTTGTCTATTACCATTTTCAACCAAGAGAGGGTTTACATGTAGTTGAGCCTAAACATTTTAAAAGACATCAACATTGTATGACATCATACTTCGATTTAATCGGATCAAACTGTTATTATTATTATTATAAAGGCAACTTACAACTTGCGAATGTGCAGCAAATTTTTATTTATTTTTAGGTCGTTTTGTATTGAGAGAGGCGATAGTATACAAACTCACACACAATACACGAATACTAAGACTCGAATCTATAACCTTTTCTGAAGAGTAATTATTTCAAACCACTATACTAATAGGCAGTTTGCATGTCAACAGTTCATTAGCTTGACAATTTTATTCAACAATTTAATGAGAGAATCCTTGGTGCTTGCTAGTGCCATGGACGTGTCATTGTTATCCTCTTAGCTAGTACTACTAATTATATTTGATGAATTTCGATAACATTAACGTTTGTGTCACTCCGAAATTTTAATATTAAAAATAAATTATTAATTATAGACACTACGACTGTGACGCGTCGCCACCGGCCCCCCATGTGTGGACCTTTTGGTCGTTAATTGAATCTTAAGCTTTCTCCTCTCTTTTTTCATATAAGCAAAGCAATCCCATATGAACTCATGGACCTTCTGGCTTGAGAAGACAGCAGCCAAATTTGTACCAAATCCCTTCAATCACATCCGTTCGATCTACCCAACATTCAATTCAGTCAAATCTCAACCGTCCATTTTCCATCTCCTTATAGAAGGGCAATCAATATCATGCCAACCTATCACATAAGAACATTAATATCCTGCCGAATTATGAATTTTTGGTTTTAAATGGTTGATATTAGGGGATACAAAAATCAAACATATGACATGACTTCGGATACAAGAACAATTACTTTAACAATTTGAGTTACAATTTACAAATTCGTAGTCAATTAATTTACGATTTTCGTCACTATAATGTAAGCGAAAATTCTGCTTGATCACATGTAATTTCAACTTTCTCAATTTTTACTTGTAGTTCATTACTTGTCATAATTCTAAGATAATTTTTTAATTCCGTCAATTTTTTTAAGAAACTGGCATGTAAAAGTAAGAGTTGTGTATAACTTTTACTCCACATATGTTGAGGGGAATCGAACTTGGTGCAAGAGGGCGAACTAGCTAACCTAACTAACAAATATTATCGAATTGGAAGAAAGGTAAAATTGTGAAAACCAAAAATAAAAATAATAATAATTAAAAAAAACTTTGCTCAAAGATAAGGACTAAAATCATAATTTAGTCAATTTTTTGGACGGAGGCAATCAAAAACCGTTCAAGGAATTGCCCCTTAAATCACAACCGTCTAACGTCTACTCAAGAAAATGTAGTCTCCGTAGCATCCGTACGATGAAAAAGTTGCTCGACCTTTAACAGCCTGGCAAACTGTATATAATGGGGTGCACTTTCAGTCCATTTCCATTTTTTGCTCAATTTTTCAATGCTTCGTCGTCAGCCAATGCATTCGTACCGCCCTATTAATAAGAAGGGCCTTGTTTCCAACTCAACTCTCTCTACCTTTCACCCTAAGTTTTCCTTTTGCAAACGACAGCTTTCAAAGCTCTTTTATTGGCTCTAAGTCGAAGCTGATTGGGTGAGTTCTTAATCTAATGATTTTGCTGTTTTAAACTCTGTTATCTTGTTGGATTGTTATATTGATTGGTGAAGAAATTGTTTAGTGTTCCTTTATTTATTTATTTATAATTGGGGTTTTTCTTTTTGTGGATTATTATGTGGGATTTTATTGCTGATTGAGATTGAGATTTTTGTTGTTGTTTTAGTGGGGACTATTTGTTTTCTGGGTAGTTTTGGTGTTCTGTTTTGGTGCTTGTTTGATTTGTGTTGTGTTGTGTTGTGTGTATGTGTATGTGTGTGTGTGTGTGTGAGAGAGAGAGAGAGAGAGTATGTTGATGATGAATAGCATGGAGAGTGGTGTAGTTCAAGACGGTGTGGTTTTTAATATTATGATTTTGATAAAGGATATGCATGTAGCAGTTGTGTTGTTCAGATGGTTTGTTGTGTTGTTGTGGGGTGAACCGATTTGGTTTAGATTGGAGAAAGAAAATAAAAGATATAGATCTAGTTTCTTATAAATAAAAATAGATATAGGTCTAGTCTTGAAATGAAATGGAATCAATTTGACTCATCAAGCAAAATCTGATGTTGGGTTGAATATATAGTAATATGAATGTTATGGAGAGTAATTGTAGTTTGTTTTGGATATTATTTAAATAAATTACTTTGTTTGCAAAGTTGATCTTTTAGTTTTCGTATGTATATCAAGGGTCCTATGAAATTTTATTTGAAGTAAAGATTAAATGTTGTGCTAGTTAAAGTTTACTTCATTTTTTTTTTTTTTTTCCTAAACATGTAAGGTAAAAGGTTTAGCATTAGGTGTTTTTTGCTCTCCGAGTTGACGTTGATTCTTATTTCTTTGCTGGGAATTATGTGTTTGTTGTCATGCAGCTAGTTTAATATTGGGAAAGTAGGCTGCTTTAGGTCATTATCTCTCTGTGCGATATTTTATTCAGAAATACTGAGAATGTGTGAGCATGCGTTGTTAGGTTAACAGGTTTGTCTGTCACTTTATGATGTTTTGAGGATAATCAAAGTCTCCAGCCGGTCATTCTAGACCAGCAATTATCTGTTTTTTTCCTGGTTTTTTGACGGTGGGTTGAAGTCTTTTGCTGATCTCAGCACAATTTTAGTATACATGGGACTGTTTATTAAAGTTAATAATAAACATACTTGGAACTTAGCAAAGTTTGTAATTATGATCACACAGCAGGCATCATTTTCACAAATATGTCTATTATATCCTCTGTTAGATGTCCAATCAATTGCAGCTAAATCTTCTAGTATACTTGTCCAGTATTATTTGAAAAAGTCAACTGCTTTATTATAATAAGGATTTATGTTAAAATTGGAAGCACTATACTTAATTTAATAAAATTATTTCTTGCTGTGATTTAATTTAGATTTGCACTGATGGATATTGTAATTTAAATTACAGTTGTGGTTAAAGAACCTCAAAGCATTGGAGGTTTTTTAAATTTTTTTTAACATACTTGGTAGCTTTTGGGCAGAGGTTACTCTATTACTTGAACCTCTTGGGGATTCCGTCATTGCTCTTAGAAGAAGATTAAGCTTTCTTATTCGACATATGCATTTTTAAAGAGATGGCTTCCCATGAGCATGATTCAGATATTTTTCAGTGGGGTCTTCGTCTACTTGATGGTGATCCAGTTTATAATAATTCATACTACTATGGTGACATCATACAACACAATGCTAATGATATCTACCATGAAGAGTATGTCAGAAGTCATTATGATACAGAATCAAACCATGTGGAGAATGATGAGATCATTGCACGAACTCTTCAAGAGGAATTTTCACGACTATCTGTAACAGAAGCCTCTGAATACTCACATGCAGGAGAAGCGCAAGCACAAGCATCCGTTCTTGCAGATGAGTGGCATGGTGTATCTACAAGGAATTATTGTTCAGGTATCTGGAAACCTGCTGCCTGTACCTTCTTTTCATGCATATTAAGGTAACCTATGTCATGTAGTTATCTTCATAGGCGTTTTTTTTTGGCACCATGCAGACCATGATTATGGCCAGGAAGAAGCTTCTAGTTTATGTTCTAGCCCTGGTAATCATTTGGAGCTAACTGATGAATGTGCACTTGATGGTGAAGTAGACTGGAGCTTGAATCCCGTTCCTGTAAGTTTATGCTGTCCAGATATTTCACCATGTTGTAATCTCAAATGCTTCATCATGTTTTTGTAATTAAACAGTTTTAAAGAGTCATCATTGGCCTTTTAGGAAATGTTAGCCATTCTATATCAATTTATAGTTTAGCTGACAATCTGATGTTGAGAAGGGAATGTACATGGGAATTTACGTAGATATTTTCAATAGCATTTTGGTTGATCATGCGAATTTCCTCCCACCTGCCCACTCCCCTGCCACCCCTACCCAAAAGAAACTTATAAATTTTGCAAATTCATGAGTACTAATTGTATATTTGGATTGCTACTTTTCTGCCAACATGTGGCGTGATTTGCAAATGTCGACACCAGTATTAACTTTGTCCTTCATATGGTTTAGCATATTCCTAGAATTAATGGAGAAATTCCTTCATTTGATGAAGCGACTTCAGATCATCAAAGGCTACTTGACAGGTAATACCTGCCCTTTTCCTTTCTATAGATATAGTAGTATGTATTTCTATAATTTGCCTAGTTTGTAGAATCCATTTTATTTGTTTTCGTCATTTTTTTGTTGTTGTAATATTTTCTTGCGTTTTTAATGTAGACTGCAGATATATGGCTTCCTTGAACACAAGGTTGAAGGAGATGGAAACTGCCAGGTTAGTCATGCTGTATCTTTGTCTGTTTCTGTTGTTTATTTCCTTAAAGCAAGTTTGTAGCTCTCATTTGGACCTATCAGTTTTATTTTTATTCCTGTATATTGATCTTAGCATCTTTCAGGGTTACACATGTTTATCTCATGTTTTGCTTTAATTTTCCAGTTCCATGCTTTATCAGACCAATTGTATCACACACCCGACCACCACAAGCACGTGAGAAGCGAAGTCGTAAATCAGGTTTGCTCTCTTGGAAATATTCTACTAATTCGTTCAACTGAACTTTAGGACCATGAACTTTTGTATCTTCCATGGATTCTGGTTTATCCTTTGATGGTTTACTGTTACCAGCTGAAGTCTCATCCTGAGATTTACGAGGGATATGTTCCCATGGCATATGATGACTATTTGGAGAAGATGTCCAGGTATTAATCGAACTCATAATGTTTCCTTGTTTTCCTGTCATTAATCTTCTGGGCTAAATTAATACCCATCAATCTGAATGAAACCAGGAATGGTGAGTGGGGTGACCATGTTTCATTGCAGGCAGCTGCTGATTCGGTATGAAAGATCTTTTACAATGACTGATACTTGTGAGTAATTAATATAATGACTGATACTTGTGAGTAATTTTTTGCAGTACGGGGTGAAAATTTTTGTCTTGACTTCTTTTAAGGATAACTGTTGCATAGAGATTCTTCCTAATATCCAAACTTCAAAACAAGGTAAGCTTGTTGCGCTCTTAGTTTTTGTTGTGGGCATAGACAGTTGGATTTATGAAGTAATCAGTTAGCTGTATGTTAAAATGTGATATAGTTTCTAGATCTGTTATTGATTCAGATTTCCATATTTCACATGTTACTGTCTTGTTTCTAAATTCATTTCTCTTATAATGAGCAAATTTATTACTATCTTATTGAATCCACGCGTTATCCTAATCATATACTTCTGACGAACAGATCCCATGGAATTTTTGCTAAACAATTAAAAATTATTGTGATATCCTTAAATATTAGTTATCTGTCGCCCATTAAGCTTTACAGATAGCTCTTGTGTCTTGTGCAGTTATTTATTTGAGTTTCTGGGCAGAGGTGCATTACAACTCAATTTATCCTCAAGGAGGTAATTGTTTTTATCTTCTTCATGTACATCTGTAGAATGCAAAGGGATAAAGAGTAAAATGAAACTTGGATTTTGGATAACTTGTTCAGCTGAACTCAACCAGTTGGAGCAATAACACTGTATCATTAGCCAACGGTCTTTGACTGAACATTAACTGACAGTCTCCTTTCCTTTGGGGTGTGTGTGTGTAATACCAACTATAAGATGGGGAGGGGGAAGTTGCAACACCATAATAGGCTCTTTATCTGATCTGAGAATTTTCAAGTGTGATTTTCCATAAAGAATCTTTTGTGGGCAATCAGATGCAACTAGCTTCCACTAGCCCTTTCTATATTGACTTGTTATATATCTAAGTCTGGATAGGTTTAGTTGTCTGACGCTAATGCCATCATGCATGCTTTAGGATTTTACATTATCCCTCTAAATGTGACGCATGACTTATGGGTTTGGTTTTATTTCAGGTTCGCTCTCAAGTGAGTACAAAAAGAAGAAAAAGTGGCGGATATTTGGGAATAAACATTAGGAATGTTTGGATGGTATTAGGCACATTTCTCCTCCTGTTGTTGCTTAAACCATGTAGATTCGTGGTTCAGGACCTGCTCAGATATCATATTTTTGCTCTTCCAATGTTCGTCCAGGCTGGAATATATCATTGTAAGAGTAAGTAAGTTTCTTTTTCCATTTTTTCGTTTCTAAATTTCTATTATTTTGGTTGCTTGCATGTGTGAATTTTGTAGTCGCATGCTAGTACCATCTGATATTTTTGGAACAAACCAGTTTCAATATGATAATGAATTTATACATTTTCAGAAAACAGAGTTGAAAGGGTTTCATTGAATCTTCTTCGGCCTTCAGCTTATTGTTTTCTTCACGTGTAGCTTGGCCCGTTCAGTAGATTTGGAATGTACAAAGATATTTCAAATAATTGAAATGAATTCTTTCCCAAAAAAAAAGAAAAAAAAAGATACTCGAAATGAATGTATCAGTATCATGGAAAGTATTCCATAGTACAGGTATGCTTTTATAGGAACACAAAAGTGAAATATATGCTTCATGGTCTATGCAAAAATTGTGTATAATTGGCAGGTGTCATAAACGGAAAGCACAATTATTTTGCGGAAATATTGTGACGCTGTATATTGACATATAGTATATGGTTAAATTCAGGATTTTTGTTGGATATATAGAGATGGGAACTAAGGTTTTGATAACCTTTCAGTCATTTATCTCGTACAGTTGATTCGTTTGTTTGGTCAATAGTGAAACATATGCACTTTGCTTGAGTACGCATACAGAGATTCGAAGGATACAAATTGTTTTAGGCTATCCTTGAAACTGGTTGATGAATAACTTTTCTTTGTATGGATTGTTTTTTGAATGTTTTGCTTACCATAGCAGAAGTGGGATTGATTGGACCAAAGTAATTCCTGTTGAATCAATCTATTGCCAAAGCCACATAAACGGTTCTTTGTATCCAATGATACTCTGCTTTTATTAATAATCGTACCCTCATCTGTACAGTTTCATGCTCCTAGTTTCCCTGTTTAAACGTGTGATTGTAGAATAAAATTCGACAAATCTTCAATGAATTGCCGCCGGTGACTTCCAACTAAATCGGAAAGCTCCGCCATTGATTATGTCATTTTTGTGCTTCATAATAATTCATGTACTTGCTTCTTGGCCATTGGTGAAGTATACGTTTCAGTGCAGAGTGGTGAAGTATGCTTGCTTGGCCATTGAAGTGCACCTTTGAATACAGGGCAATGCAGAGTATTAGGAACAGCTCAAAAGATTTATCAACCATTTGCTTCTGGTTTCAATGGCAACCAAGCCAACAGTTCAGGTTTCATTGCAGCTTAGAATAAAAGCGCTTCTCTGCTTCTTGGCAACAGCACAAGAACATAGGTTTTCTGCTTTTTGGTTTCTTATCATCCCTGAGGTTGGTTTACAAGATTAGACTGAGACATACAACTTGGTACCCTTCAGTTTGATTTTAAATTGTTGGAAAGCTCTCAGCTTGCTTCAATAAATTTTATAAAGTACAACAATGGTGGGTCCAAATCCAACCATGGTCCACCTCTCCTTCCTCCTCCATGAGTGAGAAGTCAAAAAGTACACAAATTCATCCAAATTTTTAAGCCAAAACAGACTCTCATTTTATTAAATTTGATTTGATGATGCCTTGAAGAAGAACATTTACAGATTAAAGAGCCAAACTCTAAAGCCCCAATCTTTCCTCCCCCATTCTAGACCAAGACTGCTTGCTACTTACTACACAGAAGAAACCATTGATGAACAACAACATCATATTTTAAAGAAAGGCAAGGGCCTTTGTCTAAACTACCCAAAAACCCAAAACCTATTCTCTCTTCTCTTCTTCTTAACTTAAAACCCCAAAACACACACAACACTCACATGCCTTACACCTTTTGTACCCAACCAACCCCACCCTCTATTGCTTGCTTCCTATTTGCTTTATCTACTTTGATATACACACACCCCCACGCATTTTCTTTATCTATCCATCCCCAAGACACAGAGCCTCCTCCTGCTGCCCATCCTCCTCCTCCTCATTCTCCGCCGGATGCAGCAGCAACGACGTGAACGGCATGTGCTGCCGGTACTCGGTGTAGTCCAACCCCGCCGGCTGGCACAAGTCCAGCCGAATGCTCGGCTGCTGATGCGGCTGATTCGGTTGAGCCTGATGAGCCGACGACACCAGCGGGTACATGAACTGCCCGCCGCCGTTGAGGGAGCTGAGCGGGTGGGCCCGGCAAGCGAGGGAGGGCACTTGGGAGGAGACGGCGGGGGCGGAGGTCGAAATCGGCTCGGCCGGGAGAGTGCCGGTGCCGGTGGCGGCGACGATGGAGGACTCGGCGTGGCGGAGGAGCCACTCGATGGTCTCCCCGTCGGAGCGGTGGCCGAGCTCCCGGGTCAGCTGGAAGATCCGGGCGGCGCACATGGCAGGCATCCGGACTCGCCGTCCCCGGCCGTTGACTTTGGTGTGGCGGTCCCTGGAAGACGCGGACTTTCGGGTCTGAGAGAGCTGGTTATGTGTCTTGGGCTGTAGAGATTGTATGGATTGCTGGGAGTGCTGACGGGACGACGCCGTTTCTAGGGCGGCGGAGGAGGACAAAACGGCAGTGGGGATGAGGGTCGGGTCTTCGTGGTTGCGTAGAGGGGCAAGGGCCATCTCTGAGCCCATGGGTGGTGGTTGTGGTGGTGGTTTTAGGGTTTGGGCGCTCAGAGAGAGGGGAAATTAGGGCTTTGAGAGGGTGGGGGAATTCGATTGACCCCACAGAGAGCGAGAGGGGCCCTTTTTATTTCTCGTGTGAGTGAGAAATGTGGGGATAAGGCAGCGAGAGCGGGTTGATGGTGGGCCCCCGTCGGGGCTCGGTGGGTCCTAGTGAAGAGAGAGAGAGTGTGTTTTGGTTTGTTTTGCATGGTTTTTGAACTTGTTTTGGGAAAAGGGGTACACGCGCTGGTTTGAAGAGAGCAGCAGGTACCTGATGAGAGAGAGAGAGAGAGAGAGAGAGAGAGAGAGCTTACATTGAATAAAGACATGAATTAATTTTGCTTCGGTGGTCTTTTCTTGGACTCTTTCCTTTTTCCATTCCCCACTTCATTTCTCTCTCTCACTATTTTCCTTCTTTATTTATTTATTTATTTATTTATTTATTTATTTATTTGTGAATTAGGCTTGTACGAAAATAATAATTTAAATATGAAAAATGATAAGAATACTTTTTCAAGTACATGAAATTTACGACTATGTCCTTCGTGATAACTCTACATCTTCGGAACTTAAAATGTCCTCATGCTACTCATATGTGAGGTGTCGTCTTAACATTTCCTTTATTAGCGTGACGTTTGTAATCAGCCTACTCAGTTGTATCAATATAAGCACACTTCTTTAAAAATTAATGGTCACAGTCTTTTAAAAAATACTCAATATGTTTCATCTCTTTTAATTGTTTAAAATTAACAAACAAAAAGTACTAAAGAGAAAAGGAGTATACCAATATATTTTCTTAATTTGATAAAATTTGTTATGTTAAATTATGAATAGATAATAATTTATACAACAAATAAAACAAAACGAAAATACTGTGTGATATTTTTTGTTTTTTATCAACAGAAAAAAGCGCCCGATGCAGGCCCCTCTTTCTCTGTCGTGTCACGCGCTTGTAACCAGTATTTCAGGTTTTTGTTTGGTGGTTTAGTTTCTGACAGTTTGACCATTGTCGGACACTGAGACTGAAATGTCACAAAGGCCCCTGCTATCCAAATCCACTCGCTCGTGGGTTACAGCACAACAACATTGTGTTGGCATGACTTCGCTCTCAGTAATTTTCCAACGTACCGTCATAAGAGAATTTATAGTTTTGTTACCTAATTCCCCTGCGATCATTGTTAGTGCATTTATATTTTTGTTTGTTTCGAACATTTTATGACTTGTTTGTTTGTTAGTTTTAAATTTGAAGTTTAAATTTCAACCCTTGTTTCGGATATGGGTTTCGGGGCGTGGGCTCGGACTCAATATCTTGTTCTGGATCTTAATTTTGGGTCCATTCTATAAGAATTCCATTCCTTTTCCTCCAATTAAACCAAACATTGCCACTAATATTACTATATGCTTGCGATAGTCGTTCACATGTGGTTAGTTGTATGCCAGATGTTAATGCAATTGAATCTCACACAGAATCAACGGCTAACAACAATTCACACGTGTAGGAATGACACAGAAAAAGAGATTGAGAATCAACTACGGGTTGGGTTACGAGAAAAGCCTTCACTTGATGAGTCTTTTCATGGGCCAGGTTTAGACTAGAGGTCCGTCAACCACTGTGGCTCAAGCCCCTTATGCTCAAACTTGGGCTAAAACTTCCCAAAGAATAAGCCTACATTAACAAGGCCTGTGTTATTCGGTCAAGCCCAAGTTGTTGATTTCTTTTCATTCAAAACTGAAGAACAAAAAAAAGAAAAAGAAAAATAGTGAACAAGCCCAACCTGATCCATTTGAAAGAAAACAAAGTAAATGATTTTGAGGTGTGAAATGGTCTCTGAAAGCAGGAGCAGAACCTCCCCTGCTACATTATCTGCAAAACACAGGAAGCCAATGCAAGGTACACACAGCAGCAGGGCAGAATATACACCGCTTTACTTGAATATACGGCTAGCTTAGCTACACTGATAAATAACTATTTTGTCCTTCCAATGGAGGCTGGAAGACACTTTCTTTCTTCATCTTCAGCCTTTCCTTCAACAACCCACCTCAGGCATCCTCTTCCTTCTTCTTCTCCCTCTATTTCAGGTAAAAAAAGTTCACTACTTTGATATCTCCATTTTCTCATTTATTCTGTTTGCTTGCTGAGAATTTACTGGGAAAGTTTATAGTTTGTGGAATTCAGCCATAGGTGCTTAAACATAAGTTGGGAATGATTGGTCTTTGTGTTTAATCCCAATACAGCAACTGTGTATGTTGAGGCTTTTGTGTTTCTGAGATGGGTTTTACATATTTAATTGTTGTGTTTGATTTTTATTCCTTAAACTTGAATTGATGCGCTAAATTGTGGAACAAAGAATATTAGCATAAATCTTTTCAACGTAAAATACTAATGCAAGAGCAACATTTGGAAGTAGCGGATATTTTTTATATTCTATTTCCTGTTGAAACAGTTCTCAAAAAAGATTATTTCTCTGCGCTTACATGCATAGGAGTGTGAATAATTGTGTGTTTATCCCTATAGGATAAAAGGTTCTAGAATGAGAATTGAGATGCTGAGTTACTTAAGTTAATTCTTTAGAGTCTGATACTATTGGAGTTTATGAAGAGATGCAGATTATTATGCTGATAGTAATTGTCTACAAAATTGTTTGAGTAAGTGATAGTTTACCCCAACTATTGTCCATTGTTGGTTAACGTCAGGCTTGTTGGTACTCCTAATTTTTCAGTGTTGATGCTTCATGAGCAAGCAGTTCCTGCAGTTACTTCTGCGCCGATTACATCTGTAGCTCGACATTTTCCTAACTCGGTTCTTTTACAAGAGCAGCGTGATGAGTTCAAGCCTCTATTGCATGTACTGAAAGAAGATAAAACATCTGAGGTTAGAGTTCTGTTGTAGAAATGCTCTGCATATAAGTTAGATCAGATGTGCGCTTTAGACGTGTACTGCATATAACTTGAATAATCCTCAATGGCGTAAAACTCCTTACTCAAACTTCTGTTTTCCCTCATTTGAAATTATGCCTATTGATGATAGTAATTTTCTTTTTTAAAATGCCACCATTGATTTGTATAATTCAAGATTTTGTGAGGCTTCTTCTTTCTTACACATTTACCATTTCACAAACCTACTTGGTATTCCTTACTTCTTAGAAATTGACTCATACGCTATCTCTATTTCTCTCCTGGGAAACTCCTAATTAATTACCATTTTCTGTGTTTTAATTAGGCTACGTTAGATAGGATGCAGATAGAGACTGGGGCCTCTGTCCATGAAGATTTAGACATTGATGACTTTTACCCGTTGGTGAACGGCTCAAAGCCCCAATTGCTTAACCCTGATATTTAGATGTGTAAGATGAATAAAACTCCTCCTTTTTTTTTTTCAGGTGATTGCAATTTTATTACCAAACTGCATCCTTATGTGATGCTCATGTTGTAACTCTGCCCTGCAGATTTTCATCCTTACAAACAGGAGCAAAGCCATCCACACCTTTGACTCTTGAGTCTTTGACCACTGCTTCCAATAAGCATATGGATGTCGAACCATGTAATGTAGTTGCCCTGGCTAAGAAAGCCTTGTCAGCCTCCAGAGAAGCAGCCTCATTAGCTGAAGACTCCCAATCAATGGGAGCTGATTTTGACGAGTCTCTTTCTCTGGGGTCAGTTTTGTGTTACTTCCTTGTTTCATTATGATTTCCCTATCAAATTCCTTTGGAACTGAAGTCAAGAATTTTTGTCTAGTTTGGGGTATACAAGTTTGGCCAACTGGATAGTTGAGGAGGAGAAAACTGTAAGGTCAACCCGGATTCTAGAGAGGCGGCGCAAGCGAATTAAGACAAGGAAGTTGCCTAAGTCAAAAGTTATAGGTCACAAGTCAAACAGTTTTACAAGTTCAGATGTGCCGAAAAGGATAAGTGAAGGATTTAATCCAAATGATCCCTTGCGGTTGTTCTTGTGGGGTCCTGAAACAAGACAACTTTTGACTGCTAAAGAGGAGGCAGAATTGATTGCCCGAGTTCAGGTGTATATCTAATGTTTGTCTGCTGATTTTTGGATTACTGGTTTATGTAGGGTCTGATACTGCATTCATGCGTCGAATTATGTAACAGGATTTATTTAAGTTAAAAGAAGTGAAGAGTAGACTTCAAACACAGTTTGGCCGTGAACCAACTTTGATTGAATGGGCTGAAGCTGTTGGAATTAGTTGTCAGATCTTGAAATCACAGCTTCGCTCTGGTACCAGCAGCCGTGAAAAGCTGATTTATGCTAACTTACGTATGGTGGTTCACATTGCTAAACAATATCAAGGGAGAGGTCTTGGGCTCCAGGACTTAATGCAGGTAATTTCATTGGGACATGCTTTCTTATATGTAGTCCTTAGTGCTAGGACTTGACGGTTTTTGTTACACAGACCACATCTTACTGACAAAATTTTGACTTCTACGCCAAAGTTTTTTCTTTTTTGCTTACTTGAATGCAGTAAAGCATTGTATTAGATCATGAAATTGCATTGGGAACTCCTACATGCCAGATTGAAATTTTAAATTTGTGCCATCTGTTCAGATCAACTTTTGTTCGTCTGTATCCTTCATGATCGGATAATGGATGTTATTGCATTCATCTCGGCAATGTCAGCAATTCCTAGGATGGCATATATAATACACATGCTCTATCTGATTGTTTGGTTAGGTTGTATTGGAGGTTAAACAAGAATTCTTTTCAGAAAATTTCATTGCAACCAAAGAGCAGTATTTTGATTTTATAATAAGGCCTGGACTTGAGAATTAAATTGCTTTTCTATGTTTATCTGATACTTTTGTAGGAGGGAAGTATGGGTCTTATGAAGAGTGTTGAGAAGTTCAAGCCCCAAGCTGGTTGCCGATTTGCTACTTATGCATACTGGTGGATAAGGCAAACAGTTAGGAAGGCCATATTTCAACATTCCAGGACCATCCGCTTGCCGGTAATGAAAAAATTACCATGTCTCCAGTCTCTACTTTGCAATGAGATTCTTCTTTAAGTATCTATCTTTTGTGTCAACTGATTGTATCCTGTTCTGAAAAATTTCTGTTGTCTCCATAGGATTTTGCAACAGAATGAAAATTATTGAATTGGTTAATGCGGATGATGAGGAAAAGTACTGTTGCCATTGAAATCTGTACCTTGAATTCTTAGTTTCGTCACCACTTTTCACTATAGTGGAAAATCTACAGTGTTACCTTGCTAATATACTAAATCCGCGCCTATGTCTGAATACTCAAAAGTTAACTATTTCGTAGCGTGTGCAAAGCAAAAAGAACTTTACTGAATATGACAATTATTCACAGGAGAATGTGTACAGCCTCCTTGGCAAAGTATTGGAGGCAAAGAAATCATGTATTCAGGAAGGAAATCACAACCCAAACAAAGAAGAACTAGCGAGACGGGTTGGTATTACAGTTGAAAAGTTGGAAAAGTTGCTATATGCTACCAGAATGCCACTTTCAATGCAACAACCAGTCTGGGCTGACCAAGATACTACCTTTCAGGTAAAGATTCTTCTTGTCTCGATTTTCTTATATACCTCTCTCTCTCTCTCTCTCTCTCTCTCTCTCTCCTTCACATACATTTCTGGTATATGATTTGGCTGTATACAACTTCAATTTTGAACGTGATGTAATTTGTTGGACTATATTGAGCATGGTTTCTCCAATGGTTTAAGAAGCGAACATTTTTTTTCTTTCACAATTGCAGGAGGTAACTGCAGACACTGGGGTTGAGATCCCAGATGTGAGTGTAGCAAAGCAGCTGATGAGGCAACATGTGCGCCACCTCCTAAGCATCCTCAATTTAAGAGAGAGACAGATAATCAGGCTAAGGTATGGCATTGAAGATGGCAAGCAGAGATCACTATCAGAGATTGGTGGCATGTTTGGATTGTCCAAGGAACGGGTGCGGCAGCTGGAGAGCCGAGCATTCTTGAAGCTCAGGCAGTCCCTTGGAAGCCAAGGGCTTGGGGCTTATGGTCCTTTACTTGTTTAGAAATACAGCACAAGGCTATGGTATCTACCCCGTCGGTTCGATTTCTGGTATCTTTTAAGGAAATCTGGAGTTCAGCTGCTGAGCTCCCAGTTTTTGGAGCTGATTGTACAGCAAGCTGAGGCTTGGAATATAGAGAACGTCCAAAATGAACAACTTAGGCTTAAGGGTCAAAAAAATTGGAGCTTAGCGGAGGCTAGGTTTCAATGCTCCAAAGTTGTAATATTGGCTTTCTTTGCTATACTGTAGAAGAGTTGAAACTCTATACTGTAAGTTATTGTATATTTCTCACATTTTTATTCAAAGCTAGCACTCCTAATTGAGGGGTGGGCGCTTCTTGTGTCATTCGGCAGAAGCCAACTGATCAAATTTTGCTCAAGGACTTCCTTGAACTGCGCATTTCGAATTTACAATCTTAGGCAAACCTATTTGTGTAGATTTTACCAATCCAAAGTGATTTCATCCATTCTTTATAGTTCAGATATTTTAAATCCTTCTTTCAAATTCAAGCAACTTACTCTACTAGGCAAAGAAAGTTTGAATTCTTCAGGTAGAGAGGGGATAGAGTCACATAAAAAAAATTATATATGAGTGCATAGAGTTAAGATTTGGCTGTATGAAGGCTGCCTACAAGTGAATGATATACTCTATCATCAGGTGTGAGGCCTTCTCTTTTCATCTCATCATACAACTTAAAAGCCTCGTCTGTTCTCCCATCCTTAGACAAACCTGAAATCATTGCTGTATACGTGACGACGTTACGAGTTAAATCCCTCTGATACATTTCATGAAATAATTTCAGTGCCTCATCCACCTTGCCATCAATACATTCGCCATGTATAAGCGATGAATACGTATACGTATCTGGCATCAACCCCTTGTCTTCCATCTCCTTCTTTAGCTTGTGAGCTTCCTTCATCTTACCTTTCTTGATGTACCCATCAATTAGAGCATTGTATGTTACAGTGTTAGGTCTCTCTCCCTTCCTTTCCATCTCTTGAATTACCTGCTTTGCTTCGACAAAGTTTCCTTCCTTGCAGAATATGTCAATTAGAGTAGTGAAACACACTAAATTTGGAGCCACACCTCTTTCTTCCATTGTGAACAACAAACTCTTTGACTCCTCATTCCTATTCAATTTACACAATCCACTAGCTATAGTGCTGTAAGTAAACACATCAGTCTGAAAGCCTTTCCCTTCCATGAAATCCTGCAGCCTTAGAACTTCATCCATCATCCCTTTTCTGCAGTACCCGTCAATCAGCGTATTAAACACAACTTGGTTTACGTCAATGCCTTTACTTTGCATCTCATTCACCAAGATGTCTGCCATCTTCATCTGTCCGCCCTTGCAAGCACCATTAATCAATGCCCCGTAAGTGTGAACATTCGGGACAAGGCCTCTTTGAGTTAATTCGTCGAACAGAAACAACGCCCTTTTCATATTTCCCACTCTACCATTCCAATTAATAATCGAAGTATAAAGATACACATCTGGTTCTATCCCTCTCTCATGCATTTCCTCAAACACCTTTTCAGCATCTTCAATCTTTTCACAGCTACCAAACCAATCAATCAAAAGCGTGCATGTTGCCACATTATAATCCACACCATCCTTCTCCATCAAGCTCAAGGCCTCATTAACACCCTCAAAATCCTTCCTTTCAATGTATGCTTTCAGAAGTGTGTTATATGTAACAACATTAGGCTTAATTTGTCTACCAGCCATTTCACCCATCAAAGCCTTAGCCTTTTTCACCTCCCCTCTCTTACAAAGCTCATTCATCACAAGCGTCAATGAATGAACAGTGATTTGAACACCCTTTTCAACCATTTGATCAAAGAACCTCAAACATAAATCCACCTGACCACATTTCTTCAATGCAAGCAAAAGCACAAAGCAGGACCTTTCTTCAATCTCAAACCCCTTCTTCTCCGCATAGTCAAAAACCCCAACAGCCTCCTCAAACATTTTGTTATCTGCATAAACCCTGAACAGCATATCACACAATGTCTCAACAAATTTCACGCCTTTACGCTCATCCTCAGCCAAAGAGACAATTTCAGAAACAGGGCATCGAAGAATATCATTGGAGACAATACCATTCAATACAATTTTCATTTGGGCAAATTTCTTAGCTTGATAGAGCCTGCAAATGAGGGCTACATGGGCTTGAAGATTGGGCTTGTGGGAAGTGAGAGATGGGTTTGTTTGGAGAAAGTTGAATAAGCTCAAGCAAGAAAGGGGCGGGACGAGTGGGTTTGAGAGGACAAGGTTGGTTATGTGGGGGTTGAGATTGAAGAGCAGAGATGGGGTGGATTTGAGGGGTTGAAGGCCTGAATTGATTAGGGTTTTAGAAATCTCCTGAGCAATTTCTTGGTTGGATATCAATGTGGGGTCTGTTGGGAAGAGTTTCTTCACGGTTTTGAAGGTTTTCTGAGAAGACATTGTTTGTCAAAGCAAAGAAGAAGAAGAAGCTCTGTTTAGTCTAGAGCTCGATTTGCTTAGAAGATCTGTTTAGAAAGAGGTCAATTTTAGCGGGTATAAATGTGGTTGCATTGATCAAACCCGATCAGACGATCGTGGCCGTTCATTTTCTTTTTCTTCTTTTGGCCGTTATCCCTAGTCAATAGGTCGGATTTTTATATGGTCCGGTTCAAAATTATTTAATTAGTCAAATATGAATATTTTTAAGGGAGATTTACTATTACACCCAATATAGGGGCCCAAATTATTAAAAAACCTATATGAAATGGACTTTAGAAACACACTCAAATCTCATTTACACATAACAAAGAGGCTTTTAACTTCTTATAAATTACAAAACTGCCATTGATTTCTTAAAACAAACTCAACCCCAAAACCTCAAAAAAAAACCTAAAACACTCCATAGGGCATCAAAGTTATTTAATAATCAAAATTAGAAATTAAATGGTGTAGGATTTATCTATATTACTATGCTAAGAATAGGTATATGACTAAATATCTCTATTTGTAATTCATAATTTATCAAATTGTAACACCACATAACGTGTTGATATGATATTATAGTCTCGTACAAATATGTTATGATAGGGGATGGATATATAAGTTCTCCATATGATATGATTTCATCTATTTTTGAACTTCTCCATATTATATCAAGCTTCCTTCTAACCAAAAAAAAAACCAAAGACTTAGTTAACCATATTATCTTAAAATACCTCAATTAACGAGCTTCAATCTCAATTTTAATTTCAACTACAGAATTGTCGGTTACATAATATGCAGAAAGAGGACGGTCATCGATCATTTCCGTATCAAGATGGAACATAGTGACGCCACTCAGAATCCCCCAACGCCTCTCAATTTTGCCTCTCAGATCAGCCACCATGATTGTTTCTCTAATTCTCACAATTCCTAAATGTTCGTCTTTATACTTCACCCAAATAATGCATTTTGGTTCTCCAGGCAAAGGTGTCACACTGAGTCTTAAAACACCATATCGTTGGGGGAAGTAATTTCCAACTGTGTCCTCATCCTGCAGCATTATTTCGTCTAGCCACAGGGTCTGCCTCTCCACCTCAACCCTCAAACGCTGCTCAATCCCCCTCTTCACATCAAGAATTGTTGCAGAATGTGGTGTTTCAATCTCAGGGGTGACTTGCCCTCCTGTAATTATTATGAGAACCATGGCCACAAAATAACCCACCAAACACTTCTCTCACTTCAAGTTTACAAAAAGTCTTTTTTGAAGATTTAAGTTTGCTGTGATTTAAATATGTAAAATTCATGTTAAAGGGTGTTCCTCTCTCTCTAGTCACATTTTTTAGGTGCAACAGAAATCTCATGTACCTACCCATCATGTATTATTTTGATGCTTAGCACTCCTTTTTTGTGTTTTCCTTTTCTTTTTTCCTTTTTTTTTTCTCACTTTACGAACCAATTACAATTTGAAGTGTGTTTTTTTTTTTCTTCTTATTTTGTCATGTGCTTTTTTTTTTCTTAATGAGAAATTCAACTTGATCAATCCACACACCACATCAAATTGTGATTGATTTATAAGAAGAAATTTAGTTTACATGTAATTAAAGAGGCATAGTCAAGAATTGTTGTTATGGAAAAGCCACTTTCTAGGCATGCTTGAGAGGTTTCTAATAAATCTCATTTATTAAACTGTGTCAAAGTCCTTATGAGATAGTAGAAGAACTTCTTCACACTTGGGATTAGGGAGGGCGTGGCCCAGTTTGGTTTGGTTTTCACCTCACACTGGAGCTGGAATCGGTATTATTCAATTGGTGCAATTCGATCTAATTTTGATGAAAAACATTTATGAAACTGATCGGTCTATTTTAAATCAATTTTGGTGCGGTTTCCGGTTTTGGACTAGATTTTTTAATATATTTTTTTTACAATTCCAACTAAAATTTTATTTTTTAGACTTAAAAATTTACAAATGACTCAATTTCATGTAAAGAGAGATTTGGGCTTAGAAAAGAGAGATGCTTTGAAGTTGTGTTTGGGAAAATATTAGTTATGGATTAGAAATTTAGCATTGAACTTAAATAATTTTTAAAAAGATTTTATAAAAAAAATACACAATCAGTCGGTCCGGTCCAATTTTGTAAGGTGTGAAATTAGCATTGGAATCAATTTGGTGCAGATTGGTGCCAGTTTGTTGATTTTTTAGTCAACACGATTTTTTTTCTAATTTTTTCCGTTCGGTGCGGCTCGGTGTTCCTGTTTTCTAGTCTCAATGCCCACCCTTACTTGGGATGTCATTTGGCAAATCACACACTGCCAAGTGCTTTAGTTTTTCAACACGTGATTGTACTGTGGCATCAGCTACATGAAAGTTTTTCTTCTATTCAATGTAAAGGAGGAGTAGCATAGCTGCTTTAGCTGCAGAATCAAATAATTATATGACATCATTAATTTGTTGACTAGTGTAGCCTATTACCTTACCTATTAGCCAATTTAGCCCATTGCGCTCTGTGGCTAGGTAACTGTAAAACAGTGATCTACATAAATACACAAAGCAGAGTGTAGCTGGCCCAAGAACACTTATTAGCTAAAAGCCTCAAAAAAAAAAGCAAAAAAAAAACACTCTGGCTTAGCACATGGCTGGACCCATGTGCATGATCTTGAGCCTTTAATTAAATTTGCTTGGTCAGCAGAAGGCATCACAAAAGAAAATCAACGTCATGAGGACAATTCAGTCGTACAGATGAGCTGAGGTATCTTGGCCACTAATTGCCTGCATTTTCTTCAAAACTTCCAAGCTTCACTTTTCTTAACACTAATGAACTATGATAAAAGTTCCATTACTTGCCAAGAACGACTATATATGTGGAGGAGATCATTCCACAATTTGTTTAGCCCACCTCTGGTTTTCAATTTGGAGACTGTTTGTACTCTTCCTGCAAATCAGAATTTGACATACATGCAAAAATTATTCATTAAAATATTTGCACACGTGGCCAATGGGGTCTTACTCAATGGTAGAGCTGTTGGCATACAGACTAGTGGTATGTAGTTAAATTTCGTATGATACCGTGTTTGTGTGTGTGTGAACACCCCTCCTACTGTCTAACTGTGTCAAAAAGAATAAATATAAAATGAAACGAAAGTGACACATACATATAAAGCAGTCTCTAGAGTTGAGGGCATTTATGGGTGTGGGGTGGGGGTCAAGGATTCTATTGCAATTCTTTGACCAAAATAATGTAGCACTGTACTAGTCTCCTATTTAAACTTCAAGTTACATAAAAATTTAAAGCATGATGTTATATTCTTTCACTTGAATTTTTTTACTGGTAGTAGTAGGGGCAGTTAACCCTAAATAATATATATATATATGTACATTCCTGCTTTTTTACATGTTTATTATAGTGTCCATATATTTTCTATTATCCATTTCTGCTTTTCTACATATTTATTATAGTGTTCATATGATAACAACGTGCAGGCATTCGAACAAGAGAATAACTATATATATATATATATATATTTGCAGTACTTGAGGCACTTGATCTGTGGATGACTTTGGAGTGGGGTCAAGGTGAATTTTTAATTGAAAGCATATCAGGTAACAAAAATGGCAGGAAACTTGGCCCATTCTATGTTTCATATGCTATGTTATCCTCCTGACAGCTGGTGGGTTTGAAGTGTTCACAGTTCCTATCCAACCCATACTAAAAATTTCTCTTCTGCCTGCACCAATGGCTCCCATCATTTCTTCTACTTAATCTAACCCCAGGCCCCGCAATCTCCAATATAATAATAAATAAATAAAATTAATTATATAGTAGAGCCATCAAATTTATTCACTAAGTTTGCACCCGTAAGTTATCTACTAGAAATAAAAGAGATTCTGAATGAATGAGTTCATATTTAAATGAAAGAAGAAAAAAATTGTCACCTTATTTGATGAATAAATGTGCATATTTCACAATGTAATTTTATAATCCGAACAATTCAATGTTTAGGTCCTCATTCGAAGATTATCCTCCCTTCAAAATTTCATCCAAATCAGGATTGTTTATTGTGAATATTTCCTTATTTATCAGAAATATTGTGTTTCATCTATTCATTAAGTCACACGTAGATAATTAAATGCTTCAGTAATTACGTAAAAGTAAACAGTTTGAATCATGAGACAGATACATGTATTACCCTTTCACATGTGTATATATTTACTGCTTCTAGTGGGACTAGTAGTGACAAATCTAGAAGCAGTGCAGCAGAAGCTGGTGAGAGTGATCGGACCTTTGAATTTCAAGTCTTCATCAATATGGCACTGGCGGTGGAGGAAAGCGAAAGTAGAACTACTACTAGTACAACTACAAGCTTCAATCAAATTGCGCAGATGAACATGATGAACGGAGAGTGTGAATCCGGCTGCCAGCGGCCGCCGTTCGGGAAAAAGTGCCGTCACCTGTTGAAGAAGCAGAGGACTAAATTCTACATTCTCCGGCGCTGCATAGCAATGCTCCTCTGCTGGCACGAACGTAATGACCCCTGATATAATAGCAAGGCACACCTTCCTAGCTAGCTTGTTAGTTCATTTTTCTTAATTAATTTTCTTTTTCTCTTCCAAGTATTATTAATCTGCTTAAATATATATATGTATAGAAGTATATTTGAAGGCTGTTCATGAACTTTGTTTCCAATTTGATGGAGCCAATAAGATCTGTCCACTTTATTTTTATTTTATCTTAGCTTTTTGATATTGGTTTTTCTTTCACTTTTCTTCTTCCCTCTTCTTCTCTCTCTTCTACATTTTTTTAATGGTGCTAATTATGATCTCAAGGTGATCAGTTTCTCTTGGTTTGTGTAGTTATCATCATCAATTTATATTCATTGTATTGTATGAACAATATAAACTCCTAATTATATTAAAAACTGAATGGATTTATGATATTTAGATATTTAATCATAAAAAAACCAGGTCTGAATTAATAATGCTTATTTTTTTTTTTTTTTTTTTTTTTTTTTTTTTTTTTTTTTTTTTGTGGGTTCATCATTATCATGTGATGTATCAAGGGTGCAATGTCAAGGTTTAATATTACATTTTATTTTATACATCATGATGATTTTATTTTTCATTTATTGATTATTTTCCATTAGTTTTATTTTACGAATTTCCATATATACATGTCCTTTTTTGTTTCTCAGCTTTCTGCTATATTCTTTTACTCAAGCTTGTTATTCCAGTTCTTTTCGTTTTTTTTTTTTGTTTTTGGCTTTTTTTTTTTAAAAAAAATTACAAATAAAAATAGTATTATTTTAAGAATATTGGTATAATGCATGCAAATATGAATTAGTTTTCCAAAAAATGGACAAAGGGGAATAATTTATAATCATTCCACCCAATACCCTCAATATCCTAATTGATTTGTCAATTCAGACAGTCTAATCCCAATAAGGGGCCTCCTGGTTAGGGAACACTAGACTGCAGGAGAAAGGAAACAAGTGGATAATTATTTTCTTTGGACTATATTCTAAATTGTTAGTTAGGTTTCTAGGGTCATGTGTGTCCTCAAATCCCATCATCATTTCATTTTAATGCTCCTTGGCATGCAACAAAAATTTATGGTCCGGATGAAGCATGCAATGCAGGTCACTCTTACTTGTCAATAATAGAAGTAAGATCATATACATTTCCTATAATAACAAAAGCAATTGCTAATTTGGCGATACTTGAATGCTGACTTAAAAAATAGACGATTTTGTATAAGATTATATTGAAAAGTGGCCTCAAACGAGAAGTTGACATCATATTAACTTACCAACTCATTAGCGTCATATAATAATAATAATAATAATAATAATAATAATAGTGTTGAGAGATGAAGATGATGTAATATGGATGTAAACATAGAACTTTTTACTATACATCGCAGAAAAGAAATAGACATGCTAACTTAAAATGTCATAATAATATCATAATATGCGCATCCCAAAAGCATTATTTAGAATTAAGAATTCCTTCTTCTTTTTTGGTCGAAAAAATTAAGAACTCCTTGTGCTAAGCTAACATTAAGGTACAATGAAAATTTGTTATTTTTTCTACATGTTACCGTCTTATAGTCAAATTTGGGCAAGGGCTGACCTACGAAGGGGCTTAATTGAGCTTTAGTCCATTGCTGGTTTTGTACTTTAATCTTTATTGTACAACAAAATCCACTATAATTAAATATTAGCCCACTTATCTTTTAGAATTCAGTCTATTCTAGCCACTCAAATTAGATTTTATTTTCTTCCACCCACTAAAATCCTACCATATTTTCTATAATAAAAAAAAAAAAATCCTACCATATAATATTAATTAGTCCAAAAAGTCCTAGTTATAAAAGATCTCCCCTTTTTTTTTTCTTTTTTTTTTGGGCCAACTTCTTGAAAAATTCATGAATGTGCCATTGAACTTGAGACACTCATAAATACAGTCATTTTCAAAGATGAATGAACCTGGCTTTGATTACCCTATGCATTCATCTCATAAATCATCTCATCATGCATTTGGTTCACATTAAAAAGAAAAGTAACATCAGAATTAAGAAGTGAAAATAATAATAATTATTTGTGAACATTATAAAGAGAGTGTATGGGCCGATGCCGATGGATGTAGAGCTGGGGCCCACTACGTAGGTCAGCACAGCAGACAGCGAGAATCGTTGATAGCAAAGTGAGATGGGAGGGAAGGAGGTACGATCCCCTGTGGCTGAAAAGTGCCCCTCCCACCGCACCCCCTCGTGCGGCCCTCTCTTGCCCCTTTAGGTACGTTTGGATGGGTCCCACCCAATTTTGACCCTCAGATTATTAGTAAATTACTGTCCGCTGTCTTCCTCACCGACCTAACTTCACCCGGCATGATTTTTTTACCGTCTATTCACATACTTTAGTTCAATCAAATCGATGCTTTGGAGTTTGAATCTAGATAGGGACATTTCCTTTCACATATAATCGACCATCTAGTTGGTTAAAAAAAAAAAAAAAAAAAAAAAAAAATTATATATATATATATGGTTTTTATTTATTTATTTAAAACACATATTTTGTCACTTTTTTCTCACTTGAAATCACATTTACAATTTACAATTTGTCGTAAGCTCGTTTAATCTCTTGTTTTTCTCTTTCAATGAGTGATTCTCTTTAACAAGTCAATACGTGTCAAATTGTAATTGGAAATGACACTTTACTTTACATGTATCGAACATAGTAATACATAAACATAAGAGATCAAATATCATTCAAACAACAAAAGACCAAGTCTCTTCAAATTAGAATGGTGGAATGACAAAACATAAAGATGTACATGTAGAAGTCAAGAACAAAATGCTTACGTGCGGGGCCCGGTTGGGGGCTAATTGCACGTGCATTGCTGACATGGTTGAAAATTTGATGTTACAGACTTTACATCTGGCAAAAGCCACAATATTTGACGTGCAAGAACCATTCACAACCTACCACGTGGAGCCGCACGTGTGTGTAAAGTTGTAAAGAAAAAGTACTGAAGAGCCAGTGAAGAAGAACCCTACTACTCTTTACCCCTTTTTAGGTTATCTTCTCCAACCATTTGTCAGTTGTCCCATAATTCATTTGCTTGCCAAATTCTATCAACTACCAAATAGGATAGCTATCACGGATCACCAAGTTTGCAGTTTCCATCTATGCCCATCTCAAAATTGTATTCTTTTTAAAATAAAAAAACTCCGACAATTTACTTATACTCGGTTGTTTTTACGTTGCGAGAGTTTCGAATCTAAGATGTTTGAATTTAGGAATCTGGAATAAGAGATGAAACATATGTGTCTGAATTTAGGTGAGTGAAGTGTTGGCTGAGTCAGATAACGTTAGGGTATATGACCCTTTTGTGTAGGGTGCAGGGTGTAGGGCAACCCCTACGAAGATGGGAGGAAAAAATGAAGCAAGATGAGAAATGTGGTGGGGTAGAAGGGCTTGTCAAGAGACATAATTGCGATCTAGCTAGGTAGAAGATAGGGTGTTGCTTCTTCTCTCACACCATTATTATGAATGGTATATGATATGATTTGATGTTTTTTTTTATACCATCAAAAGTGTGAGAGGATTGCCAACTAACCATGTTCCTCTCATATATACCAGAAATTTTTTGGGATTCTTTGGGGAAAGTTTTGCACTTGTCACATGAAAGATAAGATCTAGATTCCCTTTAATAATATTTTTTTTAAAGACATTGAAACAACCAAGTTTCAAAGAGACATGTAAAGTTTTAAATTTTACAAAAAAATTCAAATCAAATAATCATGTGTACGATTTTAAAGGGGAGGAGTTCTTTTTAGCTTGTAAAGGGCAAAGACAAGAAAGAAAGAGAGCTAAAAAGTGAAGAAAACAATGGATCGTGACACAATGACATTATAAATGAGGAACGAGGACCCAGTGCCACTAATTTCTTGTTTCCCCATGCATGGTCTAATCACTACTCTCTCTCTCTCTCTCTCTCTCTCTCTCTCTCTTCTTCTTTGTTCTATTCTATGCCTGCTTTATTAAGGACAATTAATCGGCCTGACTCCCATTGCCCTGCATTCTTAACAGCATTTCCATTCATTTGACACGGCAAAAGACAAAGATAAGACATGAGCTGTTATTATTTATGTGAATAGTAACAATCCTTGTAAAAGAATTATTGTATTTTCAATCATTGTCATGACAACTCAAGAGCAACTACTATTCAATGAGATATGAGGAGATGAATTTGTATGTTTTGATGTGGGAAGTGAAGAATATAGCTGGTAAATTTTTTTTTATAAAATTTCATTGCTGACGTCAGCAACTCCCAAGCACGAGCTCGGGCTCGGGCTCGTTTTGCCTTTGAACTTGCTCGGTTTGTTGGGATCCACCTCCTGCTCGAACTGCTGAAGCCCGCTGGAAGCGCTATATGGGGCTTGGGCCCCTCGAGCTAAACTGCAATGGTGGAAGTGCTCTAAGTCAACTTAGGGCTCGTTTGGGAGTGTTTTTGGATCAGCGAAAAGCATTTCTAAATGGGTGAAAGAACTTCTGTCTTAAAAAAATGGTGTTTGGCAAAAATTGCAAAAGCGCTTTGGGTGAGATCCAAAAGCGCTTGGAGTGATTTTGGAAGAAGCACTTGAGAGATGCTTCTTCTTAAAAGCGCTATAGAATAAAAACAAGGGAAGCACTTGGCTCTCTTTAATGAAACTTTTAAAATGCCGAAAATACCCATATTTAATTTTTAAAATGCCAAAATACCCTTCCTTTCTTTCTTTTTTTTTCTTTTTTTTTAAAAAAAATAAATTTATATTTCCTATATTTATTATAATATTTTGAGATTTTTTACATTTTTTAAAGTACTTTTAAAAGCAATTTTACTGTGTCAGCCAAACACTCAACAAAATATCAAAAGCGCTTTTATATAGTGTAAAAACACTTTTAAATGTGACATCCAAACGACAAACTACTTCTTTATAGAAGCGCTTATGTCATAAAGCACTATTGACATAAGCGCTTCAAGAAGAAGCACTCCCAAACGAGCCCCTAATCTGCTATGCTTGTCCCGCTCTTGATATTTTATTGAGGTTTTAATGGATTTTTAAAAGTTGAAAACTATTCGATCAGGATTTCAAACGAGTATATACAGTTGTGGATACGTTTAAATCCATATTGTGCTCAGTTTCCAAATGCTATAAAACGAGAGAGAGAGAGAGAGAGAGAGAGAGAGAGAGAGAGAGAGAGAGAGAGAGAGAGAGAAACGATATTAGAGCAAAGTTGATATTATTATTATTAACGGGGGAAATCTAATATTTGAACTTATACTTCGCACATTTTGCCAGACAGAAAAAGCAGGGCGAGTATGCATGCATCCTTAGAATCAAGGAAGAAGTTTGGCTACTTAAAATTGAAGAGGGGCTCATTTTTATAACTAATGTAAATTTTATTTTTTTATTTTTTTTTCCGTTACAAGTTTGTCAATTTTGCCATGTCAAACCCACCTTACTTTTAAGGAGAAGCTGGTCAGTTTTAAGATGTCAAGTTAATCTCAGGTTTGAGTATGCTGCATGCATTTGTTAAGAGAACAAGAGTGTGAGATTTGAGAGGAAGAAGAATTTCTCTGTTTGTGTAGCATAATCTTCTAGTTCGTTTTTGTTTTTGTTTTTTCCCTTTTTGTTTAAAACAAAAGGTAATTGGTGGTACCTACTCCAAACTGATGATGATTTTTATAATCCGCTACTTTATTCTTACCAAAATCATTGATGATTCCAAATCTACCAAAATCAGCTACTTTATCTTTACCTAAGTTCTTATCCAATTTCTCCTATTCTACTCTGAATTCATAATAACCGAGAACAGGAAAAACTCGTAAAGACTAATCACAATCAGGCATAAAAATCGAACAGGGAAGGGACTGACTGAAGTTTAGGGATGAGGTGAGGGAAAAGAAGAAAACAGAAAAGAAACAATAGGGATTAAAATAAGTAAAACTCAAGGTGAAAAATTAGCATATAACATCAAACACTGTTCACAACACCTGAAGTAAAACCTGCTGTGTTTTTTAATTATCCATTATAATCTTAAAAGAAAATAATTAACACTGTTTTAAACTTCGTAGTATCCAGGGGTCACCCAATGGCTGGAAACCCCGAGGCCATTCTGGATACAATAATGTAATTAAATGGGCACTTCCACGGTTCTGCCACATCATCAATGGAATACAAAATGCAAAGTTGAAATTCAAACATGAAAAAGACGCGTAATGAGAGACTATCCTAGTTGTAAAGGTCATCTTCATCAGCCCCAGCAGCAGCAGTTGCAAAAGGGTCGGATCCAGCGGCTGCACCAGAAGGATTGTCTGCAAACCTGAACTCGGTTCCAAACCCTCTTGACTGCTGCAATGTCTGCGCAAATGCCTGGTATTTGCGGATATCAGCATCACTAACACTCCTACGAGCATACTTCATTGACTCCTCAAAATGCGCTGCCCTGATCTCTGCTACTTCGTCATCAACATCCTCCTCCATCGCCTCAGGATTCTCGCTTCTCCTCCTCTCCCTTTCGATATCCTGCAAGATTAGAAAACAATGGTTATTCAGAAATGGATCCAGAGAAAGAAGTCTTTACATTCCTCCAAAGTGACAAAAAAGTTGATCCAAGTATCTATGCACACTGCAATATCATACCTTCTCAATATTCTCTCTAATGGCATATTTGCAAGCACGCTGGCATATTTCAGTTATATCAGCACCACTGAATCCTTGGGTGTACTTGGCAAGTGCTCTGATGTCCACATCTTTGGAAACTGGAGATTTCCTCAAACATGATTTGAATATTTGAAAGCGAGATTCCTCATCAGGGAGAGGGATGTAAATTAACTGATCCAGACGTCCTGGACGTAGAAGTGCAGGGTCTATAATGTCAGGTCTGTTGGTGGCCCCAATAATGAAAACAGTTTTCTTAGCAGTCATTCCGTCCATTTCTGTAAGTAGTTGGTTCAAAACCCTGTCAGCTGCACCCCCAGCATCACCTACGCTACTACCTCTCTGCAAGTTGTAGAAATGAAAGTAATAAGCACATAGATGGATAAACATATCAGATGAGGGCCCAAAGGAAAATACTGCAGAAATTCTTGTCACAGAGCTTTCTGCTGAGGCCGTGCCAATAGTTGCAGAGCCCCACAGTAAAAATTAGAAGTCCAGATAATCTACGAAACAGAACTAACATTTCAAGTTTCTGCCAAAGAATGCCAAGTTTTTTCCTATTTACTCATTGCTAAATTATGGTGCAAAGCTTTTTTCTTTTTCCAAATTAAACCTACTGTTGTTTCTGTAACAGAATGCTAAGTTTTCTCCTATTTAGTCATTGTTAAATTATGGTGCAAACCTTTTTTATATTTCCAAATAAAACTTATTGTTAATTACGATATGCAAATTAGTAACCAGGCATCAGTAACAAGAAATGATTTTACATAAAGAGTGGTTCAAACCTGAGTAGCAATGGAATCGAGTTCATCAAAGAACAGGACACATGGAGCAGACCCACGTGCCTTGTCGAAAATTTCCCTCACATTGGCCTCACTCTCTCCAAACCACATCGTTAGCAATTCAGGTCCCTTGACACTGATGAAGTTTGCTTGACACTCATTGGCAATAGCTTTGGCGAGAAGAGTTTTACCACATCCAGGAGGACCATAGAAAAGAACTCCCTTTGAAGGTGACATTCCAAATTTCTCAAATTTCTCAGGATGCTCAACAGGATACTGAACAGTCTGCATGACAAGATAATACAGGAATAGATATTATAAGTAACAAAGAAAAATGAGATAAATGAAGTTTTGTAAGATCAACCCATTGTAGTAAACTCAATTACCTCTTGAAGTTCTCGCTTAACATTGTCAAGACCTCCAATATCTTCCCAGCTAACATTGGGCACTTCAACAACCTGGCCAATCAAAAACATGAAATTATGAGTTTCCTCCAATGCACACAAGGCGTCTAATAATCAAAACAAAACCGTCACTTGAAACAAAATGTAAATACTTACCGTTTCACGAAGAGCAGATGGGTTGCTTGTGCCAAGAGCAGTCTTGAAGTGCTCATTTGTCACTGCCATTGAATTCAGAATCTCAGCATCTATTTCCTCATCTTCTAAGTCAATCACATCCATCTTCTCTCTGATGCATTGAAGAGCAGCCTCAGTACACAAAGCAGCTAGATCAGCACCAACATAACCATGTGTGTCCTTAGCTATCTTTTCCAAATCAACCTGTGCAATAAAAGTCCAAAACATTATGTAAGAACTTTCTGAAATATGGGAAAAAAAGGTTGAAAAAGAAAAAGATCGTATTTGACATTACATCTTCAGCAAGCTTCATGTTCTTTGTATGAATACGGACAACCTCGAGACGCCCAACTTCATCTGGTACACCAATATCTATTTCCCTATCAAATCTTCCAAACCTTCTGAGAGCTGGATCAATACTGTTTGGCCGATTTGTAGCCCCCATAACAATTACATGTGCACGAGACTTTAGTCCATCCATGAGCGTCAAGAGCTGGGAAACAATCCTCCTCTCAACTTCTCCATGTGTCTTCTCTCTCTTGGGAGCAATTGAATCAATTTCATCAATAAAGATAATTGATGGTGCATTCTTCTCTGCTTCCTCAAAAGCTTTCCTGAGATTGCTTTCACTCTCCCCAGCCAATTTTGACATGATTTCAGGTCCATTGATGCAGAAAAAGAATGCCCCGGTTTCATTAGCCACAGCTCGGGCAATTAGAGTCTTACCCGATCCAGGAGGTCCATACAGCAGAATACCCTTTGGTGGCTTCACACCAATCGATTTAAATAGTTGGGGATGCCTCAGTGGCAGCTCCACTAATTCACGAATCTGAGCCATCTGTTTCCTAACTCCACCAACATCATCATAGCCAACCTCATTTAATCTCTCCTCATCCTCCCTTTTCACAGGCTCCCCCTCACAGAAGATTTCAGTGTCGGGAGCGACCACACAGTACTCAGGAGGGTCAGTTTCAATAACCTTAAATTCTACACTCCTCATTCCTCCTCTCACAAGGAAGAGATCACCCTTCCTCACTGGACGGTAGGCCTCCAGGAAATAAGCTGCAAAAGTAGACAAGAGATTTGGTAAAAATGCATGCTGCAAAGAATTAAACAAGAACTTATTGGTAAAACCATTTTAGTTCTCGTAACTATCAGTAATAGCTCAAATATATTTTAAACAGAAACTTATAATCGAATATAAATCCAAAATCAATGGTGACAATATACTGAATCTCTATATACAGTAGGTGTGACACAACAAGGATATATTGCTAAACCATTTTCCCCTAATCATATACTCTTTAAATCTGAACACCACCAATTAAATTACGGGTTGTAATATCCTCTTCAACTTGGACACTATCAATTGATTCAACTCTTTAAAGGAAAAGCATCAAATTTCTCAGCATGCAAGCATCTATGAAGTAATAATATGATCAAACACTCTCTCCATTTTTGCAATTATAAGTACCCTGTGCATACAGATATTACTGAACAGAAACTTTCGAGAGTTGGGGTTGCAATTGATGTTGATATTGACATAGCTTACTAGGAAAGATAGAGTTTCAAACAAAAGCACACTTTTTTAAAATTCATGATGTGCTACAAATTTTAGCTCCAGTTGCACCTGAGAATAACAAGGGTTAGAAACTCACGTTTCAAGTATGCATCAAACAGATTTCCAGTGACCCCTTCAATAGTGTCATCCACAGGAAGAATGTGGACACGCTTTCCATACTTGACATCAGCACATTGGTGAACAGAAACAACATCCCCCAGCCTAACCCTTAGGTTGCTCCTGACAACCTTGTTCATCCTTATCTTTGGTTCCTCACATGTATCATCGGCCAGGGCAATGCAGATTGTATCCTTCCTTTTCTTTCCCTAAACACCAATAAAAATATATAAACACGAAAAGTTAGTTGCCGTTTATCTTTATAATCCCAAGCACATGCAGAACAATAAAGTTTAGGGAGAGTTCATGCTATTAATACCAAAGCCCAAGACCTGAACGGCCAATGACAATACTAAGCCAACCAAACCACAACATCGCATGCACAGTTTCAAAAGAAGAGGATAGAAAGAAAGGCATCCATATTAAATCACAACACCCCTTCTCTAAATGCCAAATTTTGGAACCTTGTGAAAAAGCCAATTCCAACATGTAAATAAATACAATAAAATTGTTTTTAATAGTAGAGTTCTACATCAGTAGAAAAGTAAGGAGTAACCATCTAAACCCAGAATTTCGATACAAGAATCCCAACACTTCAGACACCAGAACACACCCAGTTCCCAGATCCCAAATAAAATACAGAAAACCTGCCAACCCAGATACAATTACAGCATTCACTCACTACCCAAAACCGTAATTCCTATTAGCCCTAACTAGGAAACCCTTGTAAGCAAAATTCTATCAACATTTCATCTTTCGCATATATATATATATATAACATGATGTAAAAATCGAACCTTTATCAAGATTGTGTCACCACGAAAGAGCTGGAGCTTCTCCATGGTATCTGGATGGAGCGCGACGACCGAGTTGTCATCGTTGATAGCATCATCCACAACAAGCCGATTCGCCGCCTTCTTGCGCTCAAGGATCGCCGTGCTGAAGTCCCTTTTCGTTCCCTTACTGCAACAAACAAACAAGAAAAGCAGAATCGCATCAAAACCCAGAAAATCCCAAAAGAAAATAACTTAAATTCAATCGAAGCACAGAGTAGAACCCAGTTGAATTAAACAGGGATCTGGGTACTTACGAGTCTGAAGATTCAGCCTTGTCAGTCATCGTGAAGATGGAGCAGAGAAGACCCAAGTAGACGAAGAGAGAGAGAGTCTGAGATTGTTTTGTCGATTGAAGAGTTCGAAGAGAGAGAGAGCGGAAGAGTAGCTAAAAGCAATTTGGTGAGAGATGGGGGGTTTGGGATATTTATAAGCGAAGGTAACTCCTTTTCTTGTTAGGAAAGAAATGTTTTGGTTTTGGTTTACTTCCTTTTTAGTTCAGGAATATTATTCAAGCTCTGGCTTCTACTTTCTTTCTTTTTTTCTCTCATTGTTATTTTTGGAATGGAAATTCTATTTCTTTTTGTATACCTACAAATATTTTCTTTTCCCTTTAATTTTTTTTGCTAGGAATTTATTTCTTTTGCAATATTTAATTGCAAGGTCAATAATAAAAATGGATTTTCAAAAGAGGGATAGGCAATTCTCTACAGAGAAGTTCTAATATGCATTTGCATATCATGAATCATTATACAACATAAAAGGGTTTTTCGAATAGTTTTGTTATTTTTTGTTTTTACAAAATGTTATTCTAACTACTTTAATGTTGAGGAGGAGCTCAAATTCGGATACAGCACGAGGAGCACACACATATACGTGTTAACATAATTGATTTTTGTTTTTGTTTTTGTTTTTTGTTTATATGAAAAATAAAAATACAACAAGAATAAATATAAGTATTTTACCATGAATACCCACAACATAATTAGAGGACAAAGATACATGTGGATGAGGAGAAATCAATCAAGAGGATTAGAGAGAAACTCTAATTATTCTCTTTTTTGGATTAGTCATTCATTACCTTAAAGATAACTAATAAATCTTAATACTTAAAAATTAATGGGAATATTTTTAAAATTTCTAGAATCTTCTATTCCAAGTTCTTGTTTTCATCTGAGTCTTAAGGTGGACTCCGACTAAACAAAACCTTAGTCCAACCAAATTGGGCTCATACTATTTTCCTTCTTTTTCTTCTAGAATTACAGGCTGGTTGGTTATTGGGTTTTTCTTTATTTTATTTCGGCGGTGAAGTTATTGGGCTTTTTGGTTTCACATCGGAAACGACAGGCCGTTCAGTGACCCAAGTGCTGACGACATCTCGTAAGTATGGCCGACTTCTCATCATCTTGTTGTATTAAGTACAATCACAGCCGTCGATGCGAACGAATGCTTAACTAACAACTACAATTTGATTCAATTTATATCAACCCAACCGATTGAAATCGATTCTAAAATTGTAAAAGTAATCTTACTAATTACCAAATCCATTTTTCTATCAATAAAACATTGAATTCGTATTAGTGATTAACCCAAATGAACCCTCAATTATCCGTCATTTAAGAAGATGGATCAAGTTCCATCCTTTAATCCTGTTTAAGAAAGTAAATGCTGGAATGTGCATAATTCCAAATACGGCTTAAAGAGAGTAAATAGTTGATAACTTAGGGGGTATATTCAATTAAGATTTTAAAAGACTATTTAGGGATAAAAAAAAGTCCACTAAATCTAAGCAGAATGTAATGATTTATAGGATTTTATTTATGAATTTCTATAATCAAGATTTCATGTGCAAGCAGCTGTTTATTTCGTTGTTTCATTTTCTTTTACAGAAAAACTTGAATTTGAGAAGGAATATAGGTTTGAAGCCTTATTGGTATGTGTAGAAAGGTCAACAATAACATCAAATGCGCCCTCATATATTTGACTCATATGAATAATGAATGGTTTCTTAATACGACCAAATGTTACCCCACTTATAATAAATATTAAAAATATTTCATGCATGCGTGAGCGATTAATTCTAACACAACTCAAAAATCAATTCAATATTAAAACGGAAATGTGACGGAAGGCAACCACAAAGCGACACACCGAGTGCAATCTTTCCATTCATGGGATGGGATGGACAAACAGTTTACGTAAGAGGCACAATAGGCCATAATTTATCGATAAAACAAACCAAAACTACCTTCTTCACAAAAACCTAGAGACCATGTTCTTACAGTTTTTTTTTAAAACATTTGATCAAATCCAACCGACAAAATAGTATTTGGAATTTTTGAAAAACTAGGAAACTTCAGTGTTCTTGAAGCCAAACCCAGTTTTCTCTTGGACTTTAGCCTTCACACCATCTATGAACTGATCAAGATTTCTGTACGATGACCCACCAATAGCCAATGCACCCTCCAATGATTTTCTGACCTCCTTGACATTCCTCCTCAATTCATCAGCTGATTTTCCGCTCATCAAACGGCTGATCTTGTCTGCCACTTCCTCCTTTGTGATTGGTTTTTGGTCACAAAGATTAAGCCCAACCCTCCAATCATCCACCACTAATTTCCTATTAGTGAATTGGTCAGTCAACAAAGGAAAACACAACAAGGGAAGATTGCACCATATGCTTTCCAATATTGAATTCCATCCACAATGTGTTATGAAGCCTCCAATTGCAGGGTGTGAGATCACCTCAATCTGAGAGCACCATGGCACAATCAACCCTTGCTCTTGATCTTTGATCTCATCTTCAAATCCAAAGGGTAGGATTTCGGGTTCGTCAGAGCTGACTATATCAGGACGAAGTACCCAAATAAAACCAACTTTGCTGAGCAAAAGCCCATTGGCTATTTCCTCGATCTCTCTTTTGCTAGCATGAGCATAGCTACCAAATGACACGTACAAAACTGAGCCACGTGACCTAGTGCTGAGCCATTGGATGCAATCTGACTCGGACCACAGGCTTGTGGCCACACGGCTCTTGGTGAACCCGGGGGGAAATATTGGTCCAATTGAATATATTTGTTGCCTTTCTTGCAAGGCTGAAATGGTCTCAGATTCAAGCTCTTGGACTGTGTTACAAAGAATGAAATCTGCGTTTTTAATTTTCTCAAAGGCCTTGACTATGATCCGGTGTATTGGTGAAGTGTATTCATTAGGTTGAAGGTACGATGACAAGTCCTTTGGTTCAATTGCGCGTACACCCGGTATGTAATTGATCGTGTCTTGGCGAGGATTAGCTAATAATATTACACACACAAACTATACATGAATACAAAATATTGTGTCATGCTAGATATTTGATATGTTATGTTGATATACTATCAATCTGGACCACAATATTGTAATCAGTGATCCATATTAACAGTGATTAGCTAGTATTATTGTATTGTCGGATACAAGAAATAGTTATGTATGAGAGAGTTACTTGGAGAAAAGGGTACTTACCATGAGAAGTAAAATGACCATGACCATTTTTGTTGAGGAGGTCTAGGTGATAGTAGAGGTTGAAGACCAGAGCTGGTTCGGTCCAGAATGAGACAGTGACTAGGTTATACTTTTTGGCTATGTTTGTTGTCCACTCAAAGAAAGTATCTGATATCAAGCAATTGACTGGTGGGTTGGAGAGGACTAGTTTTGCTAGAAGCTCATCAACATGACCTGGGAAATCATGTATAACACTCTCCCAAAACTGGTCGTGGTTGAGAGATCGATCGAATTCGACCGGGAAGCCGTCGTTGATTGTTACATAACGTATGTCTAGGCCAGATTGAAGAACCCCCTTGAAAATATTATCATCTTCCATGGCGTGGGACTTGACTGTCTGGTGGTGAACCGCTTCAGTGTTGACAAAGGTGACTGTGATGCCCTTTGATGCAAGCTTTATGGCAAGATGGACGGCTGGGATTACATGGCCTTGCAGAGGGTAGGCAAACAGGACAACGTGAGGATGTTTTGAAGTATTGTTTTCCATCTGTGGGTGTGAGTGAGAGAGCGAGAGAAAGAGAGAGAGATGACCTATAAGTGCAAGATATCTGCAGCTCAAACTTGGGAGAAGGTTCAAAGAAAAAAGAAAAGAAAAGAAAAGAAAAAGAAGAAAGAAAAAGGATTTTTCCCAAACACTTTGGAGCTCAGAGCAGGGCATGAGGCATCAAGATTAGCCAAGCTCTATATAGCAACCAGATCCCTATACAGCTTAGGTGATGTGCTTGAATTGTCACTATGCCTAAGAATAGTCACAGTGATGATAAGGAAGGACCCATCAATGATATAACCACACAAAACGAAACTTACATATATATATATATATATATATATATAGTTTTACTGCATAATTATTAGGCCAAAGTATGAATTTTTTTTCGGGGTGAAAAATAGGATAATATTTTCATTGAGTAAATTCAAGGTGGTTCATCCAGTGCAGAAAATTCCAACCAAGAGGACGTCTTCATCCCATATTACAACATCCTAATATTTAATAGCATGAGCAGCAAGTTTGTGAGCTACAATATTACAACATCTAGGAATATAAGAGATAGAAATCTTCCGAAACAAAGTGAATCACCCCTTAACTTCATCAATGAGATTGCCAAAGTATGATGTGTGACGTCTTTGATCTAATTATACTAATTAACCCTTTTTAATTCATTGGATGGATGATTCTACTGGGGATGGTCGACAATTCAAGGCATGTCACTTCACCAATAAACCCCATCAAAGCAGAAAAATTTACTTGCATCAGGGATATCATTGTTTTGCTATCCTTAGCCAAAAACACAATGACATGTGATATTCCCGTTTCTGTCCTTTTCATTGCATGAAAGTCTTTCTCCCACCAAAGACGTGATTGTAATGCCTACCAACCAATCCGATGATTGGAAAATTACAAAAGACATGAATATGACTTCCTCATCACGGTCACTTTTTTTTGGGACGAAAAGGAACTTCATTAAGAGGCAAAGGCCACGAACGGAACATATTAACTAAGCCAGCACACACTCAGCCAAAGCAAGCAAGTGGAGAGGCTAACTTAGTACAAAATATAGATAAGAACATTAGTTTGGTGGTCCTGGAAGACCATCCGCTTCCAACACTCCCTGAAGAGACGGTGGTGGCCTTTCAACCCAGCAACGCTATGATGCCAATACTAGCACACACTTTAGTTTTAGAAAGATGGTAACAACCACATGAACTTGAAAAGAAATTGTTTTTCAATTTATAGGTGTAAAAAATCTATAACTTGAAAAGAAATTGTGTTTCAAATTAGCACGTAAGTGGCATATGTTAGGATAAATTAGACTTTTAGAGGTGTAAAAAACCTCATATACGTGCTAATTCCGTTTAAATATGATGAAACTAACCAAATGTCTTTCAATTTGCATTCCAACAATTGCAAAAATTAAAATTACATGTACCAAAATAAAACTTTGCCCATTCTACACGGACCGAAAACATAATTTGGCTTGGACAATTCAAAGCCTAGTGCAATCATGGTACCTCTCCCTATTCAAATCTCCTTGAGCCTTGATTGTGTTGAGTCTTGCTCGACTTTTTTAGTTTAGATTGACAGTTTGACGACATAAACTTATTGATACTATTTACATGCTTCTGTTTTTATTGGTTGATTTATTAGTTAATCGTGAGGACAGCATCGATTATCTAATGAATTGATTTAACTGAAGGAAATCCAAGATTACTTCTTCTGTTGAGTCCTTTTTTTGGGGTCTGAATAAAGTATTTTTTTCGTCAGAGTTGGGTTCCTTTTGTAGTTTGTCTTGTTCGTCAGGGAACCATATGAAAAGGCTTTATCTTGATGGGTTCCATCATCCGTGTGTGATGGAAGTCTTTGTCGGGTTCTAATAGTAGTTGCCTTGTTGGTTAGTGAACCTTTTGAAAGAGCGGTCCAAGTTTCTCTCACTGAATTGTTTATTCAAAAGAGAGAATAAAGGGAGGGGAGGTGAGGCAACTCGTTGAATTATGGAGGAAACCAGAGGTTACAAGAAATTTGGAATATTGTCTTACAATATAGAAATAGAAGATAATACACCCCTTCATGTTATCTGCTAAAAATAGTTGAATCACTGAATGGGAGTCATCTGGCCACATATCAGATTTTTGTGATTTCAGAACTTGCCTACTTCCTCAAGCAGACACAGAAACAGAGCCATGGAGGAGGACAATCAATGCACAAAGCCTCATGCAATCTTGGTACCTCTCCCTCTCCAAGGCCATGTCATCCCATTTACCAATCTGGCAGTGAAGCTTGCTGCAAATGGTTTCACCATCACTTTTGTCAACACTCAATATATTCACCACCAGATAACCAAATCCCAACCCAACAACAAAACTGAACAAGATGACATCTTTGCCGCAGCGCGCAAGTCCGGACTGGACATACACTACAAAACTGTGAGTGATGGCTTTCCACTAGCTTTCAACCGATTTCAGAACCTTGACCAATTTCTTGAGGGTCATTTACATGTCTACCCTGCCCATGTTGATGAACTGGTTGGAGATTTAGTCCAATCTGACCCCTCAATCACTTGCTTTATTGCTGATACCTTCCACACCTGGCCAGAAACCATAGCCAACAAGTACAACCTTGTCAATGTTTCCTTTTGGACTCAACCAGCTTTAGTCCTAAGTATCTACTATCACTTGGACCTCCTCAGACAAAATGGTCATTTTGGTTTTCATGGTATGCTCCCTCTCATAAATCCCCCAAACTTTTGCTTAACTTACATATGGAATGGTTTCTAGTTAATTTAACAACATGAAATCTCATATTGTCAATCTAAAGTTTAAACCATCTGATCGCGTGGAGTCTTGTTTGAATGTTTAGTCTACTAGATTCACAGCATGATGACATGAACATTAGCAAAGTTATATAACTACATGTATCTGTGTTTTTTTGGGTTGACTTATTAGATAAACGCGAGGACATCATCGATTACATACCGGGTGTGCAGGCAATTGAACCAAAAGACTTGATGTCACATCTCCAATCTACTGATTTATTATCCCCAATGCTCAGAATCATTTACAAGGCATTCCATGAAGTTAAAAGAGCAGATTTTATTTTGATTAATGCAGTGCAAGAACTTGAATCTGAGACCCTTTCAGCCTTGCATGAGAAGCAGCCCACATATGCAATTGGCCCTGTCTTCCCCAGTAAAACTACTAAGAGTATTGTGGCTACCAATCTGATGTCTGAGTTTGACTGTACTCAATGGCTCAATGCCAAGCCTCATGGTTCAGTTTTGTTTATTTCATTTGGTAGTTATGCTCAAGTTACTACAAAAGATATTGAGGAAATAGCTCATGGACTTTCGCTTAGTAAAGTGAGCTTCATCTGGGTACTTCGCCCTGACACTACAAGTTATGAAGAAACCAATATCCTACCCGTTGGATTTGACGATGAGATTAAAGACAGAGGGATGATAGTGCCATGGTGCTCTCAGATTAAGGTGCTTTCACATCCGGCAGTAGGAGGGTTCTTAACGCATTGTGGATGGAATTCCATACTTGAAAGTATGTGGTGTGGTGTTCCCATGCTGTGTTTTCCTCTATGGACTGACCAAATCACTAATAGGAAACTAGTTGTTGATGATTGGGGCATTGGACTGAATATTTGTGATGGGGTAAAACCCATCACAAGACTGGAGGTGGCAGAGAAGATCAACCATGTGATGAGTGGAAAATTGGGCCATGGTTTGCAGAAGGAGATAAAAAATGTAAGGCAAACAATGGAGGATGCGTTGGCTTTAAAGGGGTCATCACAGAAGAATTTCTTTCAATTCATAAGTGATGTAAAGAAGAAAGTGCAGACACGAAACTGACTTCCGCATTGCCACAATCTTGTGCTTCTGCTTCATCATCTCAATTGTCATTAGATCATCATTAGCATAAAACGCTTCATTAGCAATGTGAAATCCAAAATACACAAGAATGTGGCATATCTGAGGATCTATTATCATGTTTTAAATCAATATTATTGAGTTGAGTTCAAATCTCTGATTAAAGAAGATACCGTTTGTTTAAATTCTAAAAATAGTTTGTGGGAAGTTGGAACATTAGCCCCACGCCACGTGCTAAAAGCAGTTGACCTCATCTGACCACACATTGCAAAAGATGTGCTTTCGCTTTCATCAGTCCATTAGCCTTTGTGATTTCGGCACTTGCCCTCTCTCTCGCGCCGATAAATGACCACATACTCGCAGACATAGAGAGATGCACACACTGAGAGAGCCATGGAGGACAAGCATTCACGGCCTCATGCTATCATGGTGCCTATGCCTCTCCAAGGCCATCTTCTCCCACATACCCATCTGGCCATGAAGCTTGCATCAAATGGTTTCACCATCACTTTTATCAACACCCAACACATTCACCACCAGATAACCAAATCCCAACCCAATGACACTGAAGATCAAGATGACATTCTTTGCCACAGCACGAAAGTCCGGCCTAGACATACGCTACAAGACCGTGAGTGATGGTTTTCCACTAGCTTTCAACCGATTTCAGAACCACAACCAAGCTGTTGAGGGCCTATTGCATGTCTTCCCTGCCCATGTTGATGAACTTGTTGGAAATTTAGTCCAATCTGACCCCTCGGTCACTTGCTTGATTGTTGATACCTTCCACCCATGGTCAGCAACCATAGCCAACAAATACAACCTTGTCAATATTTCCTTCTGGACTGAACCAGCTCTAGTCTTAAGCATCTACTATCACTTGGATCTCCTCAGAGAACGTGGTCATTATGGTTCACATGGTATGTAATAACTTTCACATAAATTCGCATGAGCTTTGATTACATTACATTCTTACATTGCGGTCTTGTTCTCACGTCTTACATGTTATATTGCTAGATTGTCAATTAGAATCACAAGTTTTAAAAGAATTCACTGATCAATACTTCATATTGACATTCTGACAAGAGAAAACATCCTACTACGAATCTCAATTTTTTTGGTTGATGTATTAGATAATCAAGAGGACACCATCGATTATATACCGGGGGTGCAGGCTATAGAACCGAAGGACTTGATGTCACACCTCCAAGAAGCTGATATATCAACACCGATGCACCGAGCCCTACACAAGGCATTCCATGAAGTGCAAAGGGCAGATTTTATTTTGTGTAATACAGTACAAGAACTTGAATCAAACACCCTTTCAGCCTTGCAAGAGAAGCAACCCACATATGCAGTTGGCCCTGTTTCCCCCAATAACCCCACAAAAAGTATTGTGGCTGCCAATCTGATGTCAGGTTTGACTGCACAGAATGGCTCAACACCAAGCCTAATGGTTCAGTTTTGTTTGTTTCATTTGGTAGCTATGTTCTAGTTACTAAAAATGATATTGAAGAAATAGCTCATGGGCTCTTGCTTAGTAAAGTGAGTTTCATCTGGGTACTTCGCCCTAATACTATAAGTTATGATGAAACTTATATCCTACCTGTTGGATTCGAGAATGAGATTAAAGATAGAGGGTTGATGGTGCCATGGTGCTCTCAGATTGAGGTGCTTTCACATCCAGCAACAGGAGGGTTCTTGACTCATTGTGGATGGAACTCAATACTTGAAAGTATGTGGTGTGGTGTTCCCATGCTGTGCTTCCCTCTGTGGACTGATCAAGTGACCAATAGGAAACTAGTCGTTGATGATTGGGGGATTGGATTAAATCTCTGTGATGGGGTGAAACCCATCACAAGGGTGGAGGTAGCAGAGAAGATCAACCGTCTGATGAGTGGAAAATTGGGTGATGGATTGCAGAAGCAGAGCAAGAAGGTTAAGCAAACATTGGAGGATGCATTGGCTGTAAATGGATCATCACAAAAGAATTTATCTCAATTCATTGGTGATGTAAAGGCTGAAATTCAAAAACGAGTGTGACTTCCACATTGCTACTATGTGGTTTTGCTTCCTCATTTCTTTGTCATCTTTGTCATTAGCGCAACCTCTAAATTAGCACAAAACCAAATTATAATAAGTCTTTCCACTACTTTGAGAATATTGTCAGCGAATCTTTTGATTTTTGTCGACAAGAATCCAAAGTGTGATTCATTTTCTTGGTTTAGAAATACACTGTTTTGTTTATAGTTTAAAAACAGTTTGTGGAAAATTAGACTTCTGCCCCACCACCCCTTATCCTAAGAAAGAAAACAAAACTTTGTGTGTGTATTTGTATAAGCACACAGAGCCACAAACTCACAAACAGAGAGAGAAACAGACACAGAGGGAGCCATGGAGGACAAGCATTCAAAGCCTCATGCAATCATGGTGCCTCTCCCTCGCCAAGGCCATGTTATACCATTTACCCATCTGGCCTTGAAGCTTGCCTCAAATGGTTTCACCATCACTTTTGTCAACACCCAAATTATTCACCACCAGATAACCAAATCTGAATCCAATGGCAGTGAAGGTCAAGAAGACATCTTTGCTGCAGCACGAAAGTCTGGTCTAGACATTCGCTACAGAACAGTGAGTGATGGTTTTCCACTAGCCTTCAACCGGTCTCAGAATCTTGATCAATATCTTGAGGGTCTATTGCATGTCTTCCCTGCACATGTTGATGAACTTGTTGGAAATTTAGTCCAATCTGACCCTTCAATCAGTTGCTTGATTGCCGATACCTTCCACACCTGGCCAGCAACCATAGCCAACAAGCATAGCCTTGTCCAAATTTCCTTCTGGACTGAAACAGCTTTCGTCTTGTGCATCTACTATCACATGGACCTCCTCAGAAAAAATGGTCATTTTGGTTCTCACGGTCAGTAATAACCTTCTCATATCCAACATGTGTTATGCTATCAGATTGTTGATACAAAAGACAAGAGAAGATTTTTCATTATGTATATCTGATTTTTCTGATTGATTTATTAGATAATCGCGAGGACACGATCGATTACATACCTGGTGTGCAGGCTATTGAACCAAAGGACTTGGTATCACACCTCCAAGCTACTAATACATCAACAGCAGCTCACAGAATCCTATACAAGGCCTTCCAACAAGTTACAAATGCAAATTTTATTTTGTGTAACACAGTGCAAGAACTCGAATCCCAGTCCCTTCTAGCCTTGCAAGAGAAGCAACCCACATATGCAATTGGCCCTGTCTTCCCCAATAAAGCCACCAAGAGTGTGGTGGTGGCAACCAACCTCATCTCCGAGTTTGACTGTACAGAATGGCTCAATGCCAAGCCCCCTGGTTCAGTTCTGTATATTTCATTTGGAAGCTACGCTCAAGTTACTAAGAATGTGGTAGAAGAAATAGCTCATGGGCTTTTGCTTAGTAGAGTGAGTTTCATTTGGGTGCTACGCCCTGATACTATAATTCATGGTGAACTTGAAACCTCGATCCTACCCGTTGGATTTGAAGATGAGATTAAAGATAGAGGGATGATTGTGCCATGGTGCTCTCAGATTGAGGTGCTTTCAAATCCAGCAATAGGAGGGTTCTTGACTCATTGTGGATGGAATTCCATACTGGAAAGTATGTGGTGTGGTGTTCCAATGTTGTGTTATCCTATATTGACTGACCAAACCACCAATAGGAAACTTGTAGTTGATGATTGGGGGATTGGACTCAATCTTTGTGATGGGATTAAACCCATTACAAGGATGGAGGTAGCAGAGAAGATCAACCGTCTGATGAGTGGAAGGTTGGGTGATGGATTGCAGAAGGAGATCAAGAAGATGAGGCAAAAATTGGAGGATGGGTTGGCTGTAAATGGGTCATCACAGAAGAACTTATGTCAATTCATTAGTGATGTAAAGGCCAAAATTCAAACATGAATTTGATTTTTCACATTGCCACTGCCACTGAGTAGTTCTGCTTCATCATCTCATTCATTAAAGATTGGTTCTTATTAATGCAGCAACATGGCATGGAAGTTTCCATTGTAATTCTAGTGGCCAAACTTTTCAGTTGTAACTTGTCAAGATTTTGCCGAATAAAACACGTAGGTTTCTTTCTTCCAATTTTTTATGAAAGTTTCTTTCTTTCAATTTTTGGCTCTCCCACTCTAGCAAGCACAAAGTGACCAAGTGAAAGGGCACATCGGCACTGATTCCCTGAATCAATTTTTTCATGTCCAGTCTAGCATGCTCAACTCAAATGAAACATCAAAGTCGGAGTGAGCAGCAGAGCTCCATGGAATTATTTTTGCTTGAGATAGAGACTGTTAATCAAATTGCATTTTAATACCCTGGTTTCCGAAGAAAACTCGGATAATCTAAGCTATAGAACAATATTTCTATCATATTTCCCAGCGTTTCTCACAAACCAAACAGAACATATAATCAACCAGCCATTTTTCTTTCCTTGTTTTTTTAAAAAAATTTAAAATTTAAAATTTGTTTTCATTTAGCTGATCCATTCTTTGCTAACAACAGATGAAATCGACATTTCTATCAACTGCATATCATCTAAATATTATATTTAAATAGTACAACCGTGGCTATACTCTTTAAATAGTATATTTAAATAACATCCCTGCGCGGCTATACTATTTAACCGTATTTAAAAAAGTATAGCCGCGCGACTTGGGTCCTTTTTCCTTTTTCTTTATATTTTCCCAGATTTTCGTTTATTAATAAGAGTAGTTTATAGCATTATCCATTACTATTAGACTATTACCCGAGTCTCTATTGTCTCCTTTTGATTTGTTACTTTTCCAAAGTTATTATTCGTATAAAGAATTTAGCATTTTCCTGTTTAATAGTCGTATTATACACGTACGTATTTTTCAATAATACTTTTATTTTCCGTACACGTCTTAAAGACTAGGTACAATAAATGTTTTTTATAAAAGCAAATGTACAATGCATATATTGTATACATACGTAAGTATTTTTCATCTTTAATACACGTATTTTCTTTTACAAAATTTTCACATATTAATGAATAAAAAATATATATTAAAAATTATTAAACTATACGACGAAGATGATGTCAGTGTACGTGGGACTTGAGAATATCAAAATTCCTTGGGGTAGAACAAGATAGATTTGTGGATGGAAAGAGGCCTTGGAATTACAATACGGAAAAGAGAAGATCCGGTCCGGGCGCCTAGTTGGTAGGTGGGTCCTTATTTTTATAAATTTTAAAAATAAATAGTATAGACACATGGCTCTAGTATTTAAAAATAAAAATTTGGTTATACTTAATAAAATGTAAAATATCAAGGATATAATAAATGGGCTAGTTCAGTTTTTAAATTTTTCTTAGCTCGAGGTCGATGGGCCTTTGCAAGTGCTTTAGGGTCTGTTTAATTTTTATTTGAAATTACATTCCTACCCTTATCTATGTATTACTGGTTATCAACTCTCAAACGACGACGCTTTTCTCCTCTCTCACTCTTGCGCCAAGCTCATCCAGAATCTCCTCCTCCTGGCCACCGCCATCTCCAACATCACCACCAAATTCCAGGACCCCCAACCTCGCCGCCTTCCACCACCTCTTATGCTGCTTCGCAGACTCGTGTTGCGAGTCAAGAAACTCGAGAGGACAAAGCTTGTAGGTTTATCTCATGGCAGAAGAGGCCTACGGATCAAGGCTGCCGCCGTGCTTGTGGAACCGGTCGTCGACTTCTCCGTCGTTTGACGCGAACGACAGTGAGACCGTACGGATCAAGACGTAAAGCTGTCGTGAACGAAGAAGAATATGTTGAATTCAACGAAGAATTTACGAAGGCAAAAAACTTGGTTAGTTCAGAACAGGAGGTAATTGTCGAGCAAGTTTCATAGCAGATAGAGAGGGATTTGACTTCTATTGAATAAAAATAATATATATTAAATGTTTTGGATACATTGAAGCAAATTAAGTATAAACTAATGCAACTAGCAGGTTCCTTTTTTCTTAATATTTTTTTAATTAAAGCTATACCTTTTAAATATATCGCATTTAAATAGTATAGCCGGTCGGCTATACTACCATTTTGTTTAAAAAATAGTACCGCCGAGCGGCTACACTTGTTTGATAAGTAGGCGCCGAACGGCTAGGTAGCCCTCCTTTAAAAACAAAATTCGTATAGCCGCGCGGATATACTTGGTTTTTAAAATTTATTTAAAAATATTATAGCCGAACGGCTATATTTGGTTTTTTATTTTTATTTTTTTCCAAAGAGTATCGCTGCGCGGCTATACTTATTTTGACACGTGGGCGCCTGATCACTAGACATGACTACTTTTTCTTAATAAATAGTATAGCCGCGCGGCTATACTCGGTGTTCAAACAATACTGCCGCGCGGCTCTACCCTTTTTGACACGTAGCCACCCAGAGGCTATGCGGCTACTTTTTTTTTATACGCCGCACGGCTATACTCTATTTTTTTAAAAAAAAATAGTACAGCCGCCAGGCTATACTGCTTGTTTTTTGTTTTAATTATTTTTAATAAATATTATAGCGGAGCGGCTATACTCTTTATATATATATTAGGGTCCTTTTTTTTCTTTTAAATTTGTTCTCTGATTTTCGTGTATCGATAAGAGTAGTTTAGAGCGTTATCCATTACTATTAAGCCATTACATGAGTTTTTCTTATTCCCTTCTAATTTTTTACTTTTCCAGAGTTATTATCCATACAAAGAATTTAGCAATTTCACGTTTAATACTCTATTATACACTTATGTACGTATTTTTCAATAATACAACCATGTTTTGTACACGTCTTAAAGACTCTGTAAAATTCATGTGTTTTAAAAAGCAAACGTACAATACTCATATTGTACATGTACGTACGTAATTCTTATGTTTAACACATGTATTTTGTACAAATTTTTCAATAAGACGAACGAAATTAATGTATTATACAAATAATTATCACATATTATTTAGTAAAAATAATATATATTTAAAAAATTATAAATTATATTAAATTATTATATAGTGGCAGATTAATATCTGCTTTGGATATGCTGAAACTAGTAAATTAATATCTATAAAGTATAAATTAATGCAAATAGGATGTTCCTCTTTTCCTAATTTTTTAAAATGAAATAGTATAGCCCAACGGCTATACCTTTTAAATATAATATATTCAAATAGTATAGCCGTGCGGCTATACATTTAATAACTCTATTATACACGTACGTATGTATTTTTCAATGATAGTTTCATTTTCCATACACGTCTAAAAGACTGTAAAACACATGTGTTTTAAAAAACAAATATACAATACACATATTGTACACATACGTACGTATTTTTCATACTTAATACACGTGTTTTTTTACAAAATTCATAATAATACAAACAAAATTCAAGTAATATACACATAATTTTCACATATTATTGAATAAATAAATATATATTATTAATTATTAAACTATACGATGAAGATGTTGTTAGTGTATCTGGGACTTGAGAATATTAAAATTCCTTGGTGTAGAACAAGATAGATTTGTAGATGAAAAGAAGCCTTGGAATTATGCTAGGGAAAAGAGAAGATCCGGGCGCCCAATCGCTAGGCGGGTCTTTTTCATTTATAATTTGTTTAAAATTAATAGAATACCCGCACGGCTATACGTGTTAAATATTATATTTAAATTGTACAGCCGCCCGGCTATACCAGGTTCCTTTTTTCATTTTTTAAAGTTTTTTCCCCTGATTTTCATTTATTTTTTAAGAATAGTTTAGAGCATTATTCATTATAATTAGGCCATCAGCCGAATCTCTATTGTTCCCTTTTAATTTTTAATTTTTCAAAATTATTACCCATATAAAAAATTTAACATTTTCTCATTTAATACCTATATTATACACGTACATATTTTCCAATAATACTTTCATTTTCTCTGATGCATTAGCACATTAGGGTTTTCATGCTTCCACAATACCATTATGTTGTTGCACTTCATCCCCCTGTGACTTTAGTCATGTTATTTTTCAACTAGTCAGGACATTTAAAACCTCTCAAGTCTCAATTAACAAATAATCCAAATTCTCATAGAATCCAATGTGACCATTTTTCTTGGTTTGGTCAAGAAACACAAATTGAGAGTCAACAAAATCGACAGCATAAACAGAATAAACATTGAGGAAGAAAGAATGTACAAATAACTCGACAACATCAGGGTATCTGAAACCCGATTTATCTGGTCAGGTTGCAGAGGTCATGCATCAGCTCTGGAATACACAATTTACAAAAGAAGTAACAAATAAAAAGCCAAAATACAATTTGTCTACATTTGTACAAATTAAGACCTTTGATCAGAGAATTGTGCACACGAAAGCTCAAATTCCGTTTGGGCACGCAGGGGCACCTTTGGAATGCAATCCTCCCGTCAGAGCTAAACTGAGAAAATGTTATAGTCACTGAACTCCCATTGAAGCCCCGCCATTAGGAAAATGTTATAGTCACTGTACTACAATTGAAGCCCCAACATTTGGCAGATCTCAAACTCCATTGCCAATTTTAAAATCTGAAAAGGATGCCGTTTCTCGAGCTTCAACTGATGCTGTTGGTTCTCTCTTGTTTGCCCCAAAAAAGGAGCAATTTTGAAATGCATCGAGACTGCTGGCAATAAGGCGGTTCAACCCACTAAGACTATCACTCAGAACAAAATCTTCACTATGGTATTTGGAAGATGGCATCTCCAAATCTAATGGTCCTAAAGATTCAGGCTGTAAAGAAAGGAACATAAAAATCAGAAGTATCCAAAAAAAATTGCTGAAAATAAACAAATATATTGTTAACACACAATTCCCATATAAAAAGATTTATAATCCCATGTAAACGAACTTGTTACAGAAAAGTTTAAATGACCCTGCTTCCTAGATGAAACAACAGGAGCAGATTTCAGCAGGACCCAGCAAGCCATATGAGGGTCATGGAGATTCAACTTTCAAGACATAAAATGCTGAAACAGGAACATACCCAGTATATATCTGTTAAAGCGTTGAAATCTTTTACTGAACTCTCAAGGATACGTGGATCAGACTGACATTCATCTGTAGGACCTCCTTGAGGGGGATCATCAATGGGCCTCTCTACTACAGGTATCTCCTGCAGGAAACTTATATTATTTCAAGCATTTTGACAACGCAAGCGACTATTCCTATTTCTCAGTCACACGAGGGCTTCAATAAAAAAAATTATATATTGTGAAATGATACCTCAACCATGCAATCAGAGCCCGCTGAGCTTGCCCCTGGAGGAGCAACAGCAGATAAACTGGAAACCTCTTGACAGAAAACAGAATTCTTTTGAAATGAGAAAGCATCACATGTTTCTTCAGCATCCCAGATGGAAGATACATGACATTCCATAGTAGGTTGGCATCCCATCTTGTTCTGTCTAGAAATATGAGCAGCAATCACAGCATCAAACGAATCACAGCTAAATGGGATCTGCTGAGGGCATTGGGAGCCTTCAGCAACAGGTGGATCGATGCAGTTAGTATCTAAATCATGAGATACTCCTGAAAGTAGATCTCCCATGCTTATGTTGGTTAGGCTATCCGCCCACACCCCGGCTGATAGTGTAGTGCCAGTAATTGATCTCAGGTCATCCTATTATTATACACACAAATTAATGTTCAGAGAAATAGCACAATAGTAAACCAGAAAATACGTAAAGCATTACAGCACAATTTCCTCCATGGGTTAGAAAATAAGATTCCCACTAATACAAGTACATAAAGAAAGACATCCACACATTATTCCCTTCCACTTTGCAATCGTTCTTGAAAAATAGAGGTAAAGTTATCCACATCTTTCTTATGAACACAGTCGAGACCTGATTAGTTGCCATGGCGGTAAAAAGTTTCTTTTATTATTATTTTCCACGGGGGTGGGGGTGGCATAAAGCAGATTGTTACGCAAGTAAAACATTCTCTGTTCATAAGGCTAATTTAGCCAAGCTGTAAAAAATTCTTAAAATAAGGAACAAGGCAATTGTCACATTCAAAAGATTCCAGAAAGAAAATGTAAGTCGAGGAGGACAAAAGAGGTAAGCATTGATTTTAATACACAACGAAAACAAAAAAGAAAAAAAAAATCTTGCTTTATCCAAGAAACAACAGGAGACAGTCATATTTAGAAACATCTAATGCACAAGTAAGATGCGTAGATAAGACAATGCTATGTGATTGGAATAGTTAGTACAGAAAGCAAATTGCAAGTTCCTCTGTTGGGCCCTAGTTAAAAATATGCATACATTCATACCTGTGGGCTGACAGTTTAATAACATTAAAAGCATGGAGCAGAGAAAGGATATTTACCACATCTCCCCGATGTCTTGAGGTACTCTGATCACCAGCCTCCTTTTTATGCCATGACGTTATTTCCGTAGGGTCCCCCACAAAGTTATTGTTTGGACTTGCGCAGATGTAGCCATTTATCTCATTGGGCTCTTCAGCTGAAGTCAAACCAAGAGAATGGTTATACCGTGGTTTACCACGTTCGGGTAGTTGGGGTTGAGAATGTTGATAATCCAGTGCGGAGAGAACACAACTATTGTTCGTTGAAGTTAAGTGATCCTTATGGATATCGGCAGACTGATTATCAGTTGATAGAGGAGATATAGGAGCTGAATCCACAATCTGCTCCTTCCTCTTCTCTTCATTAATATCATGCTCACCTTGATTGCTGCAAGATGCTACAGGTGTTTGCAATCCAACAGACCCAAGCTCAGCATTGGAGAACCAACCATACCTGCAAGGTAATATTGCGACTCGTTTTATGATATTTAGTAATCTAGTGTGCGACATTATATTTGAGTTGAAAAGAAGTAGGAACCTTAAACGGAAAACTGGAGGGCATCCAATTGTTGCATATACATCTGCCGCGCTGACAATTGAGTCTTGCGTCCATCTAGGATAACCCATCAGGTTATCCCTCTGGACACTGTAATGGAACAGGGTTAGCTCTCCTGATGCTACATTCGAATTTCCCCATTTGCGATTTAGATGATCCAAAACTGATGATATCTTTTTCCGAGTACTAAGAGTGAGTTCCAAGTATGGATTATGTTTATCCTGTGAAACGATAATAACCCAAATTTTGATCACACTCTGAAAAGTGTTCAGGTGATAAAACTTTATTTCAAAACAAATTTGAAAATATAAGTTATTACAATGCTCACATTTTCCAAGGCTCTTCTAGTACCATCGTCAATTGGGAACAACTGGAGCTTAAGTTTCATACAATTGTTTATGCCGCTCTCTGCATCAATATTTTGTACAAAAGCGGGCATAGGCGGCATAACTTTTCCAACAGGAACAGCGCTACTTTGCCCTGAAAATTAAAATGGAAAGAACCATGGCATTAATAAATTTTCCCCAACTGGCTTGAGTCTAATCCACTCAAGAAAAAATAACTAAGAAGAACTGGCAAGGAAATGATTCACCTGCAGCACTTCTGTCTTGCTCAACTTCTTTATCAGTTACTGCCCGCTCTAGGTGCTCAGCAGCATCAGCAACCAAAGAAACCCCAGCAATTGCAGCCTTTTCCCACTTTTTATATGCTGCTGACGAGAGAGCACCTGCTAATAATACATTAGTAACCAGACCAATACCAAATTTCCTGAAAGTGGCACTAGCATTGAGAATATGTGAATTCAAGGATGAAAATATCAAGTGATACAGATATTATCGGGCCTTCAATTTACGGATATTTCGGGGGATATATCGATGTCGTTTTAGTTATCAGGGAAAATCGACAAAAAAGACAGATAATGGCTTAAAAAACACGGAATTTTGAAGTGAAACTTTCATAGATATTAAGCACATTATCGATGAATGTATTGAACTAATAAAATTCAAAATGTACTAAGTATAAGATATGCATATGATGAAATGTACGTGTATATAATGCGCGATGAAAATCCTGAAAATAAATACAATTAGGCTGAACACAACAAAGACAACATTATTCAAACACAACCCAACCCAACCCAACCCAACATTATATTACAAGAATCAGACTTAATGATAAAGGAAATGAGAGATAGAAGATTAGGTGAAAAATAAAATCAAACACACAAGAAACTGAGCAACCATAGAGAGGAGAGGAAGAGCCAAAGATAGCCGAAATGACTCAGAAGAGAAGAAAGGAGAAGCTACTAAATATTAGAGCTTGGTTTTTGACATTGATTCAGTGGCTGGGACCTATGATTACTTTCAAAACTGAAGACAATTTCCGGGTTATTTGTCTGCTATCGTTAAATATCAGTAAATATCGAGGACATCGGGGGTTATCGGGGATATATAGCCGATAAGGGGAAAGAAATAGGCTTACCCCCCCGTATCTGTATCGACACCTAAAAAAAGGGATATATCAGCCGATATTTTCATCCTAGTGAATATGTTGACTAGTTTCTTTTGAAAATCAGGTGCTGCTACTTATTTTCATAAGTAATCTACCAAAATGCAGCTGATGGCACCAATTGTACCTGGAACGAGAAGTGATAGTTCACCATAGCCAACAAGGAAAAAACATATTAAGTGAAACCTTCAAATAATTTCTTTTAATTACTAGGAAGACAAGTAACACAATTTAGTCACAGGAAAAGAAAACACGAAGAATAAAATCAGAGGCTATGTTTGAAGGAGGCAAGAACAGCAATGTGACTTCACAAAGGCGCATGTTAGGTTTGAAAAACTTAAAGTTCATAAACCTAGAGTAATTTTAACCATCCAAAGATTCAAGCAAGTTATATAAAAATTTAATCAGGGTGAAACTCTGAAGTCCAAATGCATTCAAATATTCCCTGCTGTATTAAGTGGTTGCTAGAATCATGCAAATCTGACATCAGATATCTATGTTCATTCTTACACCAGTTCACTTAAAGAATATATATAAGAAGAAAAGCACACTGATCTTAGAAGCCAATTTGCACAGCTGAGACAAATCAGCCACTAGCAATTAAATTCTAAACTTTACATGAGAAGATTGTCAATGGGATGAAATTAGAATGAAAGGACCACATACCCTAGCTTCTGTAAAAGAGAGACTATGCAAAAGTGGGTAGACTAACAAAAAGAATCACCTGGTTTTCGTCGTTGTCTAGCAGGTTTCATGGTACTTGAGTCTCCTTTGTTGCTACGATTAACACCTATATTTACATTGCGCTTTAATGACGCTTTTCCAGGTCCTAATTTCTGAATATTGTGACTGTCAACAAGAACCAGTTTAACTGTGCGATTATCATGTCCTGATGGTCTATTCTGATTGGAAAGTGTGCTTGGAGCATTAGGAGGGCAGTTTTCCCCCTGAGAAGGCCGTTTCCTAACACTCTTCTTCCGGTCTTTCAGGAGTTGGTGTTCCTTTATGCAAAAAACATGACAGTAAGTCCATGACCAGTGTAATATATCAATATCAGACATAGTGCACTTTTGCTCAACTACATTAACCATGGTGCACCTTTACCACTCCAAGCACAACACATGGCATGTGATGAGTTGAGAGGCAATGATATATCATGGCTATTGGTGGTCAGTATAATTCTACTCTATTACACACACACACACACACACACACACACACACACACACACACACACAGAGGAACATAGTCTTGGATTAAAACTAATGTTTTTACTAACCAACGCTTCTATAAAGATCTTAAATCTTCGGGGCTTCAAGTGAAGCTTTGATGCTTTGCAGCTATACTTTTCCAGCAACGACCACCTGCAACAAAGTCACACAAAACATATAATTCTTTGCGCATTTGTATTTCTATTTAACAAGACAATTTAGATGTAAGTTTTTGAAATCTGAATTGTATTCTTCTCACTATTGGAGGAAAGTATACATACAGCCAAGCTAACGTTACAATAGGAAATATATATATAAGGAATTCCTAGTCTATAGGGATTGACAATTAATATAGTTGACTGGAGAGATATAAATGGATTCTCTACAATAGATATTGGGTCAAATGCTCCCAACAGTGACTGTTAAAAACTAAGATCCAACTCCAGGCTGCAATATTTTTAGAGGATCTCCATAGGTAAGAAAATGAAAAAACTGATTGATAATTAATCTTACCATCGAAGCATAGCAGCATTAGTATCTTTAGAATTTTTGGAATCCAAATATAATCCTGGACCCAGCAGCTTGTTCATACGCCTCACAAGACGATAATAATAATGTCTGACCTGGAAACCATGAAGGGAAAAGAGAAAGAAAATCAAAATCAATATGTTGACAGGAGAATCAATCAACCACTGAATGGAAAGAGCCAAAAGTAATTGTTCTAGAAAATACCTGATCCTTGTTTTTACTTTGAACACGACAAGTTATCTTTTCAAAATTCTGCAATCCAAGTATAGCACAGTTAGGGATTTTTAAGTTTAAAATATTTAATTACCAAAAAAACCAAGGACAGGAGCATGCCTTGCCAACTTGTCGTAAAGCAGCAAAGAAACTTTCCTCCTCTTGGTGTGTCCAAGCAGCCCATTGCCGGGTTGGTTTTTTCACTGCAAATTCACAACAATTAGAAGGTGGAAATTTGTACTTTGGAAGGTAACACAATCAGAAGAAAGCCCATAATAAGTACGTGAGATACAAATTGATTGCATAAAGTATACCAGGCTGCTGCAGTGCAACGTGATTTGAGGTGGATGAAGCTAAACCCGGACCTCCATCCTGAACAAAGAAACCCCCCTGATGAGGATGTGCCTCGGAATTCACGATGACTGTTGACCCTATCTGCATGTTGAATGCATAACCTATATGCTCATGCTCTCAGCTTCCGGGTTTCAAGCAATACTTTGTTTGACCTCTAACTTGGTGCAAACCAGACTGTTAATTGTAACAAGAGGATTTAAGCTTAGCATGGAAAAACCAATGCAGTAAATTGACACAAAGTTAATTAGTAGGAGGCAACAACCTAATCAGTGAGTTCACACATTCACATTCACCAGAAGATGCGTATTCATGCACCCCAAATTCAGTTTCTCCAGATACTTCATAATGTTAAAAGATTTCATTTTGGAGTTCATTTACATAAGAGATCTAAGTTTTCAAATTTCCCTTGATTGGGTAAAATTTTACATGAGAATGATTGGAAAGTAAGTTCACAAAAAAGCACTCCATCAAACAAGCACTGAAGCTCACAAATGTGATCAAACTATTCACATGAATAAGGAATTTGTATTTGCAGACCCGAAGTGTATAACAGAGCCTACATTGGCTTACAAAAAAAAAATCTAATTCAGTAAAAGTTAAGCAAGAAATTGAAATCCAGTATTCAAAATAAAAAATAAAAGAGAACTGTAATCAGTAGCTAAAAAAAAGCTAGAAAACAACAATAGAAATGGAGAATATACTCTTCAAGAATTTAGATCCAAATCACAACTCCTGAACTGAACTCTACCTTAGAAAACTTTTTTTTCTCGATATGTAGAGTTAAAATTAACCTTTTCCTATCAAAAAAATCAACAGAAGTACAAAAGAAATATTGAAAGAAAAAAAACCCTAATTGTAATTTCTTCAACTTTCCCCAGCAGCCAAACGACGGCTAGGGTTTCGAACTACACAAACAAATAATCAATCAACTTATGCTCTGTCAACCATATAAATCAATGAATCTGGAGAATTCGCACTCATAAATTACCTGATAGAAATTTCGAAGAACCCAGAAAACCCTAAAATCGAACGGACGAGCTCCTGAGATTGAAGAAATGCAAACAAAAACCGGATAGAATCTTCCGACAGACGTCTACAGTTCGAAAAAGGAACGAATTTTACTTTGAGAAAAAAAGCGTTATTAGTTAATTCACTGGAAAGGACGAAAAATAAGGATTATTGGCATATTGGGATCATATCACAAAGGGAACGGGTTTTTTTTTCTTTTCTTATTTTGCAAGGACTTGGACATAGAGGTTACTCAACATGACCTAATTTTTCACAACTTTTCAAGTGATTCTATGAAGACCTAAATTTTTAGGAATAGTAGAAGGTAGACTAAATTTTGTTGATGCTTTTATTACTTCTAATAAATAAAAGGAGAAACAAGTTTGTGTTTTTATTTTAACGATCTAATGGATTATATAGATATTAGATACGATAAAACATAAACAACGATCGTTATGATATCAATGATCGACACGATCGTTATGATAATGATATGGTTGAGGTTGTTATCAAACATCCAACTAACCTAGATTTGATTTTATGCCATTTGAGTTATAGTTTATGAGAAAGTTATATCGACCAGAAATGATAAGCTGAAATACAATGTAAATAATGCTTCCAGCACACATAATATTGATACAATCAATGTTCAAAATATTACTCTTACACCTAGCATAGGTAACTAACTCTGAATTAATTATATGAAGAAAGTATAGATCAATCTCATGGACGAAATACATGTCAATGTTCAATTTGGATTCTTTGCCCCCAATATATCATAATCATGAATGATATGCCATTAATATTTTTCTTTCCCTTCTAACAATCAACCATTCACTTTGAACATGTGTGATGAATTCGATTTGAAGTCTCATTTCCCAAACTATGCATTCACTATGAATAGCATGTGTGATGAATTCGAGTTGACGTCTTATTTCCCAAACTTTCCAATGCTAATGCAAAGCCTACATTTTCCATAGGGTATGTAAAAGAAAAATTATTTACTATTACTGTTGTCACAGTATTATCATTATACAATATTCCTCATCACAAAGACACAAAGGAACCTAATTTGGCGTATAGTCCCATACTTAAAATTATTAAGACTAAAACTTCTTCCAACATTGAAAAGAAAAATACCGCTACACCAATACAACTTTATGAACCAACACTTATTTTGACGAAGTGATTAATAAACTCTCCATCATGAACTCAACCCTAAAGACCAAACAATATAGAAGTCCAACTGTGGACTTTTCCACATGCAATGCAGGTGATCAATCACGGCAGCATCGCAGAAAGAAGGAAGCATAATTTACTTTTAAAGAACCTTTTCAATCATGCGTGCGCACTAGATTTAGAGTAGAGAACAGGAAATGTCAAAAGAAAGAGAAAGCCAAAGAGACAAAGGGAATAATCTCACACTAAAGAAAAGGCCAGGCTACAATTATGTCAAACAGGGCTCCATTTAGCCATTTAGCCTTGTTTAAGAGAACCTTGCCAAGGAGGCCTCATCTTCTTATAAGTTTAAAGCCGGTCCTTTCTGAGGCAGTAGAACAGCAACACAAGAGGTAATTGAATGGTTACGTCAAGAGAAACAATGTTTTCCTGAAACTAGCGTATTTATATGGTAAAAACAGAATTTACATCCAAAATTGTTACAAACAAGTGACAATGAATACAACGGTAGTAATAAGGATCAAAATGATACACAGAGCAACTTCAGATGGCTACAGTAGAAGCTTGTTCTATGGTTCCTTTGTTGTACAGACACCAGGGAGGATATCGATCATAACCTTTTGTAACGTTCTCAAAACATATTCTGCTCCTCTCATTCTTTCAATACTGTATGTGCTACACATTGTATCCATTCATCCCACCACCATCCTTTGTTTTAGAGCAGTTGCACTATTTGTTGCTGGCATACCACCATAAGTAAAGATTTCCATCCATCTGGAACTAGTGCTACCAATTTATAATTTGGTAAGATCATAAATGCAGCAGCCCACATCAATCACCACTGAAGGATAATTTGCTTGGAGAAACAGAACCAAGAAAGGACCCTAGACCACTGCAAAATGAGATGTTCCATTTACTTCCATCGGCGACTGCAACAACTTTATTCAGTAGTGGTTGATTTACAAAGCATTAATCTGTACATAGGGTCCCCACGAGCTAAGACATGTTGTTCCCAGTCAGATCGAACTCCAAATGGGTTGTCCTTAAGCCACCCACTATTAGTTATGGCAAAACTTTGTTCATGCACCACAGTAAGTTTACCCTTGCCATATCTCTGAAACTGTTCTTTCATTCTCAGAGAGACGGCCTCTATGTCAGATTGCAGAAAGACCTGGTAAATATAACAGAAATGAGCAAATAAACTGACAAATCCCTGTCATGCAGGTGCAGCTGACCTACATTGATTTTCTAGTTGTGTAGTCTTAAGTTTAAGTATAAATCATGGAGTATATGGTGTCATTACTTGCAGTGATGTTAATAAAGGTGAAGAAGGGGGGAAAGAAAGTTAACTACAGAGTTAAAATGGAGCTCCTTATGGAAGTGGAGCTGCAAAATAGTTTTACCTTTCCATTAGCTGTAAGCAGATCAGCAACTGCTTCGACTAATGACCTTTGCAGCATACTCCATCTATGATCTGGTTTGTTGAAATCGGGATTCGGGCACTAAATGGGGAAAAAAATCCCAATTAATTATTGATAAAAATAAATATAAGCATTGAATGCAAGACTGATGAAACTATAAGGACAAGAAAATGCATTTAATTTTCCATTACATCAAATATACTGCCCTACTTTCCATGTCATTTTCAAGTAAAGTGATAGAGAACTTAAAATAGTACCCTTTTTTTTAATAACAGAGAACCACATATTTCTCAACTTATAATGAGAAAATGTGGCATCAGGTTGTTCTATACAAGGCAATTACTTAGAAGTTATCAAATAATTTTAGAGAAGACAATGAAACATATGAATCACATATAACATTCCTTTAAAGAAAGGAAGAAATGAAAAAAGTTTGGTTTTACATGTCTTTCATAATGCATAAAGGGCTATCATTTTGTAGGTTCTTAAAGTTTAACAGATTATATATTGCTACTCTAACATGCACATTGACATGGATAGTCACTTGATAAAAGCAGCAGATGTTTCAAGTTGAAAAGAGACATAGAGTTGCAATCCCAACCTGTATCGAAACAAGCACTAGCTTTCCGGGGTAACTAGAAATAATGGATCGGAATGTTGAAGTAGCATTTGTTGCGATGAAGTACCTAAAGTAGACAAAAGCAAGACAAATATAGGTAAGATGATGAAGCTGGACCTATAATGTTAAACACACCAAATTCTATAAATGGAAACATCATAGTTTCCTATCCTCCAACCCCAAATTCAAACACACACGTGCGAGCATACACACATACAGACTGGATCCATTCAAGTTTTAACTTACAACATTAAACACACAATTGTATGTGGCACAAGCAACCCAGACATGCACATTGCAGACACAGGTCATTAAAGTTAATGCAACAGTCTGTTAGACAAGCAAATTCACAAGGCCATAATGTTTTTGCAGCACCAAGGCTACAACCCTTACCCATTTCTTATCCCACGCCAGTGAACAGAGTCCAGGCAGCATTTTACAAGCTGAAAAAAGCTGTAAAACTGTCAGTAATAGAGGATAAGAATAGGCAAAAAGAATACAAAATTTCCACATCCTGGAAACCTTTTTATTAATCTCCAAACCAAGAAAATTCAAATCCTTCCTTGTTTTGGCCATCCCCAAAAGAAACATTCCATTACCTGCCATGTATTCTTCGGAGTCAGTAAATAACCAGTAACTGCTATGACTATCTCATGACCAAATCATAAAGGGCATGTTGAAATTATACAACTGTTTCAACTCAACAAGCCTTGTTAATTAGTTATTCCAATCAGAAATTTGTCAGTTGCATCAAATTTAGCTTCTTTTAGAACCTAATCCTTATCTCTCTCTCTCTCTCTCTCTCTCTCTCTCTCTCTCTCTCTCTCTCTCTCTCTCTCTCTAATATCTTGCTTATACATGTAGAACAACAATAAGGTAACAAACTGAAACCTCAATGTGGAAAAAGAAATCCATAGGAAGGGAGAAGAAGATGAAAGACAATACCACTTCCAATATCAACTACCAAAGGTTGAGCTGGATCAGAATAGGCATCACTCCAATCAATATCAAAAGGGTATGCCTGCACTAGATAACTACTTTAAGAAGTTTGAAAATATTTTTTTAAATAGTGTTATGAAATGCTGGAAAATATTTACATTTTGAAGTGAATAACATCACTAAGATCTCTGAGCTCCTTTAGATGAGAATGAAGTCAGATTGATGCATCAATCCACATTATGAAAGAAGATATGAATCGTACCCTATCTAAGGCCATGACCCCCGGAAGTTTTCTTCCTTTGAGAAACTCCCACACAACTGAAGCATCCTTAATCATAGTGAAATTAAAGGTGGAATTTGATTCCTTCACCATTGCTTCACATGCCTTATTCCCAACAACAGTTATGTTGCAGTTGCTTTGACTTAGTTGATTAAGCATTTGAGCCAGTTCAGAAGCTCCTTTTGTGCAGTTACTCGTACGGAATTTCACTGGACCAATCCAAGTGACTTTCTGCAATTCAAATCAGGGAGGTCTGACAATAAGTCCACACAAGGCCAGCAATAATGCATACTTGAAAACACAAAAGAGAACAGACTGCGATCAAGAAAGAAAATACATATGACATCAAGGTGGAATTTAATCCTAGTAGTTATACCAGACAAGGTGCATCTACACCACTATATTCGCCAAATTTAACTTTGAAACATTACAATATACCTTAAAAATTTCACTGTATAATTATAAAGGACCATAAATATGTGAAAGAACAGAATAATGAATATGGAGCCTAAAATTGGAAAGTTGAAAGTTGAAAATGAAACAAACTTTTCGAGGGCTACATTAAGCATGCTAAATTTAGTCCTTAGATAAAGTATCATAACACTCTTATGCTAAAATCTATCGGTAAAAAGATGCATTGCCTACATACCAAGATAGAGACTTAAGAATTGATACTGCACCTCAAATTTAATTCAAAATAGTATTTGAAAACCAAAAGACAATTCTTCTGCCTTACTTCATAAGTATTTTTATTTACCTTGCACCTTGAAAGCATGGACTTCATTTCGACAAATGATGCAGGCCCAATATCAACAGGTACCCACCCTAAAATAGGGAAAAGACTTTGAGAATCCAATTTCACAAATTTATTATATGACACTCAGATTACACAGTTGCAACATAGGAAACTGAAAAATAATGATATTATTGTCAACAAAAGCAGTCAAAAGGACTAGTCAATTCATACATGTTCTAATCATTCATGAAAAGAAAAGGAGTCAAAGGGCATCGTATTTTTGGTAAACCAAAAGCAGGCTCACCATCCAGTATACGATGAGCAGGAAATATTTCCAATTGCTTTGGAAGATGATCATTCTTGCACCAAAAGTCTTTTGGATATAGGATCTGTACATTTCTAATGTGTGCAACCTGGACTATATCTAGAGCTTCTTTAAGTACCCCATGTTCCACCAAATTCAAGGGAACAGGTAGCCCTAAGGCATGCATTATTTGAAATGACATCATTCCAACAAAGACTAACCCATCACATCGGGAAGTTAAGGAATGCAAAGCAGCTGCTTTATCAAAGAGATTACCCCCTCCAATCTGCACTGCCAAAGATAATAAAGTTAAGAGTCCATAAGTTTTCAGTTTGACTGGAACCAGACACAAATAATGGAACTAATATCCTAGCAGTGGAGGCATACAATTGCTACATGCGGTTTTGTGTTGCTTTCTGTAGCCCTTCTAAGTTGAGATAGGCTTTCCTCAAAGTGAAAACCAGCTAAGTTGGCATAGCAGAAGCGAGCAACTCCGCAGGTGGATGCAAGAATCTTATGAGACCGGGAAAAGTAATCATTAACAAAAATATCCACTCCTGATGACAATGCTTGAGAAAATTTTGAACAATTGGCAACTTCTCCTCTAAACTCAGAAAGATTCTCAAGAAGAAGAATATCTCCTTTCTCAAAGCCTTCCCTCTTTGATACCACGTTTTGAGAAATGCATTGTACTGGAACAACTTTGTACTCAAGAAGAGATGACAAGAACTCTGAAATGTGGAGACCATCAAGCAATAAACAATGATCAGCAATTCAACATGTCGAATTGTCATATCATAGCCCCATGTTTCATGCTTAAATAAATCTGCCTTTTTTTCTTCACTGTCATGAAGCATCATATTGGCAAAAATGCTAGCGAAAAAACTAACATTAGTGTGAAGCATTATATACCTGCAACAGACTGCGCGACAAACAGTCTAGGATTAGTTTTAACACTCCAATCACTAACAAGAACTACTTTAGCCCCAGATTGGTGCAAATACTTAATGGTGAAGAGTGCATTGGGTTGAAATCGGTGTTCCTCCCCTTGTTCCCGAAGCAAAAGGGTAGAGTCAAATCTGACCAGTACAACTTTTGCAACAAGCTCCTTCCTTGGAAACTTTCTAAGAGCCTGCAAGTGTGGCAAGGCATCCATTTCTCCTCCTCCAAAGGCCTAAAAGAGCAAAACCCAATTAAAAAAAAAGTAACACAAAACAAGAAAGAACTGAAATTTAGCTAGTGGGCTAGTGCCTTACCTTACACTTGGATGTTAAGACATTTGCTTTGAGATATTCGAAAGTGTGAGGCTTGAGAGCAATACTTGAACATGTGGGAGAGTTGCTGAAAAACAGAGTTGTTTGAAGTTGAAGTAGATTCACAAGGTGACCCATGTTATGTGATTGTTTAAGTATTAGAGTTCAGAGCTCCAACACCCAACTCTGCTTCTGCTGTGAAGCGTCTGGCTGTGGCCGCTTAAAGCGGAGGAGATGACAAAGAAGTAAAAGACATGTCGTGTCAGGAAATAGTGTCCTTGTAATACTACGAAACTTTCACCAATAAATAAAAATAAAAACTACTTAAACGACACCGCTTTAGAGTCTTTTGAAGTTTTAATACAGCTTCTTCAACAAAGCGAAGGGTAAAGCTCAGTCTGGACTGTCGAATACCCAATAACGACAATTCGTGCGTGCATCGCAAACGACGTCGTAGAAGCCGATACAGGAGCCAAAGCCTGACGGAGATCGGAGCTAAAATGGCTTTGAATTTGGGATTCGTGGTTGGCATCCTTGGAGTTGTAATTCTCTCCCATGCCGCTTATTCAACCGTTCAATGTAAGCCCAGATAATTAGTATATACGTGGTTAGGTATCTATTTGGATTTGAAAGTCAACAACTTTAGGGTTTGTGGTGATTGAAATTGGATCCTTTTTAAGATTGGTTGATTTGATTTGGTTGCAGACAGGGGATTGTTGAAGATTATGGAGGAAGAGTTTTCAGGACCTCCATTGAATGTAAGATTTAACACGACAAATTCTAAAAATGGGTATTATTTTGTTTAGGTGTTTCGGTGATTAAACGGGTAACTGAAATTGCAGGTGGTTATTGAATTGCTTCTAGGGTTAGTGTTATGTATGTGGGCAGCTCTTACTGTCCCCGGCACGTTTCTTTCAATACATCCCCATTCTGAAGAGAATAGGTATGTGTGCATTTTGTCTCTTCAAGGTCTGATTTGTTTTGTTCATGGTGTGATTGGATTTCTTTTCAATCCCTTTCAATTGAAAGTTGAAACAAATTTGTAGTAACTTTTGTTATGCTTGTGTACTTGAGCTTTGCAGTGCCTTCTACAATCTCAGTTTTGTTATGCTTTTGATTCAAACTCTTTTTTTATTGTTTGAATTGGCAAAGACTGATGATAGAATAGATGTTACTGCCATGTCAATACCTAATTTGCACATTGCTAGTTGCAACTTCTATTCTAACCCTATGTTTGGTTCTCTGTCAGCTAGAGAAAATAGAGAAGATAAAAAAAATCCGGAAGTTTTTATTTTCTTCTGTTTGGTTAAGGGTAAATAAAGAGAAGAATATATAATTATGGTAAAGTTTCCTATGAGCCAACTTTGTCTTCAAATTATACGCCATTTGAAGAGAGAGCTTGAGAAGGAAAACATGGAGTTATTTTCCTTTCCTCTTTATTTTGATCAATAACCAAACAATGGAAAGATAACAAGGGTAATTCTTTTCTTTCTCTATTATTGGGTTCTAAACATAGGTTAAGAGTTGAATTGTATATCTCCTTGTAGTGGGGGTTGTTGATAAGATTATTAGTTGCTCACATGCCCTTCTGAATAAAGGTTCTTACAAATTGAAAAGGGAACCTTTTTTTAAACAAAGTAAATGGAATATCTTGTAGGTAAAGATGCAGTACTCAGTATCTCATTCTACTGTCTAAAGTTGTTGAATGCTATTGTGTAATGTTCACTGACATGCTTCATTATGTTATAGAACTGAAACATGTTATGAGTATTCAAATGGGGGTTATCTGCAACGAGACATTATCAAATTATTGAGAGAGCTGAGTAGAAGTAAGCGTAATGGGATTAAGGGAGGGAAATTAGTAAGAAGATAGAAACAATAGGGGTTAGCATTCTTGAGTTTAGAGACCATAAAGCAGGAGAGAGCAAAATAGTTTTTGTCTTTCTATAATCTTTAGCTGCCCTCTTTAGTAATGGGACTCTGTTTCGTATCAAAAATAAAAATTTAACGAAAAAATAGAAGTGTGCAACCTACAAATGAGCATGATATGGGACTTACCTTCTTAGGTTATCTGGGTTTGTTTATTAATTGGAAAATATATTGTAATCCTCTCTGCACAGCAAGATACTGTAGAAGTAGAAGGTTACTTTCAGATATGGATTGTCCTTATTTTGTCTCCATCAGTTCTCAAGCTAAGTCATCCTTGCATGAAATAAATTTGTAATGTTATTAAGACTAAAAGAGGGCCAAGTTTTGTTGCATATTCATAGAGACAAGTCAGAAAACTAGTGTGTACTCTTCATCATGGCAATGGCCAGCTATCTGTGCTCCTTTTAAGTATAAACCTTGTAAGAGAAAATTTTATGAGTGAGGTATCTCATTTGTTGCTATTTACTATACGGTCTATGTGCTTGAAATTCAGAAGTGTGGAATAATAGCTATTTTGACTTTTAAAATGTTATATGCGAGATGCTTGATTGGATTATTGACATCCAGTTTATTTTGGAATGCAGGATCATTTCTCTACCAGCCAACCTAGACTTTATGATCTTCAACCATCGTGCCAGAGTGTTTCCCGTGGAGATGGATTTGAAGTTGAAACATTGAGGTCTTTTCAATCAAGTGAAGTAGGTGTATTCAAGCAGGGCATCGAGTTCAGTTTTTTTTCTGGCCTCTAGTGAGAGCAGCAGCATTTGGCAGATCACTATTGTTTCTGCATTTGGCATATCATGAATTCTCTGTTTCTATACATGTTTTAGTTTTCTTGGATTATGTTGTATTTTCTCTTCACATACGTAGCTCCTTGACCAGATAGCTGCTGACTTTGTTGTTGCCCTGGCCTAGCCATTTGAAGTAATTTAAACTTGGAGGTGATTGAGAGCTTTCTATTTATAATTCCAGTGGACCCATGATAGTAGCTAGGCCTGCTTGTGCTTGTGAAATTTAGTAATATATTTACAGATAACTTAGCCTCCCCCATACCTAAGTGGACGATCCAGTTACAGCTGATGATCCCAGCTCATCATTTTGTCTTCAAGTCGACCACTTCTCCCATCACAGAAAATGAAAACCGACAAGTTATCTGGGATGCAAAATTGTTGCTTTTTCCTTTCTTTTTGGCTGAGAAAATTGTCAGAATTGTTTTGTGCTGTTTCGTATATAATTTAATCCCTTCCATTTCACGGAAGCAGCATATGATCATGACTCAACTCTATAATCCATTCATACTTTTTGGTTGTCCTTTTGGCTTTTCTTTGAATAAAAGTTGAGAAAATAGACAAGCTCAAAAGGAGATCTCAATATTAGAATTCAATGTGTTGATACAAAATATCAGCTGGTGGGGAAAACAAATAAAATCTTCATCCTAGAAGAATGGTTCACAGAGAAAAAGGGTAAACATGGAATTGAAAGAAAACATTCACATACCTCTAAAAAAAATTGTAAGAGTGGGACTAAAACTAGAGTATACTAGAACAACAAGTACAGCCTCTACTTTGAGCCTCCATAGCCCACCGCTAAATCCCTAGGTGCTAAGAGCTTCCCATGAAGAAAACCAGTCAATAAAATTAATCTACAACTGAGTGAGTTCCTGTGGGTTTTCCATAGATTGTCTAAGAATAAACTCGGCTCTTCTCTTCTTGTCATCCCTCTCCTCATCTCGCCCAAACCAATAAGCTGGTCTCCCAGAACCCTTCTTTTGCAGCCTCACATCCGAAGATTCTCCCAGAAACTTCTTCCCACTTCTGAACTTGAAATTAATCGCAGGCCTCGTATCTGGAAGAAGCTGCTTCCTCTCATCATCTCCATCACTCCACACCCCATTTTTCACTGCTTCAATGGCGGGCGTAAACGCATCCAAAACCAAAGAACCACCATTCTTCCCTTGCACCACTTCATCCAAAAACTTGGATGGCAAGACAACTTCGGACACTGATACATCTTTCTCTCCCGGCTGGATAGGCGGTTCAAGGAATGGATTAATTGGATTACTTGGATTACTCTCACTCCCTTGTAATAATAATCCCTTTCCATCATTACCACCACCACTAACCAATGGTACTGCAACAGAGACTCCTCCTGAACCAGATGCCTCACCGTTGCACAACAACCTCTGCTGCAGACTCAACAAAGACCTCTCAGCCTTCCTCCTCTGTCTAGCCTGCTCAATTTTATCTTCTCGGGGATCGGTCTTCCTCTCATTCCACATTGGTGTTTGAATGTAAGTGTGTGGATCAGGGAAAGCCGGCAACCAATTGGGCAAATGTTTACTCTGTGGCGCCTCCCCCATTTGCTCGAAACTCGGAATTAATCTCCTCTGCTTGATCACCGGAAACCGAGGCAATGGCTGTGCAAATGGGATCTCCTCAGCCGAACCCACATACTCAACAATGCCTCTCACTATCCCAGACCCTGCAAGACAATGACTGACCTCAGCAGCACCCAAGAACCCTTGCAGTGACTCCAAATCCTCCAACCCTCTAATAATATCAAACACATTGCATTCGGTTCTGCCAGCCAAGTTAGCATAAAAGCTCGACATCTTCCCTAAGTCACGGAGGTATCTGATGGCAATGTCGGCGAGAGCGTCCAGAGCAGACTCCTTGAAGCTCTGAAACCCAACGCTCTCGCATATCTGCGCCACCGCAACCGTAGATATGGCTCGGCCAAACTCATCGGCTCCTCCTCCTCCTCCTCTTCTCGGCGCTTCGCTACTGGGTTCATTCACTCTGCTGCTACTGTCCGCTTCTCCATGGCTCATATTCAAAGCTCATATTCAAACCCTCATATCACTCAGCTTTTACTCGAACCCTCAAATCATTCGACCCATGAGCTTGTTCCCGCAAAAACCGGCGCATCTTCCCTCCCTTTCCCTCGTTTTCTCGGCAGTCAAACAAAAACATATAAAAGCGAAAGAAAATAGGAGGACTCTACCCAGCTGACACTGAGAAACCCTAGAAAAAAAAACCCAGAAAGAGAAGCAGCGAGAGGTAGTTAGAAATTGGAGTAAAATAAACGCAATTCTCGGAGCCTTGCAGCGATTCGAAGACTCTGGAACACGAATCAGAAGTAAACGAGCAGAGTTTGGAATCAGATTGAGCGAAATATCGCGAAACCCTAGAGGAGGAAGGAGAGGTAAGTAGGGTTAGGGTTTGAGAGAGTGAAGAAGGTTGAGGATATGGAGGGAATTTATGAATTTGAAAAAAAAATAGAAATTGATAAATCCCTGGTAAGACCCCTTTGGCAATGTTGGTATCAAAATTCAAACGGAAGGGAGATTTGGGAACGAAGAGAGAGAGAGAGAGGAGTGAGATCGATGAAGAGAATTGGGGGGGTCTTGGGTTTACTTTTATAGAATTCTACCACTAAACTAGGAGGCATCTGGGCCTTTAGTGGGCTTATTTTTGGGCCTTTTACTGTACCCGGCCCAGCCCAAATTAAAAACCCATAGTATAAATATGTTCTTAGTGCTCATCGGAGATGGAGGATAAGAAACCACAGAGAGAGAGAGAGAGAGAGACTGAGAAATGGAGAAGTATTTTGGGAACGCGTACAGAGGAGACCCGGGGGTCCCACATGCCGACCCGGAACGCTTTGTGAACATATGGATCGGGTCCGCTGCCTTCTCTGCGCTCACTTGGGTCAACCCCTACATGTGGCAGCTCTCCAATCAGTTCAAGTAGGTCATCTTTTTTTAGTTTTGATAATTACCCAGTTTGTGAATTTGTTGCTATTTTATGTTTCTGTTTGTTAATTCTGTTTTTTTTTCTTCTTCACAATTTGAAAATTGTTGCAGCTGGCATGACAAAGCAATGTGCTTTGAGCAGTATCACTGGAAGAAGGCCATGAAGAAAGGGGAGCCCTACAAATTTAAGGTATGTTGGGTTGTGTCTCAAATATTGGGCAAGCTGAAATTTCAAGAATTTCTCTGATTCTAATGAGAACCCATTTGGGAGATTTTGTGGGTTTTTATGTTGTTCTTTTGTTGATGAAACCTTTGTTTGTTTTTTTTTTTTTTTTTTTTGTTGTCTGTTGGAACCAGTACATGGACAAGGATCTCAGAGATTCCTACTATTTCAACTGGCCTGTTTATTTCCCTTAGTTGTAAACTTGATAGTTTCAATTGGCCTTGTTTAAGTTTTACTGAGCTGAAACTCTCATAGCATGAAGGATATAATGTTTTTTTATGTATTGTATTGAGGGCTAAAAGCAGAATCTTCTCCTTTATCAGTATCAGGCTTCCTGCCTTTTTGAATGCCAGTGAGTTGTGTCATATGATCATTTTTTCTTCTTCTGCAAATGGTTGGTTTTTTCGATTGCGAGGATAATTTGAAATTTAAGCAATTGAGAATTTGAGGTGCAGATGATGAACAATTTGATAAATGGTGGATAATGGATGGATATAGATGGTATAATGCTAGCTGCGTTGCTACATGATGCAGCATCTCTTTCTGCTTGACAATGGAAGTCTTGAGAAGCTGTTTGCTCAAATTGCTGTTTGGAAAAAGTGTTATTTTCCTAATGTTGTTTAGCCTGCAGCTATAGTTAGTGAAACAACTCCCAAACACAAGTTTATTGAGTGGAAAGGGAACTAGAATTGCCTTCCGCAGATTGTGATAAAAGCTTTAATATAGCAGGCTTGAGGCTTTGAGCTTTCTCATTTTAAGTCACAATTGTTTTCAAGCAGTCTGGTTCAAAGAGAGACCTCATTGTCTGATGAAACCAATCCTTTCCCACGGAATTTGTCACCAAAATACAATTAAGGCGTAGTACCCCCAAAAAGAAAATGGAATCTGAAAATCTATAGTTCTATTTGCTGAGTGGTGAAGAAAATGTTTACGACTTACTTCCTTTATGAGTTTAGCCTAAACTTCGAATACGTGCAATCACTTGTAAGTCACACAAATTAGATAAATTAGGATGTATGGATTTTTACATGTATTTTTTTCCATGCAGGTTAAAATTTTTATAAAATTATCATTGGGAATTTGGGACTTCTTTTAACAGCCGGATTATTTAGAAAATAAAGTAATGAAAAACAGCCGAATTTTGGAGATTTTTAAAGAATCCCTGGTGAAAATGTTAAAAAACCCCCAAAAAAGAACAGAAATAGAAAATAGCCCACCCACGTCTTCCATTATCCTAAAAGCCTTTGCAGCTGCCACGGTCCTAGCTGAATAAACAATGGCGTTTCTCCATCCTCCATGTTCATCTCCCACTTCCCAAACAACCTCACGTCTTCCATTCACGCCACTGATCGCTGCGTCCTCTCATCTCTCTTCAACCCAAAAGCCAACACAATTGAGCAACTGGGTCTCGGAGTTTCGGTCCAAGTCTTTAAATTTAGTGCTCTCAGGGGCTCTCACGCTCGGATTATCTCTCTCAGGCAAGTACTGTCATTTTCTGCAATTGCATAAAAGATTAACATGCTGAAAATGTGAAGAAGCCTTTAAATTTCTGCAGGAGTAGGACCTGTGGAGGCAAAAGTTGGGGTGAACAAGCCAGAATTGCTTCCCAAAGAGTTCAGTCCTGTAATTGATGTAGCTGGCTTCCTCTCTGATGGTCAGGTGTGTTTTCTTATTTATTGCTTATTTGTTGGTTTTATATGGATTTCCTGGATTCTTGGGTTGAAATTGAAAATGGAAAACTTGCATTGCATCTATTACTATTATATGGGACATTAATAATATCATAGTGGTGTCTTTTGAACATTGACATCAAAATTGAAATCTAAGAATTAAGCTGAGGTGCTTATAATTAATGTATGGTAATTTTCAGGAGAAAAGACTAACCCAAGAGATTGATAACATAGAGAAAGATACTGGATTCAAGTTGAGGGTTCTTGCACAGAACTATCCTGACACACCAGGTGTGCTTAATATTCTGTAAGACTTTGGCATTCAGAGTGTTTTCTTTTATTTTTTTAAACTTCTATATATTTGTTTAGGGTTTTGCAAGCAAATGCTCTCTTGTCACACAGTCTAACATGTTTATGTTGCCAAATTGTAAATTAGAATTATTGTTAAGAGACCAATCTGAATGTGTGAGAAGATAAAATTAACCCTGGTTTTGCAATATTTCCATGTTTTGCAGGTTTGGCAATTAAAGATTTCTGGCAAGTGGATGATAGAACTATTGTCTTTGTTGCTGATCCCACCTTTGGTAATGTATTCATACATGCCAATCTTGTGTTTTAACTTACATTGTATGAGTTTTTTCTTCTTTTCTTTGTACTACCTCTACCATAGATTATTTGTATTGATGGGTCTCTTTCTCTCTTTGAGCAGGCAATATACTGAACTTCAACGTGGGGGCTTCCGTTGATCTTGATGTTCCACGTAGCTTTTGGAGCCGTTTGGCCGGGAAATATGGAAATGTGTTCTACTGGAAAGAGAAGGTGAAGTTCCCTCATTGCTCAGATATATCTATGTTTGTAATGAGGTTGTTTGCATTGCACAAGATTTTCTGAAGAAAAAGAGTATGGTTGTAACTTGTATCTGCTGGATGGAATGGAACAGGGAGAAGACGGAGCGATTGAAGCTGCAGTAGTGGCAATATCTAGCTGCTTGAAAGAACCTGTAGGCTCAGATAATTGCTCTGAGGTAAAATAATACAATGACTACTTAACAATGGCTCCTTCATTTGCACCCTGTCCATTTTGTAAATGTTGTCGAGATTTGTATGACAATGCTAAATTGCTTGTTCTAAATGAGCAACTTCCCAGTGATCTTATGTTGAAAATCAGAATAATGTTCATTCCATAATCTTATCAATACTATGAACTTTGCAAATGATTTGTAACTCAAATGGTTAATAATAGTTATCCGTGCACCTGAGTTTCTCTGTTCAAATACCCTCACCTATTGCTTGTATCAAAGAAAAAAAATAGCATCAATTCTTTTAAAATTTTCTTTTAATGCCGAAAGTGTTGCTATACCCGGCCCAACATAGCATAGATCCTGCCATGCTCAACCTAAACGGGTCGGGCCCATATTATGGCTTGAATTGCCCATATTCATTTTTTCGCCAGAATTGCCCATCTTCATTGGAACTTTGTGTGGGAGGCAAGCAAATTGAGCACACTTATAACCATGTGTTTTTATCATGGGTTTGTTTTAAGAAAATATATACAATATCGCTTGCATAGTTGGAAAATGTTTTGATATAAAAGGCAAGCTGATGTGCTTAATTATAATGTGTACGTAAAAACTCGTGTGACCATATTTCACCATATTGTTCTCACAAGTAGGAGCGGACGCACGTTGGGACAAGAGGGGTCAGACGACTCCTTGGAAGGCTGGAAATTTGGCAAGGGACTCCATGAAAGCCCCCTTGGACAGCTGCTGGGCGACCCCTGGTATGCACACCAAGTGCTCGACGAAAGTCCCAAGCCATTCCTTCCTCTGCTACGCTGTGCCTTGCGCGCGAGCGCTACGAGTCCTTTGTTTTTAAAACTAGCCTTGCCAAACGACGTCGTTTGGTCCAAGGCTCAATCAATTTTTTTTTAATTGACCTGACCTTAAAATGACGTCGTTTTGGGCCATATTTTAAAAAATTAAAAATTAAAAAATTAAAAAACACACACACACATAGAATACCCACCGACTCTACACAGCACCTCCCAACCCTTCGTTCCCAATTTCACAGCCCTTCCCTCTCAAATCCTAACCTCTCCTAACCTCCGACAACTGTTGTGAATTTTAGACAACCTGAAAAATGGAGATTATAAGGATTAGTCTAAACACAAATTATACTCACAAGTGCACAAGGTCAATCGTAATATAGTATGGCAAATATAAGGTCATTCCCACGAGGATTGAGTTCAACTACCAATTAGTCTAACCTAATTTACTTCACAAAATAGTTTAACTACTCTCATTATATATACAAGAAATTAAACACATAGCATACTCACGTAAACACGAAGGGGGTTTTTGAAAGAATGATTTAATTAACAACGAAATTAAAAGACAAAATAAGGAGAAAGTCACCAAACACAAGATGAGAAATTCAAATTGATAAAAGCTCCAGGACAATGAATTTACCACTAGTAATCCGATCTAGCCTCTTATTCACCTACCTATTTACTAACCATTTGATGTCGCCGCTTAGTTTTCCTTTTTCATGAATTACCTATGGTATTTAGGCTAACTCGTATATTCCTACATGTAATTCGCCTATGGTATTTAGGTCAAATATCAACACATAAAAACTCATTAAGATCAGTGAAAATCTTGAATAAGAATAAGCATGCAAACCCTAGGAGTATGATATTTACCCTAGACGAATTACAAATCCTAATCATAAGAAGCAAGCCTCAAATTAAGTATGGTATTTACTCTAATTTGCATCCGATTAACTCAATTAAAAGTCTAGATGGTGATCAAGCATCAAGATAATCAACCAAGTTATTAAGCACAGTGATTAAGAATCCAACATCAAACGGCAATCAATAGATAGGTTAAATAAGAAAACTAGATTATCATACTAGGGCTACATCATGCCCTAGCAAAAGAAAATTAGTTACACATAATCATAGAATTCAACATAAACAAAAACATAAGGAAGAAACAATAAAACTTAGCCAATTGCGGTACTCTTCCGGTGTCTCCAATTTCTCATAGTCTTTGCATGTCTCCCTCAAAGGGGTTGTTTCTCATGCTTAAATTAAACACCACACCTCTATTCCTACCCTAGCTGGGCCTTTACAGCAACCCAAGAATAAAGAAAAACCTAATTAAAACATAAATCCAAAATGGGTAAGTAATTGATTCATCTTCCTACTTGGACTGGGATAACACATCAGCTACTTTGCACCCACGTTTGGGGTTGTTTCTCCTCCAAGAAAATTCGGGAAAAATATGTAAATTGTAGGTTTTGGTCTTATCTTTCCAGCCATATATCGCACGCCTTGAGGAAAAATCAGGAAAGTCTTCAAATAGTCATTCTTCCATAACAACACAGTTTTGACGGGATTGCACCTTATGCTGACTTAACTTCAAAGACTACTCTCATTGGCTGCTCTGAAAATTCTAGAAAAATTCCACAATCATCTTCAAGGTCTTAGCTTTCATCTCCAATTGGTCTCGTACTAAAATTCCACCAAAAAGTCGTATTTCCGTTGAAAACAAATTACTTGCTCTGGAAAGCTAAAAATTGAGAAAATAAAGTAATAAGTCCTTTTAAAATCAAATTCTCTTACAAAAACTAAGTATAAAGAGTACATAAATGTGTAAATTTATAGACTTATCAACAACCTCCATCAACTCGTCGTGGGTGGCCCATTGGCGATCACCACCACCATCTTGTGCCGCCCTTTTTTCAAGTACAAGTAAGCAGGTCAAGATTTAAATTAATAAATTTATAGTGATAATACATATTGTTGATTTTTTTTTTTTTTTTTTTTTTTTTTTTTTTTTTGTTAAATTTAATGAAATTTATGAATATGAATATGATGGATAATTTAAATTTAAAAATTTCGAATGACGGATTAATAGGCATTTTTAGCATTATTTTCTTTATAGAAAAATTTCGGAACTTTTACACTAAGCCCCCTTAGCCACATAATCCTGGATCCGCCACTGCTCACAAGAGATCTCGAATTGAAGCTCAATTGTAGCTTAGTTTGCTATAGCTTCAAAGATTTGGAAGCAATCCTGCACTTTCGGCTGACAATAAAAAAGACTTTCAATCCATCTAATCTCTTAAATTGTAACTCCAGCTAGTATTGTAAGAATATTTTATAAATATTCTGTGTGGTCCACATGAAGTGACCTATGTGGTAAATAAATTGTTTAATTGGTTTAATAAATATTATTCAGAATAATTATATTGGTCAAATAAAGAGAAGTAGTTTCCTATTATTATCGTGATGGGTGGTAATTGATTATGGGCTTCACTAGGAAATGGGTCCTCTCTCTGCCTATAATAGTGCACATACCCATTTTATGTGTACACTGATGAAGACACGGATTAGGGTTTTCTAAACGTGCAAAAGGCTAGAGAGAGAAATCTATTTCCTCCACACTGACGACTCGCCTACGGATTGCTCAAGACAAATATCTTGATATGGTAGAAGACTAATCATTCAAGGTATGTATGTAATTTAAATCTAATTGAATTTCCGCCTAATATTATTGTGAAAATCATGAAGTTCAAGATCTTGGGTCATGGATTGGGTTCTTAAGGTTTTACCCAATATTAAGTTTACATGTGGTATCAGAGCATGGTTAAGAACTTTCATGATTTTCCATTATGAATTTTACGATTTGATTTATACTTATTTGAATCATATATATGTATGTATTGGTTGTGCCGTATGAAATATGTACCATTAAACCAAGAAGGATTACTTTCATTTAGTTGGCAATATGAATGGTCAATCTTATGAATATTATTTCCTTTTGGTTCTAGTGCTGTATCCATGAAGTCGTTTTAACATGCTTCTCTATGCACTTCACCGTGCAATCATATGGATGTGCCTGCAACTATGTATTTTAATTGCATTAGAGAGATATAATATATATTTGTATATACGATGTTATTAAAGCATATTATGTCTCGGTGTAAGTGCTTTTGGTTACATATCAGTCAGTTTTGCATAATTGAATTGGAGTGCTAATGGCTATGCATTTACTTGGCTATATGATTATTTTCAAATTGAAAAACGAATCTGTCAATTGGCAAATTATGATTTCATTAATTATGATGCTGACAGGAAGAAATAATACCAGTTTTACTGTCAATTTATATTATTATGAGGAAATCTTAATGAATTGATGTATTATTAAATATATGACCACTTATGAACTCATGGTATAATCCTGGTGTAGACATGTACAGTGAATTAAAGTTATTATAATATAAATATATTTGAACATATTGTATTTCATTGTCACTGTACTTTGTCTTATGAAGCGAGGCAATCTAAAGGTCTATTGCCCACTACTACTTTGTCTTATGAAGCGAGGCAATCTAAAAGTCTATTGCCCACTACTGTGTTAAAGGTCATATATTTATTAGTTAATCTAATGATCGGTTAACCATTAAAGTGTATTAATTGACCTTATGTAATCCATTAACTGTTAATTTAATTTGACATTCATATTATGAATAGTTTGTTAGTCACCAAAGTGGCCAAGCTAGAACGTTCCTTGAATATCAAATTAATTAATCTAATGATCGATTAATCATTAAAGTGTATTAGTTAATCTTATGTAATTGATTAACTAATATAGTTGTTAATTTAATTTGACGTTCATATTATGAATGGTTTGTTAGTCACCAAAGTGGCCAAGCTAGAATGTTCCTTGAATATCAAATTAAATGATAATTAATCAATTACTTGTGATTTAAGGATGCATATAAATGAGGTTGAACCTTATAATGTTTTTAAGGTTCGAACGTCATGAGTATATTGATTTTCATCATTCATTAGATATACGGATCACCCAAAGGTGGATCCACTATTCATATGATTGGTGATATAAATGAGGTAACTTGTATATGTCTTATTTAGATTTGTTTTGGATATCCAAAGATATCAAAGCTTTTCTAACTAGGAATATACATTTACCAATAATGTAAAATAGATGCATCATAATTGTTAATTATTGGTACTGTCATAATTTATCCCAAAGGAGAGTTATGATGATACGTCTATTGATGGTCAGACTATATAAGTCTTATATATGTTTGTACGTGTTTGTCACTCAAAGCATTAGTATTCTAAGCATATTACAAATTATGTTGCAATATCGCTTTCAGGTTCGCTTCACTCTT